TATAATCTCATTAATTTTCTTAAATTACTTCTATCCACCATTAGCTAAAATAAAACTGATAATTAACGAAAGATAGTCATGAGTTTCAAAGCTTCGTCAAAGATCCGCTCTTACGTCACTAAACTAGTCCACAACCAAACAAGCAGTTGGCTTCCACAGTTAGCATAAGCGTAATACTTCCATTACTATTTTTATTATTATTATTATTATTATTATTATTATTATTATAGATATTATTATTATTATTACATGTATTATTATTATTTGGGGTTTTAGGCCGTGAGACGTGAGATAATGTTGGGTGGGTAGAGGGGGGGGGGGGAGGCTAGGCGCAGAGTTGGAACTCGTGAACGTATGATGTTGTTTAATGCAAGTTATGGAACATTACAGTATCTTCAAACGGGTTTTCACGCTATTAATAGGCCTTATGTAATCCACCAATAAGAATTACAACTGCACACAGTATGGCTGCAATTGGTAAGAAAAATAAAATATAACATGGCAAAATTTTTGCCCTGCGTAATTTTTACAACCCACCTAATGCCTAAAGAAAACCGAAAAATGCTTAAGTGTATAGAAGATTTTCAACTCAATATCACATATTCTTTCACCTCTACAAATATTTGCTGTCGCTCATGGGACACCCTGCAATAGTATAAGGATGACATAGGCTACGCTGACAAATTAATGTGACTTACCTGTTGGTGACAACGATGGTAGGAATGAGACCTCGGCATGTTTCAGTGTTGGACATCACCTCCTTCCCCTGGTGTGGGTGGCGCCAACCTTGGTAACAACTTGTGTATTCTCCGTGACTACCAGAGAATTAATTACTGGTGTGCCCAGCAGTCGCATCGTCATAGCCATGAACATTGTAGTGCTTTTATTGACCCGTTACACATCTCTCACCATGCTTAATAATATTAACTATCTTCATGACATTCTTATTGTTACCAGTGATTGCAGAACTCACGATGTTATGCTCCACCTACACACAGCCTGTTACTAGACTAACCCCCCCCCACACACACTACAGTGGGCGATATCTGTTGGCCGACCATAGCATTTCCCCCAGCTGTTTAGAAACTTCAGACTCAAGGCAATTCAAACCCTCACTGTGGCTGGGTAGTGGACACGACTTTGGTGCACGATAGTACAACTGAGCTTGCTGATTATGAATATGTGGTCCCTGATTCGATTGCAGAGTAATTAGTGGCCAAAATGACCCTTGAAAGATTTTACTGACATTTTTAAATGCTAATTACTCATCACTATGGGTTTCCAAGGTGTGATTTAGGGTTTGTGTGTTATTCTGAAAGAACTTAATTAGTTAAACCCCTTAAATTTAAATTCTGAGAAAAAAGTATATTTTGGTAAAAAAATTTGTAAGGTTTAAGACAGGGGTGTCAAACTCATGGCCTGCGGGCCAAATGTGGCCCTTGGGATGGTCAGGTGTGGCCTGCAGGATGACAGTAAAATTTATCATCCCATGAAATTATGAAAGAAATAGATATAATCATACTTAAGATCAGACAAACCCAAATGAGGTATTCCTAGTAAGCCAGGTAAGGCAATATGTGAAGCTGTATACTGCAATCCTGCAAATATGTGATATAACACTTGTGTTGGCCGGAAGAGGGTAACTAAAATAAGAATTGGCTCTCGAAAGGTTTTGAGTTTGACACCACTGCTCTAAAGGGTTAAATACAATATTGCTTTTCACGTTGTGAACTTTAAAAAAATATATAATGGAAATTCATGATATTGAAAGGCAAAAATAATGCATTAACACCCTTTATTAGATAGATGATGGTTACAACTTTTACTATAATCAAATCAAACCAAAAATAGAGGACTGAATCCTGAAATTTTGTTTCTTGAACAAGACAGAAGCACATAAATACAGTACTTAAAATATTGATCAGCATGGTTAGAATTGCAAATAAGTTACCTTTTTAAACCACACCCAAATTGCTCAAATCTAGGAAAATAAGGTATACTGCATATGGATGTTGTCATTAAAACATGCCTCTATGTTAAGTTTGGTTACTCTAACTTTCCACTCATCAAAGAAACATAACTACCAAGATCCATCCCCCACTTTTGCTGCCAGTGTCAGACCTGCTCACCTCTGATCCACACCAATAGGAGGGATGAAGGAAAGCCATTGAAGATAAAACATTTTAAGGATTCACTCCCCATATATGATCTGTAGATAGAGCAGATGACTTGAGATATCTGAAAGCCAGATTGATCTAGGAAAGAAGATGAATTAAAGAACTACACAGAAAGTGTCAACAAAAGCTGGGAAGTTAGAAATTTAGGTAATAACTAAAATACAACTTGTATATAAAGCTTTTCTTCCTCATAGGAGATAAATGAGTCCCACACACTAATGAGTTTATGGAACCACAAGGCATATTGTTCAAAATGAAGGCTTAACTTACACCACACAAACCACCATATAGGCAATTTGAGCCAACCTTACCAGCGTTGGCAGAGAAGCTGTATGACTAGAACTCAAACCCTATCTACCAGTAAATAATAAATCACTAAGTACAATCAACCTTCACAATTTTGGACTTCAATGCTTTGGAATCTGACTTCTCAAATGCAAGGTATTACATTATGGTGGCTCACATGGTCAGTTCTCATGTCTTAAGCATTGTCTATAAACATATTATCTTTGCATTACGTATTTCTACTCGGTACTTTTAAATGCTTTCGCAATGTCTTCTGGTGGTGCTTCTGTGTGTGTGATTCAAACAGTATGCTTATCAGAAAAGCTGAAAATAACAGATGCAGCGGAGAGTGGATTACAGTCTCTCCTCGACTTGCGACGGGGTTACGTCCCGACGACCAGGTCATAAGTCGAATTGGTCAAAAGTCGAAAAGGCGAAAATAATATAGAAATTCTAAAATGGGTGTCTTCTTTTCTTCTCAGCACCACGAGAACTCTCACTTTTACGCTTGCCAGCCATTTTAAAGGGAATTACAAACTAAAATTTTGTCATTACACAGCGCGATCACTAAAGTTGGAACTCGAAAATACGTAACATGAAAAATATTTTATACGACCATGGCCGTCATATGTCCGTGTTGTCGTAAGTCGAGGAGAGACTGTAAGTGCAAAAAACATTCAACAGGCATATGAACTGAAGAAATGCATTTATAATAACGAAACTAAGAACAAAGGGTAGCGAGGGATTAGGAAAGCGAGGTCTCGTAATGAATATGTTGTATGAACCTCTGTTCTGTGTGGCAGTGAGAAGTGATACCACCCTCAGTGTCAAAACCTGACCGAATTACTCAGAATAGGCAAACTGTACTGCAAGCTTTGTCAATAAATTTGTTAAACTAAAAAAAATAGAGGTCTCCACTTCAAAAAAGAATGTACTATCTGAAAAGAACATGCAATGTTACTATGGTACCAGTCACATGCTTGTTTGTGATGTGGAATTCATGAAATTTGCTGGATGCACAGTCAAAAACAATGTTATGTAATTGATTGTCAGTTATTTTTATCATAATTTTGTCTTTAAATACATTTAAGAACAATGCATCATTTGTTTATTGTACTTAGGGATTGGTGTAAGATTAATAATAACCTTGCTGAGGGTTTCACTTGAGGAGAAGGACCTCTCCAATTTTGCAATAATTGTTTTTTAATTGAACTCCCCCTTCCTTTAATTACTGCAGTCCAAAATTATGAGGGTTTACTGTAAATTGACTTATCACTTATCTGACCCATTAATCACTGAAAGCAGACAGCAAGAGTCAGACCACTGCAATGTTTTAACACACATTTTGCTAACTAAGAGGTACAGTAAGGTTTGACATAATCATGGCAAAAATAGGGGGAAGTACCATCCAAATAATTCCTGATTTTTATGACCAACAGGCAGTCAAAGGGGAAGCAATCTTTTTCTGGGAAAGGTGACCACATGATTATTTTACTTTTAATGGCAACATCCAAATATTTCAGTAACACTTTTCTTCTAGACTTAATGGATTCGGGTAATGTTGGAAAGATAGTGAAACAGGAACCACCCCCGTCACTACAGTAAATTCAAGTACTGCAATGACAATGGGTGACTCTGTCGTGCACATTAAGTGAGCTTTAATATCTCATGTCATCCTTGGAACACTGCAATTGTAAATAATTTCAAGATAATACCCAGACAATGAAATACATTATATAAAAAAATTTAACCTGCCCAACAGATATAACCTCCCTGGCATGGGAATTGGGAGTCTGCCTTGGGTAAGTAAGAGGTTGCACTCCCGATTCCCATGTTATATAAGACACTGATACTGAAAGAATAATTTACAACCTGGACTGGATAGAACACCCAGTGAATATGCCCAACATAGGCTCTGAGCTTAAGAGACTAAGGAAACCCTAACCTATAATGGCTAGTGCAATAATCAAAAGATTAGCCTTCTCTCCAGTAACAACTCTCGCCTTTATGAAGGTACAGGACTATTAAAAATAGGAACATTTTAATCCTTCAAAACACTATCACAGAGAGTTAGGAAGTCGCAATCTCTTGTCATTACAAGAATTAAAGATCCTTACTTCAAGATGACACAGGAACTTCTAACCTTAATCTGGTCCAGATCTAATAAGGAAAAAAATCATGAACCAACTAGTAATTATGTTATTTTACAAGCACTGCTCCCTCCTGATGTCAGTAATGATTTGTTAGAACTCATAATACTTTGGTTCCATGCAGATGATCTAGCAGACGACTTTTGGACCTTCCCAGTGAGCTTTCTGCTTTAACTCCAATGCTACAATATGCTGTCTACTCTCGCATCAGCAGTAATGTAGTATTACTGATACGTAATTTGTCTTAATATGCCTTATTGTGGGTAAATATAAGTATATATTAAATGCGTCCTCCAAAAGCGTGAATTTGCTACCAGAGTTTATCAGTTAATTCAGGTATAAATTTCTGATAAACTTCCTACGTGCTCAAGTTTGAAATAATGAATGCTGTATCTTTATATAATTTAGCTGAATATCTTTCTCATCAGAAACGGTCATCCCAATGATTATGAATAAACTCGTTTAGAAATACATCATTACTTCAGGACGAAATCGGAGATTTGCAACAACCAATCAGCTGTAACTCTTGAGGAGGGGGCAGGGCATCTCAGCTGGGAAAAAACGCACTATAGTACATTATATACTGTATACACATACACTGTGTACTGTATACATAAATATCTATATATGGTGAAAGAATGCTAATGAGTACTGTATTTTGATGAAAGCTTTCACTGAGATAGATATATTGAAGACAAGCAATTCATTAGCATGAGATCATTCTATTTATTTCTTTTCACTGGCATATGGCCAATGCCCTCACACTCAAGATATATACAGTCAGTGCCTTCTTCTTCTATGATGTTGAACTCTACCTGTAAAGAAAAGGCAAATACCATATGTTAAGCAAATATTATGAGCATGCCTTCCCAAGTCCCAAAACAGCTAACATCACAGTGAACACCTGCTACATACGCTTCCCACATAGCAACAAACACTTAATAATCGATGTCATGGCTGGCAGGCGCATGATTGATTGCCGGAACACTACATATGTAGCAAACAATAAACATATAATTTGCTTTCTTGATAATTTTTCTTTTGCCATTTGAAAATACATGCCTTTCTGAGCCCTATAAATATGAATACAGTATCTATTACAATAAGCTTTTATGCTATGACCTTCCAGAAATTTCAAGAGGTGGACGGTGCCGGGAAGCATCGTCTTCGTTATAGATGTCAGATGCAACAAGTATCTCAATGCCCCTTACACACTATAAAGGAAATGCTTTCCTTTCACGATCATTCTTAATTCTTTTACTTTAAAGAGTAGGGTTTTCTGAACCCAACCCAAATATTTACGAGTATACTGTATAGACTTGCTGTCTGTTATATTTATGCCTCTCTTAGCTAATTTATGAAAGCTGTATCATTGTGAATCATTGCTCCCAGAAGTATAGGGGGGTTTCTCTCTCTTACACACACACACACATACAGTACATCTGTTTAATTTACTTGGCACTGCTTTGATAAGATTTTATGAAAATAATTATTTATAAATTGGAAAACTTCAGTACTTTCAATATGACATGAAAATAACTGTTTATGAATTGGCAGTTTCAACTATAAAAATAATAGTTTTCAAGTGGGTCTCTGGCTCTGGCAAGTGTTATCAAAGATATTCAGTAACTGCAACAATTGAAAAATCTGTCTCTCAACATCAGTTTTTGAATGAATTTTGTCTCAAAAACCTGTTGAATTGTCCAATACAGTAAACCCTCACAGATCCGGACCCGGGAAATCCGGATTTCAGAAGATCCAGACAAAAAATTTGGGGGTTCTGGGCTAAGAAGCCTCCTAGAAGTTTCCCTAAGAAGCATTCCCAAACCAGAGCAAAGAACATTTTAGGCCCATGGGCGCTGCTTGACCCATCAGTTGCTTGGACACAAGTGCCCGAGGAGGTGGGAAACAAACACAGTTGACAATTGTTTTTTGTGGGATTATTTTTTCATTCAATCTAATAATGATACAATGTTTCTTATTATGTTATCATAGGTAAATGCATGGTTTATATACGGTAATGTATTTATCACTACATTAGTACTGTATTTTTGGTGTTTCTTATATCAATTATCATTTGCCAGAAAATTCGGACAATCGGCTTTTCCGGAACTTCAAGGGTTCACTGTAATCTATTGTATAGTGCTTTCTGTTATGAGACATTATCATTATACTATTGATATTTCCATTAGCCGGAACAATTGGTACAGAGCACTTCCGGGAATGAGAGATTTCTGCGTAACGAGACGACTCTCTCAAAGCCGTAAAAAAAAAAAAAAAAAAAAATCCCCAATACCTGGAAGTTTCCAGGTAACGGAAATATGTTCTCGGAAGTTCCAGAAATTGCGCATTACATCATCTCTCAAACCTGGAAAAATATCACCCATCCCCGAAATTTTCCGGGTATACTGGAAAAATTTTCTCAGAACTTTCCAGAAAATGTGCCCCTCTGGAAATCTTCTCAAAGCTGGAATTTTCTGGCTTTGGGAATGATTTTCCGAGAAAATTTCAATTCCGGCTATGAGAGAGCTCTGGGTTTGAGGGATTCCAGCTAATGGAGATTATTACAATTATACACAGAAATTGAAACATTTCTTCTCTTCCCACATCAGTGTACATTCATTTGAAATGCTTCACAGGGCTAATAGTATTTTGACAATCTTTTTTTCCTATGCCTTCAAATTTTGCAGTTTATAATATTCTATATTTATATGTGCATACCATTTTATATGAAATACAGTAAAATATATCCTGTAGAATGCATCATTCAGGATACAGTCAAATCTTAAGAGATGAGACTTGAGCACAACGATGACACAGGGACCATCAGGTGACAGATTCAACCATTTCCATGATACACTTTCTTATAACCCTTTTTTCCAAGAGAATCAATCAATCATTTTGATCATCAACAAGATTAAGCAACCATTATTTAGTTCAAATGAATTACCAATTTATTCTGGATGAGGACTCAATGTTTCAAATTATATAAATTGAAGAATCTAAATAAATAGAATTGAAATGAAAAAAAGTGCTGTGCAGTAATTTGCCCATATTCCCCTGAACTGTGCCAGCCAATCAGTTGTCGGGATTCTGAATGGACTACAGTACTGTATAACTAATATCAAAATCACCCTACACTGAGAGGAAACTCACCCCTCACAATGAGAGATAAAAATTTGTAAATTATGGTACTGTACTGAGTTACTGAGGTTCCATGATACAAGCACAAGGCTTGCCATCCCAAACTCCATGCTAGTCCAGACTAAAAGATGCACAAACAATGTCAAAAAATCTCATGAAATGATATACATAAGATCTAATAAATCATTCGAGATGAAACATCAGGAATAAAGCTATCTCTCCTTTGCTACAACTTAACCATCACAACTAATCCCTGACATTATCACAAAAAGAATTAAACATTTAGCTTCATGTTGTGAATACTGTATATGGGCCTGGGAAGAGTTGGTCTTGGACATCTGCGCTTGAAGTGTTTTGTCAAGAACTGAATTAAAAATGACAGCTTTGACACAAGGGAGGATGATTGATCATCATGGCTACTAAAAGACCTCCTGTCTATGCAGCACAACTGCAACCCTGTTTCCCTATTTCAGGGCCAATGGATGTTGTGGGGAGGGAAGAGTGATTGGTTTATCCATTTGAGTTAAAAAATCACCCCTGACTAAATAATAGATGGGGGTTGTCTGGGTTACACTAAGTGTCCCAGTTAGCAGCGTGTATTATACAAAGCTGCCTAAGCCTGAAAACATCTGTTTCTTGTCTTGGTGATCTATTAATTAATTTATTTATTTTGAGTCAGACTTCATAATTGATTTGGCAATTAAAATTAAATCACCAGATGCCAACTTACAGTGAACCTTAACTTTAATACTTACCATGTTCAAGCTGCTTTATAATTGTTCATATTTTTTTATTAACCATTTATGATACATGCTTTCTTTTAGGTGTTTTATCATCCATATCTTAATGTCTGGTGACTTAAATTAATCAAAACAATAAAGATTTTCAAAGGCATATGATGCCAACACAAAATGTAAATAATAGTGGACAGCAAACTGAACTGGAAAGTTCGTCAGCTAGCCAAGGCTCCGAAATTCAGATTACAGAGTTTTTTTATTATTTGCACCTGGATTACTGGCATTTTACTGTGGTAAGTACTGTACAGTAATATGAATACTGTAATTAAAAATAATTCATGTACGATGCCAGTCAATATTCATATTTTGCAATAAACATGAACTGAAGATAAAGTACACCGTATTGATATGTGTGCATAAATAAATGAAAATTATTTCACAATTATAATGGAATTAAATATCCATTAGTGAATACAGTAACTTAAATTACAGCTAAACATGTCAATGTATAATGACAATCAGAACACCATACCATCAGGTAATCATGGCTAATCCATGTGGGCATAGAAATGGTGATGATAATGACACTTACCTTGGTCAAAAGTTTCGCAACCCACATTGCAGTCTTAGTATGGTCCGTGAGGGGCCCCGTGCGTATCCTGGATTTACCCTTTGCCAATGCCATGAAGATGATAACCTGATTCAATTGACTATGGTTAGAAAACAATGTTCTTTATTTCTATATACAGTATAGTACAGTACAGTAGACCCTTGCCATTCGCGAGTTTGCGATTCGCAATTTCGACGATTCACAGTAAGCTGATGGTTAATATGGTGGCTAGCTTGCAAGCCTTTTCCTGCAGCACAAAGAGTCACCCCACGCAGCATCTCGTGTTGTACTCTCAAAACTTTAGTGTTTCTGTGTGAAATGGCCCCTAAAAGACTGCCTAGTGTCAATGCTAGTGATGCTAATGGAGTGAAATGTGAAAAGCAGAAGTCAGTGATGACCCCAATAAGGAGTTTTATTATTAGGTAAGTTAAAAAGAGGGGATGAGTGCTGTTGCAGCTGGTTGGTTGTTTGGTATAAGTATACAGTAGTGCACTAAGGTAGTATAAGTTGCTATTCGCGGTTTGGCCAAATCACGCCATTTCTTGGAACCTATCCCTCGCGAAAGGCAAGGGTCTACTGTACAGTAAAACCTGTATAACTCAGCATTTGATAATTTACAATTTTATACATTCAGGAAGGCTATACTCTCGGAATTCATTAAAAAAATAACTCGGAAAACCGAGTTATATAAAATAATATAGGAAAACCTTGGAATATTTAATCGCATGGGTAGCAGTGACTAATTGCTCGGTCAGTCTGGCATTTGTTATTGTCATAGTCGGGTGCATGCTGGCTGTCTCTCCACACTTTGTCCTCTAATCTTCAAACATCACTGATATGGTGTCTGCACCTTCAAGGAGCTATAGGAAAGGCATGAAGCTCAAGCCCCTGAGTTTTCAGAAGATGAATGTTTTGGACCAAGTGGATGCTGGGGCATCCATACGTATGGTGTGTGAGGAGTTTGGGTTAAGTCCAGAACATTCTACGACATAAAAAAAGTCAGGAGAAGATTTGGAAGCACTAAGTTTGGAGGACCATGGTAGCTCAAAAAAGGACAGAAAAGGATCAAGCCTGCAAAGTTTATTGACTTAAACCAAGTTGTATACAAGTGGTACAAGCATGAATGTGCATCTGATGTCAAGGTATGAGGAGTGGGTATTCAAAACACCACAGTTTGCCTTGCACAGCACCTCAAGATACAAGGCTTCCACACAAGAGCAAGCTGGTTTTTTAATTTTAGAACCCATCACTGCTTGGTGAACCGGAAGGTTGTTGGTAAGGCTGCTAGTGATGACGAAGGAAGTGTTGAGCCGTTCAGGATTGACTGATTTAGTGTGGTAATTACATCTTTGGTGACGCAACAGCTTAAGTCATATGTCGTTAAATTAAAATAAAAGCTACCGAGTTAATTACAGTACTAAAATTATTATGTCTAGCAAAATAAGGGATGTTTATACTAAAATTAATTGCTATCTTACAAGAGTTCCAGCAATACAAGTTATATTCTCCTAAGTCAAGTCAGTGGCATTTTATAAGGAAAAAAATGAAACCCCCTGCCTTTCATAAGAAAGCGTTGATCTCCCTTCCTGGCTGCTGACCCACCTCCCCCCTCCTCCCAACCAGAGGGAGAAGGTTCCATTGTGGGGTAAAAGTGACCGTGCGACCCCCCTCCCCCAATGGGTCGCCTCATTGTTTGTCTACTGTACTGACTCATTCATGACACAATATTGTTTATTACATGTTCATTAATTAGTAAAGATACATTACTGTAATAATCTGTGCTTATTAATACCTGTACCCTTCATATACAATCCAGTATAGTTCTGTTTTTGTTTTTTTACTGGGATTAGCCCACCCGGGCACAGGTCACTGACCCACATCGGGGCCTGAGAGGCAAAAATGTAATACAGGTTGTACCTCTTTAGTCCGGCAACCTCGGGACCTGACCGGTGCCGGACCATGGAAATTGCCGGACCATGGAAATTCACCCTTTTCCTGGATAGATAGTGACTTGTGCTTATGCCTGGAATGCACTAGCACCACTTTCTCTGCGTCATGGTCTCTTTGAAGACATATAGAAGGGTTAAATGTCGTATAGTAGCTTCTCAAATTTCGCGAGTTTTTAATTCTTAACGTATTTTATTGGAACACACAAAAAAATAAATAAAAATTTTGACGGCGGAAACTTGAATTTCGACGGGTTTGAACGGCCAACCAACGTGCAGACGACGTGCATAATCGTGTAAACAGCGTCATTTCTCTTATGTACAAAAGATTCATTATTGTTTATTACTGAATGTCTTTTTTATTGAATTAATGTTTATGTGTGCAAAATGAGCAATACAATTCATTAATAATACGTAGAAAATTAAAACACATGAGGAAATGACACAGCATTGTTTTCGTTGATTACAAAACCAGTGACTGACTGGTTCTACATATAAAACTGAAGAAAATAAGACCTTGGTTGTAGCTGTAGTAAAATTAATATGGTTGTTTTAAGTAATGTTATTTAATGTTAATAAATGGAACAATAGAAGTAGCTAACGATAATGGTAAAGAAAAAGAGAGATCGCATATGTAAGTGCGCATGCGCACACGTGAAAACATATCGTCATTACTTTACATAAGAATATGAAAGCAACACTTATTTACTGTTCATATATATTTTAATTAATGTTTCTGAATTTGTTTTTATTGAATTAATGTACGTGTGTGCAAAATTAACAATACAATTTATTAATAATACGTGGAATATTAGAGGAGACGAGACCGCTGCCGGCATTGTTTATGTTAAAGCTTACGAAACCAGTGACTGATTGGTTCTACATATAAAACTGAAAAAAATAAGACCCTGAGTTTAGCTGTAGTAAAATTAATGTAAAAAATGAATATGGTTGCTTGAAGTACCTGTAATGTTATTTAATGTTAATAAATGGAACAATATAAGTAGCTAACCATTAATGGTAAAAAAAAAGTGAGACTGCTCGTATGTAAGTGCGCACATGTGAAAATATATCGTCATTACTCTACATAAGAATATGAAAGCAACACTTATTTACTGCTCATATATATTGAAGGGTTAAATGTTGTACTCTGTATAGACAAGCAGAGAGAGAGAGAGAGAGAGAGCAGCCGAACTGCCGGATGTAAACAAACCTTAATTTCCGCGACTTTTTTTTTTTTTAAGGGGATTAGCCCACCCGGGCATAGGTCACTGACCCACATTGGGGCCTGAGGGGCAAAAATTTAATACTCCTGTAATAATAATAATAATTCAGATAAAAAAAAAAAGAAAAAAAGCTGCCTATCTACCTATTGGACAAACTAAAATCGTTCCGGACCACAGAATGCCGGACTAGAGAGGTACAACCTGTAATAATAATAACAACAATAATAAAAATAATATTATTAATAATAATAATAATAATAATAATAATAACAATAATAATAAAAGTAAAGAACCATAAAGAAACAAAAAATTAAAAAAAGATCAAGAGTGAGAAACAATATACAGTCAACCCTCACTTTACGCAGTTAATTCAACCCACAGGGTACCGCGGAAATTGAGAAACGCGTAAAGTGAACAACATAACATATGGGATTAATTGAAATAGAGACCGGCTGACCCCCAAACTCCATTTTTTCCGACACAATACCTATGTTCTAGTAAAAATAACATCTTAATTTTATGATGATACATGCACACAGTTAATACTTAAGAGAAATAGAGAAATACAGTCGCCAAGTTAATGTCCATTCAAATAATGGACTCAACTCCCTCCCCCTCTTCTCACACTACACTCCCTAGCTCTTCCCTCTCTGAGAAATTTTTTGGGGAAAACCACTAGATTTTAAGGTATAGTAATAATACCTCAAACTAAAGTTAGGATAATATAATTGACATTGCTGGATTCCTTGTAAGACCAGGAATATTTTGAATATAAATGTCATATATTTTGCACAAAAGATAACATATTTACTCAGAGTAAACAAAATACTTGCATTAGATCTAAAATTTGTATGTCTAATGCAAAATCTATGATGTTTATATTCAAAATTATCATCAAATTGTAAGAATTCCAGCAATGTAAATTATATTCTGGCCGGGTAATTTTTATGAATTTTATGAGCTAAAACAAATATCTTCAGTTAATAAAAAAAAAAAAATATTCTTCACGACACTATCTGTCAATCAAAGTACCCCACCTTGCCTCCCCCACTCTTCCAACAGCGCCAGATGGTCGGTTGGTCCCAACCCTCCCCCCCCACCCCCCACCTTCCCTACCAGAGAAATGTTGGGTGAAAAAACTAGATTTTAACTTTTAGTAATAAATAATACCTCAAACTAAAACTAGGATAATATAATTGACAGTGCTGGATTCCTTACAAGACCAGGAATATTTTGAATATACATATCATATATTTTGCACAAAAGATAGCATATTTGCTCTGAGTAAACAAAATACTTGCATCAGATCTAAAATTTGCATGTCTAATGCAAAATCTATGATGCTTATATTCAAAATAATCATTAAATTGTAAGAATTCCAGCAATGTAAATTATATTCTGGCCGGATAATTTGTATGAATTTTATGAGCTAAATAAAAAAAATATACTTCACCCGCGTAAAGGGGTACACGCACCGCCCCAGGTTCTGGCAGGGTACCGTGTAAACGTGGAAACGCGGAATGTGGGACCGCGTAAAGTGAGGGTTGACTGTACTATATGTATGTTGTGTTGTCAATGGTAGAGAAACAATTGAGACCCTGCAATTGTGTGTAAATGAGGCAGAAAGTCAGATCAGCAACCTGGGACTTGGTCACAATTTTTGTGATGCCATATGACAGCAGATTCTACCATCAGACAATACAAGACAATACATTATGCTTCCAATATCTTCCCAGGTGGTAGTACCTCCCTGTTTGGTAGCTGCTTACTACTGTATATTCCTCATAGGTAAAAAATGTCATTCAAGACATCTTCAGGTCATAAGACCCACTATCCCCCACCCAACAATGGGTGACCTGACACTGCATCAGGTCAAGTTAGTAATGTGACTCAATAATCTACCACCCAACCTTAATCACAAGTGTTAAGACATGATTAGTTATGTATTACAGTCGATTGAGTGAAGTGTCTGCCTATTCTAGGCTGAAGATGACAGCATCTGTTGGAGTACAATATATACAGTACACAAGAACACTTGCCAGCGATGCGTAACAGAGATGTGACCGATCGCCCAAGAGACTAACAAGCCGATCAGTAGTGAAGAGGATAAAAGTAACACAGCTCTATTCACGTCATATCATATACAGTAGAGCTTTTGGTTTTTTTAATATATTTATTTAACCAAACTTTCAGAAAAAGTATTCACGATTATTTTTATAAAAAAAAATTGTGTGTTTAACGAAATTAGAACTGATTTTACTGACTACAGTATCAATATTTCTTACATTTTTTTTTTATAACAGAATGGAATTCCCATCACTACATCATAGAAAAATATTTCGTTTAAGGATATCTTATTGGAAAATTTTCATAGAGAATTTATTAAGGATCGTTATGGTATCAAATTCATCTCCCTATCACAATTAGCCATGCTTGAATGAGGAAGGGGGGGACGGGGACTGACCACGCGACCCTACACCCCCAAAAAGTTCGCTTCCGTCAACACACACACCAAAACCACCCACACATACACCCTACATCACACACAAACACCCTCTCCAACAACCAAACACATTCCAACACCACTCACACATTCCCAGCAAGGGAATTAAGACACATCTGCGTGTGTGTGACTAGGTGGTAGCGAGTTAAATATCAGCTGCTGAGGAGCACTTGGCAACACTCATTTCCACTCCACCTATTTACCCCCACCTTTCTGCTTTCTCACTCCATATTTTAAAATGTTATGTAACGTAATGTTGAAGGGATACAACTTTGCTCATTTATACTTATATCTGTACTTACCACAATCTCTCTAAAATTACTTTAGGTTTTGTGTTTATTCAAGACATCTTCAGGTCATGAGACCCACTAATCCTCCACCCAAGAAAGGGTAACCTGACATTCCATCAGGTCAGTAATATGAGACCATTAATCCCCCATCCTACCTCCACTTGACATTGCATCAGGTCAGGTCAGTTACATGAGACCCACTAATCCCCCACAACTCCATGGGAGTGGAAATTAACAGTCTTTGCTGTAACACACAGCTTCATTCATGCCCCTATCCTATAGATTTTTAATCTTTAAATATATTTATTGAACAAAACTTTTAGATAAACTATTCTGGATTATTATAATAAACAAATGAAGTTTCTAACTAAATTAGAACTGTATTTACAGATTCCAGAACAGGAGTTTAGACTCAAAGAAAACATCTCCAGCACCCAAAAACATTCTGGGGAAGTAGGCTAGTGTGCGTCTGTGCAAAAGGTCTAGTTTAGACACTCGTAAACTTTTCATTTTCAGGTAGCACACCCATCTTGGAACTCTTCAAATTTTCTCACCTTTTCTGCAACTTTTATCTCTAGTATATTCATTCATTTTCCAAATACAGCAACTCTTTTACTTGATAACTATCATAATTAATAATAACAGCAACAAAAAAAAACATACTCTTAGAAAAAAAAGTACTGTACTGTATATAAGGGCACTAACAAGAATGATAGGACATCCAAGATTAATAAATTCAAATAAATTTTAAATGTTTTCCAATGAAACTGACCTGATCTTGTGCATATTTATCCACACAGGCACGTCTTTCCACACTATGCAAAATTTCATTCGCTGCCGTAAGTCCGTCCTCTTCGGCGCCTCTCCCTCTCTTGCCAAGGGCAGCCCCACCCAGAACACAACCTGTGGTAGTTTCTGCCCACAGCCTGGAAAATTTATTGTAAAATGTTATCAAATGGTTAGGATGTACTTATTCAACTCTCATTATGAGTCAATTTCAGCAATGACATTCTCTCATACCTCCTAACACCACCACTTCCTACCTCGTACATTCAAGATGCAGTGGTCCCTCGGTTAACAAACACAATTCGTTCCAGAAGGTCGTTCGTTAACCGAAAATTTTGTTAACCGAAACCTTTGTTTCGATGGGATTTTGGTTAATTGGTTCCAGCTCACCGAAAATTACATACAAAGTAAAAATAAATGCAGTAAAGTACACTTACTTTGAGGTGTGTACGTAGAAGGCTCCTGGTTGATGATGATGATGGGAATTAGAAGTGGGGATGGAGGAGAAGGGAGAAGAGAAGGAAGTGGGGGTGGAAGAGAAATCACCCCATGCTTCATGCCTTCATTTCACCTATAAAATTTTAAGTTCACTAGCTGTAATTCAAGATAATTTTCTTTAAATCAACACTGCACTGCACTATATATTGTCAATATGTAAAATAAATTTCAGAATGACCGATAATTGTACTGTAAAAATAGTTTATGTTCAAGAGTCTCAAGCAAGATGTTACCTCCACTGAGCACACACAAACTGACACCTGCTGGGTGAGTCAAGTGGCTGTTTGGTGCACTAAAAACTAGTTTCTTGTACTTCAATTATGTTAAATAATTGTTAAAATTACTAAAAATTTTAATATAAAACTTGGAAAATTATTGAATAGTACAACCTTTTTGATATTTACTCAAATGGGAACGAATTTAAGCCCTAAAACCGATTACTGTATTGGCGGACTAATATTCCAGCTGGTGAGCAAGCGAAAACATGCTGAGAGGAATTCGTAAGGAATTCGTTAGCCGAAATTTTTTCGTTAACCGAATTGAAGATTCTTATGGAAGGTAATTCGTTAACTGAAATTTCGTTAACCGAGGCGTTCGTTAACTGAGGGATCACTGTACTGCATTTCTTATACTTTATCTATCTAACTTGTTGGCAGGTTTGCTTTCAATGTGGGCAGAATATTACTGTACTGTATTATTCACTCTATTCTGTACATTACTGTTTCTTTTTAGGGGAAATAGGAAATAATTTTTTTTACCAGGAATGCATCTTCAATTTATAGCTATACTTTACCTGTTTAACTTTCTTATTACTTGTACTGTAAAGTATTTATATCTCATGTAACAAAAAAGTTGAGAATTTTTTTCACCAGATTTTAGCGGATATTCTATGATTTAGAAGTTTCTACCATCCGGCACCAAACATGTTCTGAGTGTGCCAGATTAGAGGGATTTTACCTGTAGTTATGGGCTTACTATTGTATATTAAAATGCTAGTGTAAAGAATGACTGCAAAACTCACCCTGCATTTTACACAGTGAAGACTAACTTTACACAGGCTAAAACCAAGATGGTAATGTTTATGGACAGTACCCTGGGTAAACTAGCCACCTTATGAAAATTATATTACAGAGATACCTCAAATAGCTGGAGCAATTATTTTGCAGAGCACTTCATGGAATGAGAGATTTCTGGATAACAAGACAACTCTCTCAAAGCCAGAAAAAAACCTTCATCCACAAAATTTCTGGGTAACAGAAAAATGTTCTTGGAAGTTCCAGAAATTGTCCATTACATCATCTCTCAAACCCAGAAAAAAAAAACTCCCCCATCCCCAGAATTTTCTGGGTATCGGGAAAATTTTCTCGGAATTTTCTGGAAAATGTGCCCCTCGGAAAATTTAATTCATGCTATTGGCGCGTTCCAGATTTAAGGGATTCCTGCTAATGGAGATATTACTACCCTGTATTGAACAAAACTTACTTACAGAACAAAAAAGTGGGTGGAGGAACAGCACTTTTCCTATTAATTTTTTTTTCACCTTTGGTTTTCATTTTGCTCATCTTTCTTAATATTTGAGATAATTACATCTCTAAGTGCCATTTTCCAGATCAAATTTCCAGATTGGTCACATTTAGGGGCCCCAATGTATACTACATAATCCACATGATTTTTTGTACTCCAGTATTTCTTTCACAGGGTGACATTTTCTTTTGCTGGCTCTCCTGGGTTTGTGATTCACCCACCGTCTTATTTAATATCAAAGGACAGCATCTCAAAATGCTATTAAGCCCTTCATTAATGAACACTACTTTTAATATCTTATTTGGCTATCGCCCAAAATTTTATTCAGCACAGAGATCCATCGTACCCATGGGGTTTAGATGTTGAAGTGGCTAGAATAAGCAACGACCACTGTACAGTAGATGGAAATTCTACAATTTGTATATATGAGGAAGATAACATGCTCATCTACATCATTCTTGCTTTGTGCATATCATCAGACTTGGGGAACTGATAATCCCTTGCCCCCACAGCAAGTTCTGTGTACACCCCAGTATATCCGAAAGGAGAAACTCGCAGGTTACTTGATGATGACCTGTGGCCATTAAATTCTGTCTGCTGATCTGGCTATAATATGTGATTTACCATATACAGGTACTCCTCGACTTACGACCTACTCGACTTACAACAACCCGGATATACGACCGCCGTAGTCGTATAAAATATTTTTCAAACTACGTATTTTCCAGTACCGAAGCGTTTCCATCCCGTACGACAGCGTGGGCTGGGCCACCTCCATGCCGTAGCCTGCTCAGTTGGTGTTTGGCCGTCGTTGTTGTTAGTGATCAAGCTGTGTACTGAAAATTTTTTTGTTTCTAATTCCTTTTAAAATGGCTGGCAAGCGTAAAAGTGAGAGTTCTCGTGGTGCTGATAAGAAAGGGAGACAGTCAATTACTTTTGAGATGAAAATGAAAATAATAATGCAATATGAAAGTGGAAAAAACGGTATCAACCATTTCACGCGACCTTGGCTTCTCTCACTCAATGATATCAACAACTTTGAAGGACAAGGCAGAGGCAATTGCTACTATTAATAAGGGGATGCAAATGTTTGAAGGAATGGATCAAAATGCACTTGCTTGCTACAGGGAGATTTACAATGAAAAGAAAAGGCAAACTGTGCAGTCTAAATTGGACATATATTTTAAAAAGTACCCCACTGCTGTCTCCTCACGCCCCACCACTGCTGCCTCTTCACTCCCTAAAGATGATCCAATACCTTCAAAAAGCAAGTATGTTAGCCTGTCTGGAGAAAGCGAAATTGATGACCCACTCAGCCCTGTCTCCTCCTCTGCTTCATCCAATTAATGTAGTCTCCATGTTTAATTAAAAAATTATTGAGGCCCCGTGTGCATTCAGCTGACTACATTAAAGGTAAGTGCACAGTAACACTTTATTAATTTTTCATTATCTTGGTTTGTGATTGATTACTATTACTGTACCATATTTCATTTTAGAATTTCAATGTATTATTTTCGCATTTTCGACTTACAACCAATTCGACTTACGACCTGGTCGCCGGTCCGGAATTCCGTCGCAAGTTGAGGAGAGACTGTACTGTACAATTCGAGTTTTTATGATAAAATATTATGCAAAAAGTAGGGGTCAAACTATACTGCATATGAATATTATTTTTGAAGGGTTAAAATTTAGGCATTTCCGTGGGTCATTTACGGTCAATGATAGATACCCAACATATGTTTGTATTGAGCTAACTTTACCGGTTAGCTTCTTTAACCTGGGCTTGTCTACTGTACCCATAGAATCTTTCTTTATACTGTATTACTACATAAAGAACAGAACCATATTCACTATATGTGCTACTATAAATTTACAAAACCTAACAGCAATATCCCCATTAGCCAGAATAATTGGTGCAGAGCTCTTCTGGGAATGAGAGATTTCCAGGTAGCTACTGAGACAAATTTATCATCTTGTAATTTTTCCAAGAGTCTAAACTACACATCCCTCATGGATAAACATTATAACACATCCCAGGTATGTTTATAGGTGCTGGAGAAAGTTTTCTGAAAGTCTAAACTATTCTTCTTGAACAAACAGACATAGAGCTGCATTTATTTATGCAAGAACCACTGTACACATACAATATACCGTATTGTAAATAAACAAAATATACTACAGTAATCCCTGGCCAACTGCAGGGTTTAGGTTCCTGAAAAACCTCGTGGTTGGTAAATCTGTGGTTGGTAAAACTAAAAACTTACAATAAATAGGGGGTTTAGATCCATGGCCACAGATAACACTCATCAAAGCCAAATTAAGTTGCTTGTTCCTTCACTAAACAATACAGGTATCTTTCATTTAGTGATTGTTGACTTAGTGATATTTCGGTTTAGCGATTTAAAATTTTTTAACACCCTTTGTTGTTTAATGATCGTCAATTTTTGGTTTAACAATCTTCGACTCACTGGGAAAAATTCAGGAGGAAAGTCGAAAAAATTGGGGATTCTGTGCTTCAAGTGCACATCATTACAATACTGTAATGTGGCTTAGAAATAAAGAAAATACTGTACTGTATACTGTACAGTGCAGTATTTTAAAGTAATGATAAAGTGAATAATACAGTAATAAATAAATGTAACACTTACATTGGGAAGTGAAGTCATAATATGTTGATGATATAGCAAAAGTGTAATGGTTACACTGGTAAATGAAGTAAAAACCCACATTGGAGATATTAAAGATGAAATTTTGTTACTGGTATACTAAGACCCTTTTCAGCTAACTAACAGAACAAAATCAAGAGAAAAAGACATAGAACAATGAATCAGGTCACCTGACCTGTCCTCTGAGTTGAGGAAGGGTGAGATAGGGTAGGTTAGGTATACTGCATATGGTACAATTTGCGAAAATGTGTTTTTACGCCCCCTGTGGTAACCCGTGTCTCCAAACAGCAACATTGCAGTCGTAGTATCACTGTTTATGAATGGATGGGTATTGGTCGTGTTTGCTATAGGTCATATAGGTTGGTCGTTTGGAGACAAGGGATACCACAGAGGGGATAGGAACACATTTCTGCAACTGTACTATCAATAATGACAGTACAGTATTACCATATTTTACAGAAATTAATCTCTTGTTTTGGCAGTAAAATAGATTACATCCTCAATAAAACATGAAAATACTGTACTGTAATTCATATTACTGTATATGCAATATTATCGTCTGTTCTGGCTATAAAGTAAATTTTTAGTCTGTCTTTAATAGGGATACCCAACAATAAATGGTTGTTTTGTCTATTTATAAATCTACTTCATGTTCTCTTCACTTACACAATGCCTGAACCATTTCCCATGCCTCTCTCTGCATGCTCTTTGATTCGGTCAATATAAATTTCAACATTTTTGGGCAACTTCTCCAGTAATAGTTGCTGAGCAGCATCTGCCATCTTGTGAGCTACCTAAAAAAAGAAAAAAATATGTAGTAAAACCTGCCAATACAGTATCATGAATGCAAGAATCATAATTCTCATCTTAACAGTACACTATACCCTAGTTAATTAAACAAAAAGGGGCTCTGGGTCACTCAAATTATTAAAAAATCTGAATTAATTGAGTTTGAAATATTTGGACATTATTTGACAATTTCCTAATTTTGGTGTTTTTGCATCTGGTCATGCTTTGGCTGTCACATAAAATAATCCATTTACAGTAACTGTGCATATACTGTATATATACTTTCTTTTAAATGTACCACATTTTACGGCATATAAGACTCACCCTCCATTTCCACAGGGAGCATTTAGGAAAAACTTTTGTGTGTATTTTCCTCCTGTAACCATGGTTTTCTTAAAATAATACAGTAGACCCTTCCCATTTGCAGGTTTACGATTCGCAATTTCAACGATTCGCGGTGAGCAGCTGGTGGCTCAGGTGGCTAGCATGCAAGCCTTTTCTCCCTCAGCGCAGTGAGTCACCCCACACGCCCGTGGCGTCTCATCTCGCTCTGTTTGCCCTCACCCAGTACCCGTGACCTTGCAACCCGTGTCATACTCTCAAAACTTTCATGTTTCTTTGTGAAAATGGCCCCAAAAAGATTGCCTAGTGTCAGTGCTAGTGATGCTACTGGAGTGAAACATAAAAGGCAAAAAACAGTGATGACCCTGGCAAAGAAAATTGAATTATTAGACAAGTTAATAAAGGGGATGAGTGCTGCCGAGGTTGGTCGGTTGTTTGGTGTGAACGAATCCACAGTGCGGTATATAAGAAAGAATGAAAAAGCAATTCGTGATTCTGTTCAAGCGAGTGCTCCTGTAAGTGCTAAAGTGGCACAGGTTGTTCGTGACAAGAACATAGTGAAAACTGAGAAAGCACTGAACATTTGGACTGAGGACCAGCACTGCAAAAATGTTCCGATCGACAGCAACGTGATTCAAGAAAAGACTAAAAATCTTTATACTCATTTTTACGAGTCAACAGGTGTGCAGAGACTGAACCAACGGGGATGTCACTGTACTCTAATGTGACTTAGAAATAAACAAAATATAATATAAAACTACAAATAAGAAAAATGAAGAGCATAGGTGTGTGTGCGTGTAGGGGGGGGGGGGGTGAACGTATGTGAAGGCAGTGAATTGTACTACGTGGCTGACTCATCAGCCTCACTCCCTCCCATGTAACATTACGAAACGCACGTACGCACACACTACTACTATTACTGCTTATTACTTTGCTGTCACTCAGAATAGAGTATGATAATCATCCAGCTATGATACAATGATAGTATGAGTTATTAAGGATGTCACCTTCGTTGGTGAGCTCTAAGGTGACTCGAGAGGACAATACGGGACCGGCAGGATCATCCACAGATGTTTCACGTGTGGAGGGCTACATCTAGTGCAGGAGGGACAGCGGCAGCATCTTTCCGGTGCTAGCACTTGTCTGCCTCAACGTGCAGTCAGGCTAACTCGAAAGTATTGACACCTTCTCGTGTGGAGCTTCTCTAAGCGTTGTGGTGTGGAGTGATCGTTTCCCAGGTGAGGGGGTTGGTTTGGCACTTTTTCTGGTTTGTCTTGAGACTTATCTCATACCTTTCCCATCGCCTGTCAGCATTAAGTTTACTATTTGTTAGGTAACTGTAAAGTAGCTCCTTTGGCAGTCTAATGTCATCCATGCAGGTAACATAGCCAGTCCAATGTAGTTGTTCATGGATAATGGTAGCCTCGATGTTCCTACAGTTGGTGTCAGCAAGAATACTGGTATTTGTTCTCGTCTTCCCAGCGAACTCGGAGGATGAAACATAGACTACGTTGGTGAAAGTTTTCAAGCGCCTTGAGGTGCCTCCTGTATGTGACCCATGTCTTGCTGCCATATAGCAGGGTGGGGAGGACCACTGCTCGATATATGTGTAACTTTGTAGATAGTTCCAGCTCCCTATAGCTGAAGACACGGGTACGGAGTCTGCCAAAGTCTTGAGATGCACATCTGATTTGATGTTGAATCTCTTCATCGATGTCCGCGGTGGTGGACAGGTAGGAGCCGAGATGCTAAAAATGGGTAACATTAGAGAGGATAGTACCGTTAAGCTGGATGGATGGTGGAGGTGTGACTGAGCCAGGGGCAGGCGAAAAGAAAATCCAAATATTACGTATATCCACCTCAAGGCTCATGTCTGTATATAACACATCTGCGTAGTGTTCAGGATCTCCTGTAGGTCGCGTTCAGTGTGAGCGATGAGGGTGAGATCATCTGTATACTGAAGTTCAATGATGAAAGCTGCCAACACCTTTGTTCCTGCCTGGAGTCATCTTATATTGAGAAGTTCCTTAATCTGGTACTGGATGTCCACCCCACCAGCTAAATTGGCACTGGCACTAGTAAGGAAGGCAGCCAAGAAAATGGAAGAGAGCGTTGATGCCGGTACAAATCCTTGTTTTACCCCCGTTTGGATGAGGCAACTCCATGATGGCATGAACGGCAGTGTCCTACAGTGGCAATGAATATTAGTAGGCAGCCAAAACGACTGAGGGTCCGCCAGAGGGCTTCCCTGTTGACAAAATAGGAGGCCTTAGTAAGGTAAATGAAGGCCATGTATAAGTCACGACGCTTTTCTCTTCGTTTTTCCTGTATCTGGCACACACGCACGCACACACGCACGCACACACACACGCACACACACACACACACACACACACACACACTATAAAAACAGCCCAGTCCTAACCATTGTAAAAATTATCAACAACTCTTACTCAGCCAGTGCATTCACTCCCAGCCAATCTTACCTCTTTGCACATGTTGAAATGCCCTGTAGTATAACCTTCTCCGCCCCACTTCAATATTATAAATTATGCTTGTATCACAAGAGATGCCACAAAATTTCGTGCCTACCCATACCTGCCGCGAAAATACCGCCAACATTAAAACTACCCGCAGACATTCTTGGGTACACTCACCGACCCCCCCCCCCCATCGTTCAGTGGTGCATTGTGGTAGCTCGAAGCTTCGCTGTATTTTTCGAATAGCAGTTCATGATGTAATATTTGAGAGAATATATGCACGATACTTTTTTTTTAGTGACTTCACAACACTATATTTACCATCACTATAGTGTACTTAATACCATTATACAAGAGGGACCGTTCGGTTTACAGCCCTGACTAAGACTTTCCTCGAGCCAGGAGTAGGGGTAGAGGGTACATCGAAACTATGGCGCATGAGTGTACATCCAGGGTGTCATCCACGAATAATAGAGGACCGTGAAATAAAAATCTGCGAATTATCCGGGCATGCTGTACGCAGCTTCCCACATGTAAGTGGCTGAACGTTGCATGCAACTTGCACTAGACAAGGTTTCACGTTGAACCACAGAGCATGGTTTCGGCTTTTTCCCTTGAAGACCATAACCATACATTTCTGCTGTCTTAAAGGTGTTCACCCAGATCCCGATCTCAGCCCTATGGTCGTCGTGTGTGATGTGTCACAGAGACCCGTTTCCTGGGCATTATCTTCGACAATCAGAATATGTACATGGCAACCACATGTTTGTTACCTCAGAGAGTCTTGCTAGCATGCTCTCAAGTTATTGAGAGTCTTGGGGCACACATCGTGGGGTGCTGACCGAGGAATTCTGCAATTTGCTTGCTAGCTAGACCCAAAATGGATTATGGGTGTGAGGTGTACTCCTCAGCCACTGAAACTAGACTCAATACACTGAACTCTATTCACCACGCCGGGGTACACCTGGCGACTGGTGCCTTCAGGTCTTCAGCCATCCCAATTCTACTAGTTATGCTGATGAGCCACCCTTCGATCTTCCACGTCTATATCTCCAGGCCCAGTGTTGGTTTAGCTTCCACCGCCTTCCACAGTCTGTAACCAACACTTGTGTAGTTGACCATAGTTGGCGAGATTAAGTCCTCACACTACATTCAGCATCCAAGCCTCCCATGACCTTTCAGCTTCAGGGTAAGGGAGGTTGTGAGTATTCTTTGTCTTCCTCCTGTTCAGATATGCCCCATGCAGTTCCCAAGTGAAGTTCCGTGGATTCTCCCTGAAGTTCAAGTTTGTCGGTATTTTAACGAAAGGAAGGACATACTCCCTCCCTGTGTCATTCATTCTCTTTGTGAGAGCATGCCTCCTCTCACAGGACGACTATCCCTGTTTACACCAACCACTCTAAGTCAGATGCAAGGATGGGTTTTGGGGTAGTCTTTCCTGAAGTCTGTCAGGATGGTAGTCTTACTAATATGGCATTTATTTTTATGGCAGAGCTGTTGGGTATTTTACTTGCCCTCAAGAAAATTTTACCCAACCTCATAGCGATTTTACTATTTTCAGCGATTCTCATAGTGCTCTCCAGGCCTTAGCTAGTGTCTCATCGCCCCATCCCTTAGTTCTAGATATTTTACAGTGGCTGTATTTCATCCAACGTCGGGGCTGGAAAGTCAGTTTTGGCTGGGTTCCAGCCCATGTGGGGAAGAATAGGAATGAACGTGCTGGTGCTGGAGTAAAAGCAGATATTTCTCGCTCTGTGGCACATCATTCCCCTGTACCTGCCTCTGATATGAAGCCAGTAATAAGAGCTGCCATCTACCTAAGTTGGCAATCCAGGTGCCTGGGAATACTAGCGACTGTCGCACAACCAGGAGACTGCTTTGGCCCACCTCTGTATTAGCCACATGCCCGACTCGGAATTTTTTAATGGAGAGGGCACCCTCTCCCCATTGTGATAACTGCCTGGTCCCATTGAATGTTCGACACCTCCTGGTGGAGTGCCCCATTCTCAGAGATCTTCGTAGTAAGCACCTATCCCAGTGCCCAGGGGGAGACGGGTCTTACCATCTCTCTTTGGTGCTGGAGGGGGGAGTGGGTTTTGTGGGAGGCAACGTCTTCTCCTTTGTGGAGGAATCTGGCCTGCTACACAAGCTTTGAGGTTTATCTATTCACGTTTAAATGTTTTTACGAAAGTTCTATGTTACTTATGTTTTTTTACCTTGCATTATTTGATTTTAGCTTTTTAATTTGGCGACATAAGACCTATGCTGTTGCGTTGCCAGGGATGTAAGTACCACAATCAATTAATCATTACCAAAAATTTATATAAACAGATGTTACTTAATATTTTCTTTATATCCTATACCGTATTTACAAATACTGTACTGTTCAAAGCTTTACTTTGTGCAAATACAGTATTATGTGCTTGTATCTATATTATGTAGCCTGCAAAGTATACCACCATTAATGAAGTGGCCAGTCAGTCAAAATAACTGTCCACCCCTGGACTAGAGTATGGTAGGAGAGAAAGCTATGTAGTCGTATTGCTATTCTACTCAGGTACTCAGGGAGCATAACAAGGTGGCAGTCATGCTGAGTTAGTACAACTATCATAGGGCCCTATACAATGGCTTAGATAATACTATACTGTTGAAGTTAATTTTTTTAGTTAAATAACAATTTCTTACTGCAATTAAAATTTATTTAAAGCATTTGAATTAGATAATACCAGATCAATCCAGACACATTTATGGATACCCAGACACCCACCCACAGAGTATGACCTATTCAATTATATAACCTTTTTTGCTCTCTTCAAAATACACATATAAAAAGTTTATTGAGGATACATAATAAAATACCGTACCTTGATAGGGAGAACCCCAGAAACATATGCTGTTCCATAAACATATACCAGTTCTCCAAAGTCCGTAAAATCAGCTGCATACAGGCCTTCCACAGAGGGTTTTACTTTTAAGGTTACTTCACCCTTTCCCATTGGATAGAAGCCTCTGAAATAGATGTGTTGAAAATAATTATTTATCTTCAATAAATACTGGTTTTCAAATCCAGTAAAATCTTGATAAATTGGAATTCACTTTTTAAGGACTCTCTGAGGTGGTCTGGACCACTCCTCTATTCGCCAAAAATATTTTTAAAAGTCTGGAAAATCCAGCATCAGTCCAGACGGTTTGTGTTCATACATGCAGTTGATCGTCTGTGTGTGGGTGTCATGCAGCATGTGTCTCACTATCTCATACTCTCAGTCTCACATGTATAGTATCAGTTTGCTGCAACTCACTACCAACACTTATTTACAAAAACTTTTTTGTTGAGTACATAGTATCTTTAACGAGGATACTAGAGGGCTTTAAGAAATGGGTTAAAACTATCTAAGTACTGTACTGTACACTGTACAGATGTACCCCGCTTTACGCGGTCAATTGGACCCACAGGGTACCTCGTTAAGTGAACAACAGAACATATGGGATTAATTCCAATAGAGACTGGCCCGACCCCCAAACTCCACTTTTTGACGACACACAACTATGTTGTAGTAAAAATTTTATCTTAACTTTATGATGGTATGAACAAACAAGTAATATACAAGAGGTTAGGTTAGGAAAAATAAAGGTTAAGTTAGGAAAAATAAAGGTTAGGTTAGGAAAACTAAAAGTTAGGTGTAACACTTACATTAGTAGAAGAGATGGGTCGGCATACGGGGATGGAGGCGGAGGGGAGGGAGGGAGGAGGAGGGAGAGGTGAGGCAGGCGGCAGGCGGGAGCGGGTGGCGCAAATCTAAAAATAGCGTCTCGAGCCGGACACTCTGCGCGTATATGGGTAGATGAACCGCGTTAAGTGAAAGTTCGGTTCTGGAGAGGCACCGCGTATATGAGAAATCGCGTTAAGTGAAACCTCGTAAAGCGGGGTACAACTGTACAGTACATATTTTAAGAAATACATTTGTCAGGTTTATGTATTGATTCAGCATTATATTCTCTTATGATTAGCCTCTTAAGGTGTATGGTTCATCATGATTAATGTAACACCTTAAAAAAAATACAATATGTAATCTGACTTGAAAATAAAATAATTAACTCAGGATGTGTGTGTGTGTGTGTGTGTGTGTGTGTGTGTGTGTGAGAATTTCAGCAAAACAGCTGATAACAAGAAACTGAGAAAATATTATCAGCCATTATTAAATGCTAACATGTCATACTGGTTATCATTTTTCTAAACAGATGAGAAGTTGGACAGACACATCTTTCCTCAAGGAGATTGATGACTGGAGAATCTGATGTTCAACATTGTAAATCAAAGAGTAATCTGTGCAGGAGAAAGAGTTGAGTTGAGTGACATCAAAACTCATCACATTCCCATGTCGTAGGCCCCGGCATAAGGAAAACTATGACCTTCAATTTCTCATTATGAATGACAGTTGTCAAAAGGAAGTGGACAATCTTTAGATTATCACAAGGTGCCAGGCCCTATAGATTTGCTTGGAAAATCCTAAAAAAAAGTCCTGAGAGTACATACTCATGGTCACCCCAAAATGGTGTTACATGATAAAGTCAGGTAACTCCCGAGATACGATGGGGTTACGTTCCTGAAAAACCCATTGCTAGGCGAAAAATTGTAAACAGGGAGCATTATAACATGGGGTTCAATGGGATGCGTTCCCAGCCAGTCCCAAAACACACATGTAACACCAACCAAAAATTTCCTACAATACTACTGTCAGTACAAAACAGTAAACAACACTCAACACATCATATTGTATAAATCTGGTCATCATCACATGTCTCCTTCGAGGCTAAGGGGACTCTTGTAGGTGGAGTGGAGACATCACTCTGACTCCCATACCGCCTCTAGGGAGTCTCATGCTGCTTAAGAATGTCAAGCTTCACCTCAGAGACATGGTTGTCTTGGATGCCTTGGCCCTCCCAGACATTTTCAAAGTTATACTGCTCACTTCAGTCACAAAATGAGAGCAAAAGCACTTGTCACAAAAACAGAGCGAACGATGATAACAAAAACACTAACGGCCGACACTGCTCACATTTTCAAAACAACAGAGTCGACACAACTTACGATCACAAAAACAGAAAATATCACTTCACAGTCACCATAACAGAGTTCAATCTAAATGTTAGTGCTGTCCTCTCACTATATAAGAAAAAAAACACTGATAATAAGTAGAATGTACGATGCCGGCTGATAATAGTGGAGCCATGCACTGGAGGGTTTACGATTGACAAAGAACCAGACACAGGGCTGCAATGCGCGGGTTGGCCATGTGGCGGCATGTGGGTAGACTGACAAGTGAAGGAAGAGATGTGTGGTGCATTGGGTTAAATATTGTTTCCTAATAAAATGTCACTGACTTGCCATAGAAAAATAACTTGCATTGATGGAATCCTAACAAGGCGACAATTAATTTGAATATAAACAACCCATAGTTTACATTTGAGAAAAAAAAATCCGACCAATGGATATTGATGGATATTGTTAATGGGAGTTGCTTTGATCGTACATAGGGAGATGGTGTTAATTCGTAACCATTGTTAAAGTGAAATATCACATCTTGGGGGGGGTAACCTGTGTCATTATAGTTCATACTGGTCCAATTCTGAAAAAAAATATGATAAATTAACTACTTGGCATTGTGTTATAGCCAACATATAATAACTTAGCTTTCATATCTTTACCTTTTATTGATGGATAGCTGAAATTCCCCTCCAAACCATGAAAGAACTTTCCTGAAGACCTGAAAAGAAAAAATTACTTAACAGTACTTCTCTGTATCTGAAACAGGACTTCTTGTATGGTTAGCTCAATGACTTCTAATTACTTGTATAAGAAAGTTGAAGTTCCCTAAAACATAAAAAAAAATCTAAAACTTTCCAAAGCCATTCAATGACTCCAAAATAAAAATATTGTACAGTACAGCATATAAATTGTTGACTGCAGGCTGACCCTAATTTACAAACAGGTTGTGTTCCTGAAAACACCTTTTAAGCAAAAATTCATACATGTATAACAAAACCTATTTTCCATTTACTTTCATTAATAATAGATTTTATTTACTTAGCTTCAAAGGCAAAGATGTTTGGCTTGATTGGATTAATGGAGGTGGGTGTTAGGAGAGGAGGATTAGTCGGAGGATGAAAAAGAAACAGGACTAGGTGGATTATCCACTCCCACCCTTCTTTTGCCTAATCACTTCTAATTTTACGTCTATACTATAGCTAGAGTGCTTCCTTTTGAGCACTGCACCACCCTGTTTGGGTTGGGAACTTATGGCTACAAAAATTATAAAATGATTCACCACAACATGAACAAAAAAAAAAAATATCGCAACAAAGGCAGGAGTAAACACAACATGGTAGGACACAGAGGCATGGTAGGTAATGCAGGTGGCCAGATATGGAGAGATTTTCCCAGATAATATCACATACCTCGGCATTTCCCGAGTTATACTAATACATTCCGAGACCATATCCATGTCAAGTTATATGAAATTCCGAGTTATCAAATGCCCAGTTATCGAGGGTTTACTGTACTGAAGAAATTAGACAGTGGTACTGTACATTGGTCAGGGCCTAGTGTGCCTTTTTTTAACATCGGCTTCAATGGTTCAGAATTTTTTATCATACGGAACCGGTCCGGCCCCAAGTTTCCCGGATTAACGAGGTCCAACCTGAATTAAATTAGTTGGGTCACAGGACCATACAGTGTTATTGTCTGTACTCTTTATCATTGTAAATATATTAAGTGTTAGTTGTTACAAGCTGGTGTTACTTTGAACCCTGATTACACGATTTAAGGAATAGTTTCCTTGGATGTATGCTCACAATGAAATTGTATGGAAATGTCATTTTCAACTGTCAGCTGGAGGTAGCAAAGGTTTGTCTACATGATTCTGGTCTGTTAACCAAAGCTGTTATTTCAGAACGTGAGTCTGATAAATGGGCCTAGGAGTTAAAGCACTGCTGGAAGAGGAGGATTATTCAGTAGTGGTCGTAACAGTAGAAACAAGGACATTCATAATGAGAAAATTAACAATGCTCAAAGAAAACAACACTGTTGTGTGCAGCTAGCGCGAACAGTGTCTTATTGTATGGCGGTAAAACATGGGCATTTAATGACATACTGTTCACTATCACCAAACACTTATCTCACGCTATAAGGACTATGCAATCTGAAAAATGAACAAAGAATCTGAAACCATTCCGAGATGACAAGCCCCATTCTGCTCATTCTCACATCCATCGTCCCCAGGTGTTTGAGAAGTTTTTGTTGAGTGTACATAGGCTTCAGTAAGCTAAAATAACAATGGTGAGAGGGATGTGTAACATGACATTGAAAGACATGTATCCCTATCCCTGTTTTGAGCTAAGAGGCCACCTGGGTATTGAGAATATTGGCAAGGTCATGTAAACAATTATGCTGAGATGGATTAAAGGAAGAGAACAAAGATTGGCCAAGAGGTGACATGGGGAGAAGTTGTGAAAAATGACTTCAGAGATAATACTTTCTGACCATTCCTCTACTATTACTATACTCCTACAACTACTTCTCTGTTATCAGGCAGTCACAACAACCATTGCTCCTTAGTAGTTATAAAAAATATTTATCTTATTGATCACATGTCCTACAAAAAGAAATCATTCTTACCTGTATTGTATAATCAACCTGTGGAGCAAATTCAGCATTTGTGCCACCACGTAGTACAAAACATGAGGGAGAGTCAGCATATAGTGCACATGGCAGGACTGACTGGACTAGTAAACTTACACTCCTGAAAATACATTAATAAAAGTAAAGTAAGTTTGCTGGGCTTTAAACAAACAATTATATTAACTATGCTATGTCATAAGGTCTGGCAGCAGGACCAAGAGAGATACCATGACTACTTGACCCTATATTAATGAACACCTGAATGGTTCAACAGTCACAATGAACCTCCCCTTCTACCCTTATCTCCCCACTAATGAAGCATGTTACCTAGCTGGAAGGTACAGTACCTATAACTGCATGGGAGATATGGGAGATTTAGTTTCCACATGGAGAGAAAGAGGGACTTAATGGGTCTTCAAGCATGAAAAACACATGTGAAGCTGGAAAGTTACAAATACCTGTACTTGAAGGGTTGTTCATTTATTTATTATAAAAAAAATCTGATTCATTTGATTTAAGTCATATTTTTGTTCAATCCAGAATGCGAAGTCTAGCTTTATACCTACGTATGTATATGCCTTGCACTAACTCGCCAGGCCAACATACAGGCAATTAAAACATCTAATAATTACTTCAATACATAATATTAGGAGGACACGTCGCAACCTGGCATTTAATTGCAATTCTCAAAACCCCCTCCCGCACCCTCCATCACACGCATTGCTACCGTCATCTTCTTGCCTGGCGAATCAGCTGTAAACGCGCACAAAGAAGCTCCGCTAATTTGTGTTGTAATAGCTGAAATATTGTCACAAAGATTTTAGTTTCTGTATTTATACATCTTAGCACGGTGAGACAATTGAGTGAACTTTATTTTGATTGTGTCTCTCAGATATCGTGTTTTATTTAAATCTGATTTTTTTATTCAAGTTTGTATGAATCCGAATCCAAAAAAATTATTATTGCACCATGATAGTCACCATCCAGTCCAAAATGAGTATATTACATCATCAAAGATGAGTATTGCATCATCCACTGGAATGCACACACTGCTCATGGCTTTCATAATGAAGATGCTTAAGTAAGTCCGAAATTGTTGTGTATTTTAACAAGGCCTAAGAGACAATAGAAATGGATTTTTATGCATATTAAATGTCTTGTTGTATCCAAAAGTATTGCAATTCAGTTGGTTTTGCTAAATTTTTCTATATGCAAATTAGAAAGAAGTTATCAGTGTCCTTAATATTTACATGCAACTCCTACTTGTTTAAAGCATAAGTACAATACATGGGAACATGTAAGCTGAGGTAAGAAAGGTGATGCTACTCATCTGAAATTTGTTTGTTGTTTCAGTAACGGAGCAAATATTGTAGTTTTTGTTGTGAGAACACTGAATAGTGAACGTTACAAAAGTTGAAGTTTCTTTTGTTTAGTTATAGAGTTTAGGCTTCTGTGTTAAGAGCACATTCTGTTTCTGTGGCTGATTAACAATACAGTAGGCTTTGTTTAGTTTTTTCTGCCTTCCCTTTACATTTATGTGTAAAAATCAATTTGTGATTTAAATCGATGATTTTTATAAAATATCTTTTGATATAAATCATTTAAATTAACTTGATTTAAATCAAACAACCCTGTGTACTTGTCTTCCGGTTTCAACTCCTATAACTGAGGCAAGGTCAATTTCAGAATTAAAAATAAAAATTGGCAAATTTAAAAGGCACAAAAAAGGAAAAACAAATATAAGAGCAAGAGAATTAAAAGTTAGTTTTGAGCTGTTGAGGATACTGATGCCTCATTCTTGTAAAAGTATCAACTTACCATGAACTGAAATTAAATATAACATCAAACATTTTGCAAAAAATAATGCGTCTTACCCTGCAGTCTGAGTGTCAGCCATGTATCGACCACCAGAAATATGGTCAGGGTAAAAACTCACTTCACACGACCCAATCTGACCTCCCTCCAGCTTGCCATTACAAGCATCACGAGCTATCTGGAGTCCTGCCAAAAAATTATTAAATACTGTATAACAAGGTAACACACACGCACGCACCCACACACAATGTACAGTATATATACACCACAACATCTAGAGTTTAAAGACTTGTGTGAGACACTGAGTTGGAAGGAGGGAAGGAGGGGGAGACTAGCTGGTGTATGTTTTATCATTGGAAATATAAAATATTAAACACTATAGAAAAATATTATATATAATTTGACATTAAAAATATACGACAAGCCTTAGTTTTCTTAAAATAATATACTGTATACGGTACCAGTAAATGTGAGGAATAAATAAAATAATAAAAATAAATAAGTTACAACAAAACATACTGTACAAATACTGCTAAACTATTAAATAAAATCCAAATGAAAGTATATTCCCTTTATGTGTTTGCCTTATGACAATTACTGTATTTCTTTTACTTTTTTCACAATACTGTATGTATATAGACAGGTGTGTGAATTTAAACAAGTAAAAATAAATGAAGAAAGTTACGTATATCTACCCGAAAAGACGAGTTAAAAAACAACATAACACCTCACAGCTTGACCCAGTAGCCTGGTGGTTACAGTGACTAGTCTACCCTGGTTACACTGTCACCCACGATATTAACAGACGCAAGTGTGAAAAGAAAGTTATCTGTAAATCTTCATTTGATATGAAGATACCTTCCTAACAATGTTATTTATTACTTTTGAGTAATGAATAAACCAGGGTACATGCAAATACATAATACTGTACAGTATATGTACTATCGTGGACAAAAGTTCGCTCCCTCCAAAACTGAAGCAGTATCGACCCCAAATGAGACAAAACAGCACACCCGCACACAGTCAGGGTAGTCAGTTCGGAGACTCATTCCCGTGACTCAGTTCCACCATAGGGAGCGAACTTTTGTCCACGATAGCACATAATAGTTTGCACTTTTCTTCATGGAAAAGGTATCAAGTATCAAGAGAGAGTGTGTTACTAATATTTTGTAAGGGCTAGAGCCCCTATTATTTTGTAATATGAGGGTTTTACTATAATGTGAAGCTTCATCAGAATGTCCAAATCAATACAATGAAATGTTTATGGACACCTAAGTATAGATGGACAAGCCCATACCAAAAAAAGTGTAAACAATTACCTGTTAAATGCTGAGGGCGTAGACCAGGATTCTTTCTTCCCGCACGTACTTTATTTACTGTGATGGGGATATCTCTCACTGCACTAAGAGCAAGACCCATACGTAGAATCTGCCCACCCTGCAATTGGAAGATATCAATCATTACATGACACAAGTTTAATATGAATGGAGAAGAAAATTTAGAAAATCCATTATACATCATTTAACCCTTAAACCCCGGTTGATGTTCCTGAACGTTCTTAATTTTGGCTGCATATTTTCAATGTCCAGGTGGGAGGTAATACTTTGTATGGGATATTTGTGTAATTGGCAACTCAACTTGTGTATATTTGTCTGAAGACGCATGCCTCATGGTCAGTTACCCGCCAGATATTGTGAGGGATGCACGTGATTAGACCCTTCTTATAACCCACCTCACTGCTCCTCACCCAAGTGCAAGCAAAATCATATGCTTGGCAGTAGTGCTGTTCATCAGAGTTAGTTGATTATGTGTGCAGGAGTTAGCGGTGATCTATGTTATGGTTAGAATATTTTTCAACACATAATTTCAAGTAAATGTACAGTAGTTAAAAAAGTATCTGACAGGGTGGGTCAGATGACTTCCGAAATTATACATAAAACTTGTGATGTCTCGGGAGGGTTGGTATGCGTGTCTTCACCCACCGCCATTCACTTTCCAAGTCGGGGCAAGTTGCCATATAGGAATAAAATAAATGGTTAAGTGATTACTATCACATAGTATAAGGAGACAGTTGTCATCAGTATTTATATTTGGGTTACGAATTAATACAGCATACATGGGGTCCCGAAGAAGTGCATAAGAATCGCCTTTTCTTTATGTTGCCAAGTATTAATCAATTCTTGAGACAAGGTTCAGTGTTGGTAAACCTGTTCCACGAAACACACCACAATGCTGGTTTTGAAGCATATCAGAGGCAACATGAGGCAAATACAGTGTACTGTGTTAGTTATGCCATTCAGAATGGAAACCTCCGAGGAAACACAAGGAGCTACTGTCGCCCTCCACAATGAAGGATACAATATTTCTGATATGCCTGGCGGGTTGATGTCCATCATAATTCTGCCGCACTATGAATTTTATGAATTAAGCGAAACCTGGAGACTAGCACTACTGACGACCACGCTGTACTTCTTCCCCAGAGGGCAACCAGGTTGAGTGTGTGTCATAAAATAATGTGGAGGTATGTGGGAAATGTAGGGGTTATCTAATGACATACAGGGGGTCCTCGCTTAACGTCGGGGTTACGTTCCTAAATACACGACATTATACAAAACAACGTCAAGCGGATCAATTTTCCCCATAAGAAATAGATAAAATACGGGAGTTACGTTCCTGAGCCTCCCATTGCCCCATGAAATACATTACATAAATAGAAAATCATTGCCAATTCTATATAAAATAGTGCATACATATGCAACTACAGTACTAAGTTGGTATTGGTACTCACCGATGGGCGGAGGTGGTAGAGGGAATGTGTGGTAGGTAGTGAAGCAGGGGAGGCGGATGGCGGGAGGGGAAGCGGATGGCGGGAGGGGAAGCGGATGGCGGGAGGGGAAGCGGATGGCGGAGGGGAAGGAGGGCGGAATGGAGGAGGGCGGAGGTGAGGAGGAGGGCGGGAAGGGAGGAGGAGGGTGGGAGTGGAGGAGGGCGGGAGAGGAGGAGGGTAGTGAGTCACTGAGACTGCGCCGAGCCGAGAGAGCATAGCACGGGCAAACGAGAGAGGGTGATGCACAATAAAATGTAGTCTGTGACAACATATAACGACGTAGTATCAGATCATCGGGACGTTAAACGAAATTTTGGTCTCTAAAAGTTTAGCAATGTAGTACTGTACTGAAACAATGTTAAGTGGGATGACGTTATACGAGTACTTACTGTAATATCATTTTCACTCTATATTTCTCGTAACCAGGCCTATAATTATCACAGCTTATTTCTCTTAACCAGGCCATAACAACTGCCATTGACATTGACCCACTCAAGTCCGCTGCTAGCATCAGTGATGACCTCGACCTGCATTGCAACACTCAGTCTGCAACAGGCATCACTCCAAAGGGCATCACAGTTGTAGACCTGCAATCAAACAATTGTTAACTGAACGTCACATGGAGGCCAGAATGAAATACACACTTGAGTAAGCTGACAAGCCATAAATGTTTTGGGACCGAGTAGTCTTCTGCGATGAAAAGACATTTCACACAGATGGTCCCACATCGACCCGATATGTTTGGCAGTTGGTTAACAGCAGGTAAGCCTCTGTTGGTGTGTGTGTGTTTTCGCACACAGGTGGTGTAATGCATCTAGTGTGGCAGCATTATGTTAGTATTAAGGTGCAGGCATTGCTATTTTATGAACCCTACTTTTACTAGTCACAAAACCTACCGAAAACACACATTGCTCAACTCGAAAGCCATATTGGTTGAAAATGCAAATTTACTAATTCTTTAATACTGTAAGTATTTTCTGTTTAATATGGCGGGGGGGTCTGTCCCCCAGCATGGAAGTTAGGTAAGGTTAGGTAGGTTTCTTTCGTTGGTCAGCTCAGGTTGTATTAAGTTCTAGATTATTGTTGTACAATATTTTCAACTAATATGCAGTTGAAGGTTTTTGACTGAAAAACTGAATAGATCTCATCGAGAGCTACCTTCTGAACCCTACTTTTACTTGTTGCAAAAACCATCAGAAAAGAGACATTGCTCAACTCGAGAGCATTGGTTGAAAATGCAAATTTCCCCATGAGGCTTCAACAAAGTTTCTTTCATTGGTACCAGATATCAAAATAAGGGTAAAGATTCGTTTTAACATCCTTTCATTTTTACAGGGAAATATATTTTTCTGGTGTATTTTGAGTGCTTCATTTTCTTTGGAAAATGTCAAAGTGACATATAGAACTAATCAAAGAAACCTACCTAACTTCCTCGGACCCCCACCATATTAAATACAGGGGGTCCGCATTATCTACGGTTACTTGGGACCAGAAAAACGCCTCTGATAACAAATTCACTTAGAGCAGGGAATTAATCCCATAAAAAATAATGGAAATAGGTCAAATTGGGACTGCGACATTGTACATGACACTCAACAAAATTTATATACTGTATCTTTCAACAATTATTTACCTTAGAAACATCTGTTAAACATTTGATAACACGTTGTTTTAAGAATAATTTAACTTTATAAGTTATCTAATGTCCTTAAAGTTCATTGAAGTCAGTGTGTTGAGGCAACGAAGGTTGTGTCAGTGACCTGGTGGTCCGCAGCAACCGTTGCTGGTTGCAGAAGACTGGCGCGGGGAAATGTTTGTGCATGCATTATACTGTACCAGGAAGAGGATGAAATTCCAAACGCTTCAACTAAAAATCCGTAGGTTTTATTGGGAATTTTCAGAGTTCTCGAGTGTTTTTTAGTGGAATCCACTTAAATGTGGGGACTTTTTACGTGGATGGTCACAAAAAGTTGAGCACTTAACTGCGAAACCGCTGTTAGTGAATACAGGTACTCTTATAACGAGGACCTCCTGTAGAAAGTGCAGTATGTACTACTTATTCTGTTATCCGGTACACATGAAAGCGACTTTACTGAAGCGTCATGGCCTAATTTGACGTTCTTAATGGACGCGAGAGTACGCTCAGACTGAGCGGGTCGGTTGTAAACAGACGACACACAGTGACTTGGCATATTTTTCGGAGGAATATTTAAGGTAAGTACTTCAACTTTTGATATTACCTCCAAAATAATGACTATCCAAGAATGATGAAAGGTAACGTAACCTATACCTAAAGTCCAAAGAGAAAAATATTAACTCTTTCAATACAAACTGGTGGGGAGGTTAAAACAAATCTTAACCATAATAAGTACTGAACTTCCTGTTTAATATGGCTGGCTCCGCCCCTCAGCTAGGAAGTTAGCTAAGGTTAGGTAGGTTCTTTGGTTCGTCTGGTCGGGTCAGGTTCAAGTAAATGTCGCATTTTTTAATATTCGTTTAAATGGTTTCGGCAAGATTTTCGTATTTGGTTATTCTAAGGTTAGGTTAGGTTAAGTAAGGTTAGGTTTGGTTAGGTTTCACCAGTGATTTGTTAGTCGAAATTGTTATGAGAATAGGAAGTTTTGGTATATTAAAGTCTGACTTTCATTTTCTACCAAATTCACAGATTTGCCCCCAAAATGGCCAGATTTTAATAAAACACATCTAAATTCTGTGCACACACAGAAAAAAAAACTGTTCTCCGAACAAAAAGGATCCACAGCCATGAAACGAATATTTACCGATCCATCCATCTCCTCCAAGATTATCATTAAGTAAAAAGAGCATAACAACTCTCCAGACCTGACATAATAGGGCATCCCATATCAGAGTAAGTTCTTTCTGTTTAATATACCGGGGTGTCCGAGGGCTCCGCAGGGAAGTTAGGTAAGGTTAGGTAAGTTTATTTAGTTAGGGTGGTGAGGTCTGTTTTTCATACCCATAAAGGTTTGGTTAGCTTTAATTTAGAAATAACCACTCTTTAACACATTTGCACAAACTACACCAATGTCCACTATAAAAATAAAGTGAAATTGCGGCGTTCTTAAAATCATTTTCTATGAAAAGTCGGCCGCGGTTCAATTATCAATATTTTTTTTTTTTACGGGGATTAGCCCTCCTGGGCACAGGTCACTGACCCACATCGGGGCAAAAATGTAATAATAATAATAATAATAATAATAATAATAATAATAATAATAATAATATAATAATAATAATAATAATAAAGAACCATAGAAAAATACAAAAATGAAAAAAAAATCAAGTGAGAAACAATACAGTATATGTATGTTGTGTTGTCAATAGTAAGAGAAACGATTGAGACCCTGCAATTGTGTGTAAATGAGACAGAAAGTCAGATCAGCAACCTGGGACTTGGTCACAATTTTCGTGATGCCATATAGCAGCAGGATCTACCATTAGAGAATAAATTATGCTTCCAATATCTTTCCAGGCAGTAGTACCATTACACCTTCTTATTTCTGGTGCAAATTAGAGGTTTTTGCATAACAGGGAACATCTTTCTTTGGGTATATTTTTACTTTCGGACATACCGAGCCCCAAAGTTATAAGCTACTGAAACATTTAGATCTCCCTATTCTGAGAATTTTTGAACGCCCATTTATACTAGTCGGAAATGGAAAATAGCGACAATTGAATTTAATTGATTTTACGTACTTTTCAGTCTTCGTCTGTGAAGAGATGTTATCTGCGTGAAATGGAGTTAATTATGCATCACACATGCACAATATTGACTGACGTCATCCAGTCGTGACCAATGAAGTATCGATATCACGCGATTATTTTTTTGACCAATCACATTTAAATTTTTTCAAAGGAAGCAGCCTGGGTATGGATTTGAATTTCAATGACCAGTCTGACAATGGCCGTGGTGGAGGTTGGGTTTGATTCATGCTTCTACGATTATTTTAATTTTTTTGCCAAGTTTTAAATGAACGAAGATCATTCTACCCAATTCTTACGTACCCCTAGTCCTTCGACTTTTAACTAAAGTATTGTACACCCCAAAGTTTTAAACTACTGAAACATTTAGGTTAGGTTAGATGACTCGTTTTCGTGTTCTCCCCCAACCAAAAACCCAGATTTCTCAAGTTCTCTCCCATTACTGTTGGGGGGTCGGGGTGGGGCAAAAACGAGCAATTTCCGCCAAAAATGAAGGTCAAATTCGATTAAAACACACCAAAATACACTGTAATAACATATTGGTCAACCCCTAGGGACTCATGTCCCAAAGTAAAAGTTTACCTAACAGAAACCACTAATTTGCACAAAAATGGAGGTCTGATTTGAGTAAAAAACACACACACACACACAATATATATATATATATATATATATATATATATATATATATATATATATATATATATATATATATATATATATATATATATATATATATATATATATATATATATTCTCATACCAAATGAACCATCCAACCTAAAAGGACTACTTCAGGTCAACATGACGGGAAGCTGCGGACAACCAAAGGAGGAATATAAAATTTCTTCAAGGCAATATTCCTCGGGCGTTGGCCCAGCTGATCGAATAATACAATTGTTCAACTCTCAGACGTCTACCGCCATAAAACCCAAAGACTCACCCCTTCCAAGTAACTGCCATCAATAACTACTGGTGTCGCTGCCGCCATTATATTATGCCTTAATCTATAGTGGAGAGCGGTGGCCGCCGAGTGGAGACGTCTCCTGAGCAGAATTGGTTACTGGTGACAGGCAACACAGTCCGTCAGAGGGCCGGCGAGTGACACGGTGCAGTGAAATAAAAACAATGAGGGAACCGAGGTATAAATGCAAACATTACAAAAATTAAATAAAAACAATGACCTCAAATTGTTTAGAGCTCATCTTTGTGTATTTTTCTAATTGTTTAAAATGCTTTTTAAAATTTATCCTCTTCGCCACTGATCGGCTCGTTAGCCGCTTGGGCGGTACGGTAGGACACGCCCGATCCAATACTTTTACCTTTACTCTTACCCTCTTCGCCACGATGAAAACCCGAAAGACCCACAAAACTACAGACCGATCAGCCTACTAGAGGTCTTAGGCAAAACATTTGAAAGACTATACTAAAGACGCCTCAGGTACCACCTTGAAGATGAAGAACTACTATCCTACAAGCAGTTCGGATTCAGGGCACACCACTCAACTCAGGACGTTACTGACAAACTACCTTTGTATGAACAAGACAAGACAGCACTCATCACCAAAGACGTACAGAAAGCGTTTAACACAGTCTGGCACGACGGATCGCCCAAGTGGCAAACGAGCCGACCAGTGGTGAAGAGGATAACAGTAAATAGTAAAAGGACTAAATATAAAATATGCACTAATTTTAACCTCCCCCCCCCCCTCACTACTTCACACTGCACGTGTAACAGAGACGAAAGGAGAAACCTAATTGAGGTGTGTATAAGCATCTCAAGGGGCACTACTCAGTCGAGTGACCTTACTTGGAGCTGGCGGACGTTCGCCCCACACGGGGTCACAACTCAAGATTGAAGAAGCCGCAAGTCCAGAAAACTGTGGGGACAAACTTTTTCGGAGTGAGAGATGTGAACTCTTGGAACAATCTACCAGAAAGTGTTGTGACGGCACCGAGTGTGAGCTGTTTCAAGACAAGACTTGACCAACACTGGAGCAGGTTCAGGTACATTCAGGAGCCGGTGCATGCCCAGTACTGGCCAACAGTGTGTAACAGAGACGTGACCGATCGCCCTGGCGGCTAACGAGCAGATCATTGGTGAAGAGGATAAAACCAAAACCAATACGGGTTCGGTACTTAGATTTGTTTATCTTCATCCGAAAGAATGACTGTTCACACACATGGTACTTCCAAACTGCACAGCCCAAAAACATGCATTGTAATGAATGTGTGGTAACTTTTCCTTGTCCACTCTCCCATGAAATTCAGCAAGACTGTGGTTGGCAAAGAATGCTTGAAGAGAAGAGTTGGTCTGGATGTCAAATATTTCAAGCTGCATTTCTGCATCACTAAACTTCCCAGCATTCACGAGGAAGGGATTCTCATACAAAGATAGGCTCTGTTCTCTTCCATGAATATCCTGAATGCGCTTCTCAAAGTTTTCCTTCAAGTCTTCACATTGCTTGACGAATCTGTTGTATTCAGGGGGCACCACAGTTTCATCAGGCGCTGACTGCATTGCTTTGAACTGCAAAAGATTGCTCTTTTCTAGTTGCTTTTGGAAGAGAACAAGTTTGCTTTTTTTTTCTTCGCCACTTATCAGCTTACTAGCCGTTTGGGCGCTCTATCCGGTGTTAGTACAAGAGGAAACCGGGACCAAGAAACCTGCTGTGCTTGGTAGGGTCACACTGGATAACACCCTTCGGAATATTTTGACATGGTTCATGAGTTCTGTGATCAGCTGATCACGTCCTTGTATCCTACTGTTAAGAATGCTCAGGTGCTGAGTTATGTCCACTAGAAATCCAAGGTCCAGAAGGTTGTAGTGGACGTCTCCCCTACAAACTGCGTAGCTGCACACCACCTGCTACTGTCTTCCCTAGCAACCAAGCGTATCCGCATTCCAATGCCCGCCGTATCCTAGCAACCGAGCCAAAAGGCCGGCGACTTCTCGGGTTTTCCCAACATGACTCATAGCGGCTGCTGGGTATATAAGCTCTGTCTCTCCCTTGAGATTCATTCTGACCAATCTTCTTGAACAAGCAACACCTCCTCCTCCGCCGCTGCCTGGCGGCCCCTCGCTTCTCCTCGCCTGCCTGGCGGTCCTCGCTCCCGCCAGCGAGCATGTCCTTCCCTGAGCTTCCTCACCAACCAACTCTCATTCTGCCCATTTTCCTGAACAAGCAACACCTCCTCCAGCAAGCTCCTAGCTGTTAACATTTATTCAACCAGGAGGCCAGCAACAGGCAACATCTTCTCTAACGAAGCTCCTGCACATCTACCTCCTTCAACACGCTACTCACCGAACGTCTTCTACTGAGCAGCTCCCCACCACACGGCATCTCCAGCACCAGACTGTCTATAATATAACTTATATTATACAAGAAAACCACATTAGAGTTTCCTTCCATCCTGAGTGCTAGACAACATTAATATCTCGATACCCCTACAAGGTCATCCTGCAGGCCACACCTGACCATCCCAAAGGACTACATTTGGCCCGCGGGCCATGAGTTTGACACCCCTGCACTAAGGCATAAGCATGCAGAAACTGTGCTGATTGTCATAGCTTGTAAAGTGAACCATTTGATCGATAAATACATACCCAAGACCAAACCAAGTGCCTCTAGGAATACAAGGAGACCCCTACACCTGAACCATGTGGCAGTCGACAAGGTTATGAAGAAAACTCAGAAATTCAAGGTGTGGGTTAGGTCAAACGATGAGCAGGACAGGATGTATGCCAGATCCAGGAACCAAGTAAAGTCAGAGTGTAGAAGGGATGAAAAAGAGTTCCAGGGACAGATTACAAGTGAGGTCTAGTCAAACCCTAAGGCATTTTACCGCTATGCAAAGTCGAAATAAAAACGCGAGTAGGATTATCGGACCTGAGGTTTGAAGATGGTAGTTACGCAGATTCTGACCCAGACAAAGCTGAGGCATAAACCTACCTGCGTTTGAGGACAGATGGTTCAACACAGCTCTGACCCACATTGTGGTCACAGAAGAGGTTAAAAGAAATAAAAGAGTAAAGTAACCAATTTTATCGATAAATATATACCCAAGGCCAAACCCAGTGCCTCTAGGAATACGAGGGGATCCGTACACATGAACCATGCGGCGCCTGCAGCGGTCGACAAAGTTAAGAAAACCCAGAAATTCAAGACGTGGGTTGGGTCAAACAATGAGCAGGTCAGAAGGATGTAAGCAAGAGCCAGAAATCAAGTAAAAGTAGAGTGTAGAAGGGCTGAAAAGGAGTTCCAGAGGCTGGTTGCAAGCTAGATCAAGTCAAACCCAAAGGCGTTTTATATGTACAATGAAAGACAGAAGTCGTGTCGTGAAATTTGGTGAAAGCCTATGCCGAAGGGCTAAACTTTTGGTGCGCTCTGCCTTGTGGTTGGGGGCTCTCATAATGTTTCATGAGTTATATTTAATTTTCGGACAAAACCGTGACACAACTTTTGTCTTTGATTGTATAAAGAAACACTTGATAGCCGCACTCTTTTGATTTTCTTCCTCACATCACTTCCTTTCTGAGACTTATGAGAGATACTTGGCATGATGTCTAAGCACAGTACAGTAGTTAGCTGACTGAGAGGTAGCAGTGAACAACACACCCAGTGGTGGCAGGACACAGACTTGAGCGGATGTAAACAAACCATGTGCCAAGCGGTGCATTTGGCGTGGAATTTAACAGTCACGCTCGATTTAGTGAACTAGTTTGTTAAATCAAGTGAAAATAACAGAAATTTTGATTTAACGGAAAGCGGTGGGCTTGAGTTAGTTCGTTAAATCGAGAAAATATCCTAACGTCATTCACTAGTGTGATCCTGAGGGGGCAGGACTTGTTCTCCTGCCTTTACCTAACCTCCTCATGCCTTGAGTTGGAGCTGACAATTTCAGAGCCTCCTCACAAATATTCTGAAATTTCAACTTATCATGCATTTTCCTAGTTTCCGTTTCCTCCGACTGACTCCAAACACTATTATGTTGTTCCTGCACTCGGAACGTTCTCGTTTTCCTCCTCTTCCATATCAGTAGGATAACTAGTTGTTAACTCTTCTGCAGAGTCCCTAGCTACTGAAGGACCTGCTCAGATCCTGCATTACTCTTCGTCACTTTCTGTGACCCTGCTGTAACCTGAGCATAGTTCTTCTTAACTACTACTTAATTCCTCAGTCTTAGTGAGGATCTCTCACCCAACCTGCTCCAGCTTGGCAACCAACATGGACTTAGCTTCCTCTATTTTTGTCTATTAAGTATCTCTTTCCCTTGTGATCTGCAATTCCCTCACTTACTTTGGTTATGCAGTCAGGGCAATACCAGCGATAGCCTTCATGTTTTACAGCATTCTGCATTGTTCTAAATGCTGGTAAGCCCAGACCCACTCAACTTACATTGGATGTCGCCCTGCAGTAATTGCTTGTCAACAAGCTTCCAGGTGATGCTGGGGTTTTAGCCCCTGATTCCCTATGCCTATTCATGTCTTGTCACAAATTTTCTTCTTCCCTTTACGTACTTACCGCACAACTGTTGGATATGCGGTGCTTGACAGCTGTCGCCGTTGGCAATCCTGAGGAAGGGTGGGTAGCTAGAGGGGGGGGAAGGGGATGTCCAGACTCTGTGAGAATTTTCTTAGCCTTAAGCCCAGTTTACGATGTGATATGATTCTAATCGTCGGCTTAATAATACTAATAATAATTTTTATTATTACTATGATAATTGCTTCTGTGCTTTGGTAGGAGGGCTTAAGTGTCAAGGGCCCTTTAAAGTCCCACTCCTCTGCATTCATATATAGGCCTTCTTGTCTGTTGTGTGAGAGGGGGGCAAAAGATTGTCTACGTCAGTGGTTCCCAAGCATTTAACAGTGAAACCCCGTCTAGTACTGTCACCTATCCAGTGCGACCCCAAGTCATTACATACAGTATGCTGTATGTAAGATCCTTAGAGTAAATATGGACTTATTGATATACTGTACGTATTTAACTGTAAAAACAAGTAAGGAAAATGTATTACAAATAGAGAAGTGTAAAAGTAAACACTGGCAGAAACAGGCTACAACTTTGTCATGTTTAATATGTAACATTATATGACCATTGAATGTTTTATACGTGGGGATATAATTACATGGTTAAGCAACATAACCTATACAATTTTCTTAGGTACAGTCGGGGTCAAATTTCTTGAACATTTAGCAATATCTGGAATCTACTTCTGAGTTATACATATATGAATGAGATATAATAATTACACTACTTGTCATCTCATATTATGCCTGAACCACAAAATGGGATAAAACTCTCCTGAATGCTGAAGATCTTCGGGTAGTTACATGCCAAATACTGTCAAGTGTTCAAAACTTTTGACCCTGATTGTACATCTCTGTCATACTGTACGTATTTCGTATGTGACTTGTGTGCATCATCATATAATTAATTTTCATTACAAGTTACATCAGTCATAATTCATATGTAATGTGTGTGCATTATCATTTAATAAATTTTCTGTTAACTGGGGGTATAATTATGTGACTAAACAACATAGCACACAATTCTCTAAGTTTAAGTTTAATATACGGTTACAGTGATAATTTTTATAAACACCATTGACGAGAAAGCTGCCTCACAGACTTGTAAATTATAACAGATCCTTATTAGCTCGATTTTTAACCGCTGAATGTCAATTTGATAAATAACCTAAAACATTGATATGCCATCATATATGGCAAAATTCACCCTTGCCTCATTGTCAGCCTGTAATTCTGCTATTTCGAGGGCAAAAGAGCCACACTGTTTTACTTCTGTCTTGAACAGAAACTGAACAAAATTCAAAGACTCAATAAGTAAGTCAAGGAATCTATCATTGAAATTTGTTGCCATTTTTTTCTGCATCCGTGGGAAGTACAGAGTGCATTGAGCTGAGAACAATTCATAGGTAGGAGTGTGAATTTTCTGCTGCAAAACGTGTCATCAGCGTTCGCCTTCCCTGGAGTGACCTGACTTGACACAAGGAGAGTAACTGCATTATTCCCTTGACCATAATTTATGGTCCTGACTTAACGAGACAGCACCTGTCGGCCATGTCCTTCGGTCCTTGACACCTGGACTATGAGCTTTATGGGACCCCATGACCTCTATGTAACCCCATGTTTGAGAACCACTGGTCTACATAATTCTGGTCTTTTAACCAAAGCTATTATTTCAGAATGTAAGTCTGATTAATGGACCTAGGAGTTGAAGCACTGCTGAAAGAGAAGAATTATTCAGTAGTGGCCATGATGTCATGATCACAATAGCGTGGTTAGTCTGTTCATCACTTAATTGTTCATATTATGCTCCACCGCCCACAAAACAGGTGACACTGTTGAGTCCACCAGTCGAGACGTCTGTTTTCTCACCACTTCAGTACGTCTTAATTCTCTGTTTTCTCTCGTGTACTACCTCAGAGACTCGAATATTTCTTAATACCTCATATGGTGTTCAGAGATTTTAAATTGAGATAGAATGAACTTATTGTACATCAAATCAGATATACCTACAGTGAGAGAAAGCATTCTAGGTGTATTGAGTATATGTTGAAGGCATCATATATCTTTATGCGTAGATTATATTGTGTTAAGATGTTGTGTGTTGAGTACTCATTCAGCAGCTGTAAATCAGTATGTTTCTTGTACACATGCAATAGTAATTCAAAACTAAAATCACATCCTTTTGATCTAGGAACATCAAAAACTCTGATGAGAGTATAGAAATTGTTGTCAGCCTTGTATTATAGAGGTACATAGTCTTCTGAAATGTAAACAGACTCTTGCTTATCGCTGGAATATACCGGAAAAATCTCATTATCCACTCGTGAAGCTACGCCCACAACACACTGCCATTCTTAGTACCTGACGTCAGTTTAAATCTAACCTTTGAAAGCTCAGTCACTGCTTAGTTTAAAAAGTTAATCTTGAAAAATTAATATAAGCTCATAGCCTAATTTTCACACACCAATGTGTACAGTAAAGGAGTCTGATGATATATCTGTGAAAGTTCTGACTTGGTAACTCGGGGTTGCGAGTGCTGGGAGAGGCAGACTGTCCTGACCTCACTCTCAGCCGACTCCTCTCTGTGTAACAGATATGTCCAGTACTATGTGTCCCACCTAGTTATATTAAGTGAATTGACTTAGTTGTTTTGTTTGAACATGCAAGTGATGCAGTAATGTAACTTTGATGTTTTAGTAAAGTGTTCATGTGCCATCAGCTTACAAAACATATTTTATGACATTCGTGTCAACGTTCTGACCTCACTCTCAAGCCCACGACTCCTCCGTAACAGGTGCATGATAGACCACGGGTGGTCATTGTATGCCAGGACGATGGCCAGCCTTATTGGAAAAGGATGGAGGCCATTATGATCGGATAACGTCATGAACACGGTGATGGGGTGAGCTGAGGTCTCCTGGACAGCCAGCCACTCAGAGGAGGCGGCCAGAACATGTTCACTGTCCTTTATTGATCTCACGTGAGGAGTAAACACGACCAGCTCATAGCATTGTTATGAAAGAGTCCAACACTAAGTAGTTACTTTGGGTGTGTTATTTGTCCGAGTATCCACGAATGTAGTCGCCTCAGTTGTATGGGTGTCTTGAGTCAGCAAGTGTAAGAGGGTCGCCACTTTATTTTATTAGTTGTGGTGCTATTGCTAGAGTCCTGTTACTAATCAAGAGCTCCAATTCTGAGGTAACCTGTATTGATGGTGCTCAATTGTGCTATGTAAGAGTTTGGTGTTGTGTGTTTTTTAAAAATACACCAAGTAATGGTGGATGTTGGAAAATGTACCTAGTTGAAAGTATAAAACGAGTGGGGCCAGGGAGTTGATCCTGGTAGATGTGTGTTACTGAAAGTAGTCATAAGTCTAACATAATTTTAATAAACCATTTTTAATGTATGATGGGGGTATCATTCTCCTGCAGTATTCACCTTTGTTCTTCCCATATCTTGGTACCAGTATTACAGTTACCCTGTGTCCTGACCCTCGAGCCATGCTACCACAAGTCAGAGGATAGGGGGTATCTATGAGAAGTAGGGTAACTAAGAAATAGGTAACATATGGAATAAATAAAGAAAGAAATTGAAAGAAAGAAGGTTTGAAGAGTTACGAAACTATGACAGAAAGAAGTAGTGGTTTAAAGTAGTGGAAAAGTGAAGAACTTAAAGTAAAATAGTAAAGGAAGAACACCTATAAAATGGTGGCAGCTCCCTTCTAGTGACACTCTGAATTACACTTTCATTATTCTGTTACTTCCCATTCTGTCAGTATGTGCACACCACCTAAGCAAACTCCAATCATGTCTCTATAATTCTCATTTGCAATTTGCTCCCTCCTCTTGCATCCAGAACCCATTCTTCACATCCAAAGTTGGTTTAATGATTCCCACATGCATCCACCCATCTTTGCCTTCTGTGGTATGCTGCTCTCTACATACATTTCTCATTGCCCTTAACACTTTTTTCTCTCTTCTATTTTGTGGTTCAATTCACCCATCTTTGTTCTATCTCCGAAACAAATGCTTCCAGATACTTAGATCTCATAACTTTCTCCTAACAGACACTTCATCACAAACATCTGAAACTTTTCCAGTAAACTTCCCATTAAAGTAATGGCATATTCAAACTTCTGTGAGGAAAAATAACTCTTAGTAATGATCCCATGGATAAGCCATACACACTATGAGATAGCATTTTCTAATTTATTGCAATATATCACAAATAAGAAATTTGAAATCAGAAAATCAAGATATCTGTCAACCTATTACAGTCAAAGCTAAAATATCATAAGACCTTGAAATCAAGTAGCTGGTCATGGGGAGTGTACTTGCGACCCCCTGAACAATCAGAAATGTTCTTTTTTAATCCACAGTACTTCAAATTATGTAAAATAAAATATCAATGAAAAAATATCAGATTTCTTATATTTTACATACGTATCAAAAAGACCCCCCCCCCCCCACCAAATTATATTTGAGGATTTGGCAATTTACGGCCATTTTGTGACCCAACCCCCTGCGAATTTTAAGGGCATGCTGTACTGTATCTTTTGTGAATATCTTGAACACTCTGGATATTGCTGTGATTATCATGTGTACTAAATATGTTTAAATCTGAAGATGGGAGTCTATTCTGCTTTGAGCCACTTTGACTGTGGTAGATAATTATAACTAGTTTCTGAAAAATATCACAATACAGTATTTCTGTTGAGAAACAAATATCACTGCTTTTTTAGTGGAGAGAGACCCTTTGTACCCAAGGGGTTAATGAGAAAGAGAGACGATGGAGCATTTCTTTAGAAATTACAAGTGAGGAACAATCATCACAAAATTCCTATTTCAGAAGAAAAGTGATATTGGTTCTTACTTTTAATTGAATTAAAACTCAAAGAAACTGATTTACTGCATTGGTTTAAATAACCCATACAGTACTAAGACAAATCAAAGTACTGGAACATTAAATTCTCCTTCCCATGATAATCACTTATGGTAATAGGCTCCACATTAATTGTTGCTGACTGATGGCTTCAGCTGTGTCCGAGTAGTCCAAGAAATTGGCTGTCCACATCCCAACACCACGCAGTCCACTCGAAGTGGCCAGCATGTACTTGTAGACAAGACTACGTTCATCATCATATTGCATCTGATGTTGCTGACCGTCACTGTCCTAAAAAAAAATATATTATGAAGACAATATAATTAGATCTAAAGCTAGTATGTAGTTAAGATCCTCTTTTAACTGTATACCAGTGGGTATGCTTCTGTCAGAGGTGTGATGACTTCCTTATTACTGACCATTTGTAGTCATGTTGTAAAGCCAATCACTGGAAATAAAGGTGGTAAATACATTCCCCAAATCAACATTCTGTGGGTGAACATGGCTTGGAGGTTTTCATCATCATGATCATAATTATTATTTTAAAACAAGTGAAACCTATTTAAATTATTATATCACCATACTATTGTTGGAAAAGAGACCATCAGGATGGATGCATTTTTTCTCGCCTTAGACTTTCAGCAAAGTCTAATTCTACCAAGTCAACCCACTTCAAATAAAAAATTTGTTCTTCACCATGCATGACGTCGGCAGCCCGGGGGGTGATCCGGGGTGGGACCTCCGTTACAAGCTGGGTGTCGTGGTGTGATGATCTATGACAATGCCTGATAAATGCTCCATATTTGGATATATAAAAAATTACAGACTACACGATAAAAGTTTGAAATTTCATCGATTTCCAAAGGATGAAAAACAGAGAAAAAAGTGAATTTTATCGTGCATGCAGCAAATATATAGGGTGCAACAGGAGGAAGGTCAATACTTGAGTCATTGGCAGGTTTAAATTTAAATTCCCTAAAGTCTAACTTCGGCCAGCAAACCGGATGTGGAGAGACAAGTACCTATTTGTTGCTTGAAACTGTTGTAAAATCTTGTCATCTAATGGTCATATTGATAAATTGAACACCTCTACACATATATACAGTAGACTCGCAACTTACGTGGGGGTTACGTTCCTGGGACCCCGCGTAAAACCAAAAATCGCTTAAAGTCAGAAACGCTTCTAAAAATCCCCTAAATCACTATACATATACTGGTCATAAAGACTCAGTGCCTTCTACCTGAGCATGTTGCCGTCGATGGGGACACGTTTCTGGTTCATATCCTCCACCCAGATGTTTAATGCCTTCTCCACATTCACTAGAGTTACATCTCTAATCTGGCTAGTCACCTTAGTAGTAGATGAGGCACTTGTAGACACGGTTTCACGAATTTCCCTCTCCCGAATCTTGATGGATCTCACGCTTGATTCGTTCCGCCCATACCTCCGTGCCACAGAAGCGATCGACATGCCGCCTTTTATTAAGTCTAACACAGCCACTTTTTCTTCAAGGGTCATCACAGAGGCAGAGGTTGGCTTGTGTTTAGGCATTATGAACGACTATGAAAGACGTTTAAGCGCACTAAATTGACACACATGAGAGGCAGCTGTTACTCCGACAATACACGTGCGGCAATTGAGGCAGACAGAGGTGGCCAGGTGGGATGGCGCATTTGGCGAGCTATCGTTTGGCTGGCTTGCGATCCATTTTGAAAGTTTTGAGCTTGAAATTGGAAATTGTAACCTAAGCCCCGGGGTAATCTGAGTATAGTTGAAACCGTGTAAGAAAAATCTGCATAAATTGCCAGTCTAATATACTTGTATTCACTGAGTTACTGTAATAGCTTGGGGCAGAGAGAATGATTATTATAATCATTAAATTGTTTTTTATTTTCTTTAACTATTTTATTTATTTCTTGTATTCCTCACTGTATAACCATTGTATGAAATGAATCCACTTACAACTCATGTCATTTGAGATTAACTGTTCAAAACCATATTCATGCAATATCCACTTTGCAGACATATTTTCTAAACAATAACTATGAAGCCAGAAAAAAGTTATGCACTTTTGCCTAAAAACTGTGGAAGCTGGCAACAATTGGCAAGTAGAATCATTCCTGAAAATTTTGGGGGGAAAATCCAAAATCTAAAGGCTTTGAAATTAAAACCCCTCCAAACAATACATGATAAATAATATCGCATGAGACATTTAAAAACCTAGATTTCAGCAGGAAATGGTGCTTCTTCAAACATCACCTGACAGACCTGTGTAATAGTCAGCCTACTGAAGTGGCAGCCAGAACAGCTTTAACCTTGAAAGTAACCAATGACAAGATAAAAGAGGACAATGGTGGAGTTTACACGAAGCCACTGGTTTCCTTTCCCCTGCAAGGCTTCAGCTTCTTGTGGGGCCACTAAATAAAGACGATAGTAATCCCAGTGAAAATTTTCAGAACAAAGAAAATCATAACCAATAATTCAATTTCAGATGCTCTAATCAAGTCCAGGATTAATATTTTCTTAAATTCATATTGCATATACAGTACAGTAGTGATAACGGATAATCAAGGCATTCCACAAGACTTACTTTGCATGTAGCAATAAGGATATACTGAAGAAAGAAATATAAAACATACATATGAGGACACATCACGAGACAAAAAAACCAGTACCTACAGTACAGTACAGTACCTACTCACTTACCTTGAAATTATACCATGGGGTCAGGGTGATTTTGTCCCAGTGATAAGTTGCTTTGGACAGCTCAAGAGTTTTAACTATGTAACTAAAAGGATGTTGCTTTCCTGCAGCATCACTGCAGTTAACACCTCGAAAGGGTACTTCTTTGATATGACAAGTACCATTCTGAAATTTTTTTATTACTTAGACATAAGCAACTTTAAATTTTATAATAAGAAATAAGACATTAATAGAAGGCAAAGTATCATATTGCAAGTATCTGAACATAAATTTATACTGCAGGTATCAATATGCAATGTTATTTTACGGATACAGTACATATTGGTGTTCAAGGTGATATAGTATTGGAAGTACTGTATCAAGTACAGTACATAAGGTGATAGTGTATGCATCAGTGTGCATGCTGATACTGCAGGTATCAAGTATGAATGACAAAACTGTATCATAAATTATTTAAGTAATATTGGATATATCAAGTGTGCAACTTGATACTGTAGGCATCAAATATGCAAGGTGATGTTGCAGGTACTAAATATGCAAGGTGATATGAAGGTAAAAAGTGTGTAAAATCATATGCAGGCATCAAACTTAAAAGGTAATAGTATTGCAGGTGTAAGAATGTAAAATTGCAAGTACTGTACAGTATATGCAGTATCAAGTACACACAGCGATACTTGTAGGTTTCAATCATACAAGCAGGTGTAATGTATGTATTTATGGTGTAAAGTATGCAAGGTGATATTAAAAGTATCATGTATGAAAAATAACAGTGCATATAACAATCAGCTAAATCCATCCATATATTTCCCAGTGAAGCAACAAAGAATGGTGAAGATCAATATACAGTACTGACTTAACATATTTTTATGAGTATTGGCTAAGTTATCAACTGATACATACATTTATACATCCATCTCCTATTTATGATACCCCACTCCTTCAGGGAGCTCTGCTCTAAAGGGTTGGCCATGATAAAAGAGCCTCTGACTCCCCTATTCCTAAATACTGCCTCTGCCCTCTTTACTCATTCTATTCCTTTCTTGTTCTCTCCTTAACATAATGTTCCCTGTTCCCCTCTTACAATGATGTCAGTCTTCCATTACCTATTTCACCTGCTAAATTGATTACGTACACACACTTTACTATGCTCTCTTCCTACATCTTTTTTCAAATGTTCATACCCTCTTGGCAAACCTGTTTTTATCCATTCAAAAACATTAATTTCCACCCTCAACTTTCTCTACCATTCCAGGCAACCTACACACTTAACTGTTTTTTACCCCTTCCATTATAACTGCAAATTTTATTTATCATTTCACCACTTCTCATGTTACTAGCTGTTCAAGCAGTTGGTCCATTCTTTGTTACTTTGTCATGAATTCGATTTGTCCAATGTTGGGTCACAAGTGTGAAGAAGTACCAAGATTAGCAAAAACTTCAAGAGAAATACATGAAATGGACAGAAAAGAAAGATTAACTTTGGTCAAATAAATAGGGATGAGGGAATAATAACAGAAATATTAATGGGCAAAATTAGTGAAGGAGGGCCAGGGGGAGGCTGAGACTAGGATGGATGAATGAAATTAAAAATTGGGTCCCCAGAGAGATACAAAACCTTAAGAGGATTGGTAAAAACAGCTCAAAAATATTTAAGTGAAGGACTGTAGTCGCCAACCTTCAGATAAGAGGATGGTACTCTGATTGACTGACTGAGTACAGGAGGAAACCAGAGTACCTGGAGGAAACCTGTGACTTTTGGTAAGGTCATAATGGATAACACCCACCTCATGTGTGTCTGGGCCAAGCAGGACTTGAACTCATGACACAGTGGTGGCACTCATGTTGACAACACCAAACACGAGTGCCACCACACAGCCACTTGGTGCACTACAGTAGCAAGGTGTTTTCTATGGTGATGCCACATGACTGAGATCGTGTAATTCAATGATTATCGGTCAGTATCGATGTTGTTACCTATCACCGGTGTGGGTTTTTTACAGTGATAGGGCATCACTAATGTTCCCACTGTAATCTTGTTTTGGTAACTGAAATGATTTTTGTTGTATTTTTTGTGGCTGTAAAGTGCCTTGAACAGACGATGACCATCGTTCATGTAGATTGTTTACATCATAGATTGGGGGTTGGTCTTAATACATCACCACTGTTAAAGCGGAATATCATAGATAGGGAGAGCATAGAATAGGAGACACTGTACAATGCCGAAATATTTTCATACAGTACAGATACCTGTACACTATACTTATGAAAAACTGGATGAGATTTGAAACAAAATAAACTATAAAATTGTAAACCAACTTCTATAACAAATATATTACTGTAGTAATATATTGATACCCATTCTATAATTGAAGATGCAGTACTTTCTCTATGAGGTAAAAAATAATTAAAAAACACTCAGCCCGAGGAGTTACTGCGTCATCTTATATTCCGTTTCCTACTGCTTTGTTTACATGGAACGAATGCTACACTCACTACTCACTTGTTTATTGTGTTGAGTATGTTTGTTCTATAGAAAGGAGAGAATATGACCGGTAGGGAAGGGTAGGCATTCTTGTTGTTCACTGAAGGAGCTAATTAGATGCAACAGGTACACAAGATACAGATACTACCACTGCTGGAACAAGAAGCTAATTAACAAGTACAGTATTGATAAAAGAAAGATTAAAGGCAATGAAAGATAATATCCTGTATTTTTCATGTTTTAAAATATCCCCTCCCCCCCCCAAAAAAAAAAAAAAAAATACATGAATCTCAACCCCAAAAAAGTGTCCCTCAGAAATACTAATGGTTGGGGATCACAAATGGGAAGTTGGTATACATTTACTACCTTGCAAATAATTATGTATGCAAAACTCTCAGGCTCAGAAATAAAAAATGGTGAGGGACAAATGTAATGCATTAAAGTATGGTAATACAATATTACAACTGGACATTCAAATAGATATTAACCTAAAATGCAACACAACCACAGTTAAAAACAATATAATGGCCGGAATTTGACAAAAGACGTTTAATTACTGTACCGTGTCCAGAGAAAGGCATGGATAGTTGTAACCATACCAGGGTACTCCTAGGATCATCTTCTCACCAGGAATATCCAGATCCAAATAAGTAAGAATACCATGTCCCGTCATATAGATTCCAGAGTTTGGTCTGTAAAACCAACATAAATATGTGCAGTAAAACCCCGATAAATCTGACTTCATTTTTTTCGGACTCTAAGATGCCCTGGTCACCAGAAATACTGAGAAAAAAAATAAGATATGGGGAAGATTAAATAAAAAAAATCTTATAAAATGAACAACACTCACTGAATACTGTACAGTGGTCTAATCAGATTTGCTATAGGCCTACTGAGAGCTAAGGCACTTGAGTATGTATGCAGGCTGGGGCCGATAGGTGTTGCCGCATTCTTTAGGTTTATCATGATTAATATAACATCTTCAGTTATAGAGAAATAATATAATACTGTATGTAATTAGTAATATGACTTGAAAATAAAAGGATAAGCTGTATCAGAATTTATTTACTCAAGACACGTTTGTGTGAGTGCTTTCAGTAGACAACCAACTTACAACAGGGGTCACTATAACACACTGTTTAGTATTTGATATGAAGATACCTTCCTAAAAACGTTATTTACTACATTTTAGTATTATAAGATGGCTCAATTTGGTTACTTGTACACTTAGACAAATGATTAATGAATAAACCAGGGTATTTGCAGATGCACAATACTGTAAACTACAATATTAAGAACTAAGAACATAAGAATGCAGGAAACTGCAGCGGGCCTATTGGCCCATACTGGGCAGTCCCATTTACACCCAACCCCTATTGCTCATATATCCATCCAACCTATGTTTGAAGCTATCCAGCGTATTCGAGTTAATGATGATATTTGGTAACTTGTTCCACTCGTCCACTACTCTATTTCCAAACCAATGCTTACCTATTTCGCGCCTAAATCTGAATTTGTCTAATTTAAAACCATTGTTACGAGTTTGCTCCTGGTTGGATTGTTTGAGTACCTTTGTAATGTCCCCATTATTCAGCCCCGACTTCCATTTACACACCTCTAGCATGTCGCCCCTCACTCTACGTCTCTCGAGGGAGTGCAAATTAAGATGTTGGGTCAGCTTACCCTCTGACCTGACTACCGACTGCTGTGGTGCTTTTTGAATATTAGTAGGGTCATTACCTAATACTTGACCATTGTGGACTTGATCTCACCCTCCTCTATATATATATATACCTTGTTTTGTACTTCTCCTTAGTCTGTACTCACCCCTGAAGATGTGAATTACATATATATATATATATATATATATATATATATATATATATATACACACACACACACAGAAAGGTGGGCAGTTGCACCACACATTTTTCCAGAGAGTTGCAGAACTGTTTGCGGCACAACTTTTACAAGCATTTTCAAGCGCAAGTGCAAAATTTTTCGGCAATAATTGAAAATTGGAATACAACCGCATAAACAAACGGGCATCCCTAGAGCCGTGCATTAAAAAAATTTCTTTTTCTGATGGAATGATTCAGCATACACATGAAACAGGTCGGACAGCATATTTCTGAACTGTAAACCAGATGAGACCCCCCCCTCACTCCCTTCCCTTGCTGTAGTTGCCAGATTTCATCTTTTACATAAACTCTAGAAACTAGAGTTACTGTAAAAGATGAAATCTGGCAACTACAGCGAGGGAAGGGGAAGGAGGAATGATTCATATCATAACCAGTCAGGCAGTCAGGAGCACTGCAGTTAAGGCGTCAGTTTCTGGTTGTTTTGTTTCTTGTTATTACTAGTATTATGGATCATTTTCTGACGAGGAGGAAGGAGGAGTCTGTGGCCAGCAGCAGTGATCCTGCCGCTGCCGACCAGGACATGGACATGGAAGTTGAAGTGACTGAGACTGTTGACAGCCAGTCCATTGAGACTGAGGCCAGTGGCAGTGAGGCATTTCTTTTTAATTTTTTAATAAAATATTGATAATATTAACTTTTTTCTATCAATTATATTTTGTTATGCTTGTAAATAGGCAATTTTGCTTATTTTAGTATTTGTTTATTTATTTATTTTTAAAGTTGCCCGTTGCGGTTGTGTCTGCGCTTGCGGCAAACTTTTTTGAAAATGGTTGCGGTGCAACTATTTCAGCAGAGTTACGGTTGCGGTGCAAAAAAATAAGTTGCGCGTACCTTCGTATATATTATACAGTATATTAAAACCTCAGACTAATTGGGGGTTGAAGTTAACACTGCTTATCTGAACTGTTTAAAGAAAATCAGTAATGTTATTACGTACTGCACTTCCACAACAGAGGTCTGTTACATCAACAACAATAAAAAAGAAAAAAAGAAACAGAACTCTCTGGATTGAAAATCAAACATAAATCTGATTGTCAACTATTTTCACAGAGATGATTGTTATTTACTGTGAAGTGTTATACAGTACTATATGTATGTAACCAAGGAATTTGTCTTATGAATAAAGAGAAAACTGGATACTGTACAGCACTATAAAGATAAAAATAAGAACAAATAAGTATAGGGGTATATATTGTATGTGGAAGACAAGTGTATATCTGAGAGCAGCAGGCACAGGAGAGGGGAGAGGGGAGAGGGCAGGAGGTGGCTCCCTCCCCCTCTCTCCCCCAAAATCCCTATGACATGTCTCTATACAATTTACCATAATTCTCATATAATTTTGGTTCATTTGGTGCCAGATTGATAAAACATTATCCTAAAAGAATCAACTTTCCTGAAAAAAGAATCCCACTCAACACTATGGATCGTTTGTTTACAAAGGACAAACAGCTGATGGGCTTAGCTGCTTACTACAACGTTCGTCTTCAGCACTTAGTAAATTAGTACAGTAAAGTAGTGTACTGATCATCACTTAATAAGTAATATTGTAGTACAGTATACAGTATTATGTGTTTGCATATACCCTGGTCTATTCATTGATCAGTTGTCTAAGTGTACAAGTAGCCAAACTGAGCCATCATGTATCACTCAAAGGTCATAAATAACATTGTTAAGAAGGTATCTTCATATCAATACTATAGTGTGATACAGTGACCCTGTTGTAAGCTTATTTGCTGAAAGCTCTAACACAAACACATCTTGAGTGAATGCCTGCCAATACAGCTTATCCTTTTCTTCCCCCCCCCCCAAGTCATATTACAAATTACAATACATATTGTATTTTTTCTCTATTATTGAAGATATTATATTAATCAAGATGAGTCATAAACCATAAGAGGCCAATGATATGAGAATATAATACTGAATCAATAAATAAACACACCTGACAAATGTGGTAACACCCGATCAGCCCCAGCCTACTTACATACTCAATGACTTAGGTCTCGGTAGGCCTATAGTAAATCTGATTAGACACCTGTACAGTATTCAGTGAGTAAGAGTTGTTCATTTTATATATTTTTTTAACTTTCCCCATTTCTTAAAATATGTACAGTACTGTATTTCTGATGACCATAGCAACTCAGAGCCCAAAAAAGTGAATTCCGATATATTGAAGTCCGATTTATTGAGGTTTTACTATAGTATATATAGACAAACTTAGGTGGAAAGAACATAGGGATGGATAGGCAGGAGCAAGTAAATAAGCTCCCCCTTTACATACAAAAGCTAACATAAAGTTAATGCAAAACTGTAGAGCAAAGAAAAAATAAAATATGAGGAATTGGTGAAGCTACCAACATCCCCCAGTGATGAAGCAAACTGTAAACTAAAAGAGACCACTAAAGACTCCAATTAAAAAATGTATCAAAACCTTTGATATTCAATTCCTTCAAATAAAAAAAAAATATAAATAATTAGTAAATAAAATGGAAAGCTTAGGATTTTTTGAACACCCTGTATTGAATTTGGATAAAATTCTCTGTTCCTTCTACTGTGTTCACAAAATAAAACAAACATACAGACATACACTGAAACAGAAGCACACACAGATGACCATCATATTTATATGTCCTCCTTGGGAAAAGAAGGGGATATGTGATGGGTGAAAAGTGAAAATTACCTACAGTCAATAACTCTTATCTCACATACTGGACTGTACCCTGCCTACCTGGCAGTACATGGGCCATCAATTATTTGACTTTGCTCATCATATGCCATGATGAAGATGAGATCACTGTAGTTTGCAATCGATTTGTAGTCATAATAGCGTCCATCAATCCCACTTGCTGACCATGCAACATCAAACGACACCTGCATTTGTTGAAACATGCAGACTTCAATAGTTCATGTTATATGAGATTATATCTGTAGAAACAATTAAATCAGTTAAAATTCATGACACTGATGCAATAAGATACAGTAGTTAAAGTACTGTACTACACTCAACACTATGGATCGTTTGTTTACAAAGGACAAACAGCTGATGGGCTTAGCTGCTTACTACAACGTTCGTCTTCAGCACTTAGTAAATTAGTACAGTAAAGTAGTGTACTGATCATCACTTAATAAGTAATATTTGTACAGTTACAGTATACAGTATTATGTGTTTGCATATACCCTGGTCTATTCATTGATCAGTTGTCTAAGTGTACAAGTAGCCAAACTGAGCCATCATGTATCACTCAAAGGTCATAAATAACATTGTTAAGAAGGTATCTTCATATCAATACTATAGTGTGATACAGTGACCCTGTTGTAAGCTTATTTGCTGAAAGCTCTAACACAAACACATCTTGAGTGAATGCCTGCCAATACAGCTTATCCTTTTCTTCCCCCCCCCCCAAGTCATATTACAAATTACAATACATATTGTATTTTTTCTCTATTATTGAAGATATTATATTAATCAAGATGAGTCATAAACCATAAGAGGCCAATGATATGAGAATATAATACTGAATCAATAAATAAACACACCTGACAAATGTGGTAACACCCGATCAGCCCCAGCCTACTTACATACTCAATGACTTAGGTCTCGGTAGGCCTATAGTAAATCTGATTAGACACCTGTACAGTATTCAGTGAGTAAGAGTTGTTCATTTTATATATTTTTTTAACTTTCCCCATTTCTTAAAATATGTACAGTACTGTATTTCTGATGACCATAGCAACTCAGAGCCCAAAAAAGTGAATTCCGATATATTGAAGTCCGATTTATTGAGGTTTTACTATAGTATATATAGACAAACTTAGGTGGAAAGAACATAGGGATGGATAGGCAGGAGCAAGTAAATAAGCTCCCCCTTTACATACAAAAGCTAACATAAAGTTAATGCAAAACTGTAGAGCAAAGAAAAAATAAAATATGAGGAATTGGTGAAGCTACCAACATCCCCCAGTGATGAAGCAAACTGTAAACTAAAAGAGACCACTAAAGACTCCAATTAAAAAATGTATCAAAACCTTTGATATTCAATTCCTTCAAATAAAAAAAAAATATAAATAATTAGTAAATAAAATGGAAAGCTTAGGATTTTTTGAACACCCTGTATTGAATTTGGATAAAATTCTCTGTTCCTTCTACTGTGTTCACAAAATAAAACAAACATACAGACATACACTGAAACAGAAGCACACACAGATGACCATCATATTTATATGTCCTCCTTGGGAAAAGAAGGGGATATGTGATGGGTGAAAAGTGAAAATTACCTACAGTCAATAACTCTTATCTCACATACTGGACTGTACCCTGCCTACCTGGCAGTACATGGGCCATCAATTATTTGACTTTGCTCATCATATGCCATGATGAAGATGAGATCACTGTAGTTTGCAATCGATTTGTAGTCATAATAGCGTCCATCAATCCCACTTGCTGACCATGCAACATCAAACGACACCTGCATTTGTTGAAACATGCAGACTTCAATAGTTCATGTTATATGAGATTATATCTGTAGAAACAATTAAATCAGTTAAAATTCATGACACTGATGCAATAAGATACAGTAGTTAAAGTACTGTACTACAGTATGCCAGAACTATCCCAAAGACAAACATTTATTATCAATAGTCATTTGTCCATGTTTTATCGAAAGAACCCCTAACCCCTTACTATATGATGATGTCAGAGATCTGCACAAAAAAGTAATCTTGGCTTGGTTACCAAACAAACAATGCTGTTGCTTTCTGTTTGTACTATAAGAAAAAAGTCGAGGAGAATTTTTTAAATATTGAAGGTGCCCCTACAGTTTAACAACTAGTTAAAATATGGCCCCCCAAGGCCCTGATGTGGGTCAGTGACCTGTGCCCGGGTGAGCTAATCCCCATAATAAAAAAAAGAAAGAAAAAAAAAAGATAGTGGTGGATTTAGGGAAGTGGCACACCCATTGTTTGTCCACTTTTCTGAAAGAGCAATGTTATTTATTTCATTTCATTTCCATTACATCATGCTATTGAGTTCCTTCTACAGGATCCCTCTTAGCTCCTTACAAAAAGTATCAACATTTGTAAAATTACAAAATCTTTCCACTCACCTGTGACCCAGGCATAGAAGAATGAAACATTTCTGCCGTCTCTCGTACTAAGTCAGTGAGTCCCTTCTGCTCCGGAGAGTTTGGATTAATGGCATCTTCAAAGTCAATGTTAATTCCATCTAAAAATTTCAGGGTAGCATCACTGATCTGTAATTTTACCCAGTTGTGCCTTGCTGTATCATTGGGAAGCTTACTTGTAGGGAAGTTACCTGTATGGCAAAAAAAAAAAAAAAAGAATTACAATTATTTACAGGAAAGATTTCTACACAGTTGATCACCATTATTTGTTTTCCCTTTGTATGTCGTTTCACATATTCATCTCCCATCATTTCACATAAACGGTACGTTGTTTGGACTATACTTCTCATGGTATATCGTACAGTTGCATCTGGCTAAGCTACTGTAAAGTAAAAATAAGGACATGTACAGTAATGTATACATTGTTATTAAACATAAATTGATGAGGTGTGGATTTACTCTTATTCCTTCAATACGAACAATGCTTCCTACTCCATCCTAATTAGTTGGCTTAGTTAAGTTTGGTTGTGTATGTCTGCGAAGTGAACAGAGTGTTTCACAAAATCCTTACCTAACTTGACAACACGAACTCCATGCTCATGGGCGTGACAAAGAAGGTCCTCATCATAGAAGCCAGCAAGAGCAATAGTTGTCAACTTGGTCCAGTTGAATTTCCACCAAACGGATGCATTGCAATGGACCACAAATGCAAATACCTAGATTAAAAAGAATTAAAATTATTAATTTCCATTTCATCTTTACAATACTGTACAGTATAAGTGGTCCCTCGATTAACGAACACAATTGGTTCCACAGAGTCGTTCATTAACCGAAAATTTCGTTAACTGAATCTATTATTTCAATGGGATATTGGGTAATTTGAATATAATTTACATTGCTGGAATTCTTATAATTTGGTCGATCATTTTGAATATAAACATCATATATTTTGCATTAGACATACAAATTTTAGATAATAAATCAATTTTCTGAGTAACTATGTTATCTTTTGTGCAAAATATATGACATTTATATTCAAAATATTCGGTCTTACAGAGGAATCCAGCAATGTCAATTGTATTATCCTAACTTTAGTTTGAGGTATTATTTATTAAAATTTAGTGGTTTTACCCAAAAAATTTCTCAGAGAGGGAAGAGCCGGCAGTGTAATGTAAAGGGGGAGGGAGTTGAGTCCATTATTTGAATGGACATTAACTTAGCGACTGTATTTCTCTATTTCTCTTAGTATTAATTGTGTGCATGTACCATCATAAAATTAAGATGTTTTTACTACAACATAGTTATGTGTCGTCAAAAAGTGGAGTTTGGGGGTCGGGCCGGTTTCTATTGGAATTAATCCCATATGTTCTGTTGTTCACTTAGCGCGGATTTCACTTAACACGGACCCTCTGGGTTCTATTGACCGCGTTAAGTGGGGTACAACTGTATATATATATATATATATATATATGTATATATATATATATATATATATATATATATATATATATATATATATATATATATATATATATATATATATATATATATATATATATATATATATATATATATATATATATATATATATATATATATATATATATATATATATATATCGTGATTTTAATTTTTTTTTAAATCTTAATTATTTAACCATAACTCCATAAGGGTGAATACAGTCCTGATCACAGATGCATAGCTGCACACAGGCTGGAGAAGAATCCTAACAGAGCAGTGCCATTGTTGTGGTGGTGGTTGCTGGCAACTGAGGTGAGTGGCCTTTCAACCGCCTTGTGGCTACCACAGAGAATTCACACAAAGTAATTTTTACAATTCTGGTAAAATTTTTGGTTAAATGTTGTGTTTTTTTTTTTGTTAAATTACCAAAATTCCGTATGGGGGAGTTCTTTTTTTTCCGTAGCCCAAAATTTTAGTCATACAGTAATTTGAAAATTCCGTAGGGGCAAAATTCCATAACCAGGGATGCCTGTATTGTATACCCAAATTAGTTAACAAATCTACCATGGCTTGTATTAGGAGGGATAATAAGCAGCTTGTCTTTAGCATAAAAATTAGTAAAAGAGATTAGCTTACAACCTAACTACACTGTAATGTAATACTGTACTCACTTCATTTTTCTGAGATTTCTTTATGAACTCCTGAACATGTGGAGCTGAAGGACTTCTCTCCAGAGCATCTGCAAGCGGCATACACAGTAGAGGATGGCTACAGGGGCAAGGGTAATTGGTACCTCCTAGTTCTTCTGACTTGAAAAATTCATCATCAATTTCTGCTGCAAATTGATGAAGCTCTCCATTGATGGATGAATACAATCCTAGTATCACTACAAGTATACTATATATATGTAGTGAACATACAGGTAACATTTTTTTCAACATTTGTCAGCAAAGTTTATTTAATGCTGTAAATATAATTCAAATCAGTCCAAGATGACAAAGGTATGCTAAAACTTTCCTTCTTATTTTCTGCAGTATTCTTGTAAGATATAATAGTAAAGTACAGCATACAGTATACTGCACTGTAATATATCCCAGTCCACAGAAATAAATCTGAAAGGGAAACAAAGGACAATTGCAATTTTCAATGAAGCTTCTTGTTGAGTATTATTCATTTTTGTTACATAAATTACCGTATCAAACTTATTTTCTAATCTCACTGAAAATTAATACAACTGATAATTATAAATTTATGGGAAACTAAGAAAAAACCTGAATTCAAAAAGTGATATTCTTCTATTTATTACAGTAACTCCTCAATTAAGACGAGTTCACAAAACATGATTTTACTTTTACACAATTCACAAATTACAGCACACATTTCACAAAACACTGTCTGTTTTCAGCTTAACACAATCAATAGACAAACATATAACGGTATCATTGGGAAATAGCTAGGCTAACCCACACTCGATTTCCTCAGTGCTAAGATGTATAAATACCAAAAATAAAATCCTCGTGGCACTTAATATTTCAGCTATTACAACACAAATTAGCGGAGCTTTCCTTATGCGAGTTTACAGCTGATTCGTCAGGCAAGAAGATGAAGGTAGCAATGAGTGTGATGGAGGGTGCCGGAGGGGGTTTTGAGAATTGCAATTAAATGCCAGGTAGCGACGTGTCATTCTAATATTACGTATTTAAGTAATTATTAGATGTTTTAATTGCCTGTATGTTGGCCTGGCGAGTTAATGCTAGGCATTTGCATACCTAGGTATAAAGCTAGACGTCGCATTCTGGACTACTAGGTATATCACAAAAACTGGTTTTTTTAGAAAAACCGGCTTCTACATTACTGTAACGAGGATAAATTTTTAATGAAAACTTGTAGGGTAATGAACAAAATAATCTGCTAATAGTAAAGAATTGACAATGGTTTTGTAATTAAACATTGTTAAATTTGGAACTGAAAATGTCTTCATGTAATTTTCTAACTATTTTCAGTTTCCATCAGGCTGCCAACCCTGGACAGAATCAATGAGACAGATATGCCCTAACCTCTGTTAATCATGCATGATGTTGTATTTACTCACTAAGCTTTGCTGTCTTTTCACAATTTATCTATCATAAGTGCATAGTGAGCATTAAGTTACAATAATATTATCATCTATAAATCATAATGTGGCAGCAGCTAATGAGATTTTGGAAGCATGTCGGATATAAACAATGGATACGTCGTCAAGTCATAGCATAGTGTTTAGGATAGCAAAAATCTTTTTAAAAATAAACAAAACCATTTATATTTTTTATTTATTTATTTATTTATTTTTCATGAGGTAAGAATGCATTTATCTTCTGTAGAAAAATTTCCTCAAGTTGTTGGTTAGGGTGCACATATGTCATTAAGCATCACCTATGAAACAACATTAACCCATTAACTGCTATCATCATCTTCAGATGATTTAGCATAAAACTAGCATTACCGTCTTCAGATGATTGGCATTTGGCACCATGAGTTTAAAGTTGTGCGCCAAAAATCATACTGAGACAGTTTCAAACATCTGAAGCAGGCAGTGCAGCAATAGCTGGCTGGGAGAGTTAATGAACTTCTGGGCGAGACTGCACCACAATACTGTAACAACCAGCACTCAGCAGTTGCCAATTACTCTCTGCCTCACTTCACAGACTTATAACTTACTACCCATGATGAGTACAAAGTTTACATATTGTTCTTATGGCTTCTAGATATTATATCTTCAATTTTATGATTTTTTTTTTTTTTTTTACTTTCATATTGGTCCTGGGGCCAATTCCCATTTGGGATAAAAAAAAAAAAGTTGGTTGTACAGTACCTGCTGGCCAACATAGGTTTCTTGACTTTTTCTTGCTCTTTGAACCCTTTATACTGAAATTCGGTATCAAAACATTAACCAAAAATTAAAAATTTCTTTGTGTAAAAAACTGAAAAATTCTGATTGATGTACAATCACTAAAAAAATATTCTACACCATTGGCTCTGAAACCATCTGCAACGATCACTGCGAAAGAAGCCAAGATGAGCGTTATTAGATTTCTTGGTCTGGTGTGTCATATTGTATAACCCCGTAAAGGTGCAGAATAATCTTTTAGTGAGAGTACAGTAGCTACACAAATTTTGGCAAAAATAATGATGGAACCAACTTACAGACGTACAGATAGTGTATATGCTTATATTTCTTGATTAATACCTTTTTCTCACAAAATAATACCAAACAATTAACAACAATACAAAAAAAAATAAAATAGAATTAAGTTGAAATAATGCATTAATTACATGTACTGTACTGTTGTAATTTTTTTTTTTTTTTATGGGGAACAGCCCACACTGGCATAGGTCATCGACTTACAATGGGGCCTAGGGGGCAAAAAAATAAGAGTAAAAAGAAATTAAAAAGAAAAAGATTATATTAATCTACACCACGAAGATGCTGGAATACCAGCTATTTTAAGTGAGATAGATTATATGAGTAGTATGGTAACATAGGAGAAGGCAGAGCATTCCACAGTTTAGCTGTGTGAGGAAAGAAGAATGTACTATACGGGTTGTTCTAGTGTGACCGACATCCACAGAGAAACGGTGGGCACCGCGGGCAAGACGAGTACCATGACACAAAAACCTCAGGAGGGATCATTTGCACCACTTTGAATCCAGGAGCTGTCCTCAAATGAACAGTGCTGAGAGCTGACAGAGTAGAATATCTGCATTTGTGCAGAGATATGTCTGGACAGAATACCTCTGCAACTAGCTTTAGACACAAAGATGCAGGAAAAAATGCATAGCTGATGATGAAACTGCAGTGTAGCAAGCCACTGGGTCAACCCTTTCACTGAGGATGAGAATACTGTATGTGCCACCTTGCATCCGGTCAAAAAGCCACAAAGGAAATTGCAGGTGATCTTATGCAGGCAGAATCCAAGGGAAAGGAAGCAGTTGAGTCATTCGTGAAAGATCGCTTGGATGCAGAGGGTGACAAAGACTTTTATGCACCAATTTTTAATTGAGGTTGAAGACATTTGATTCCCTTAACAAGAAAGTTTTACTAAAGTTTAGGAAAGAAACATCAGTTTTGAAATCAACATGCGAGTTGTTCAGATGACCCATGATGACTGGACAAAGAAGGAAGATTTTGCTTAGAGACCTTTCCAAGTATCCTATAGGATCATTTCCATTGTCAAATTCTGCACCAGATGGAAATTTAGTGAAAACTGTCTTTCTGGCTGAGGAGTTTGAATAACTGTAAAGTCGATGATGCTGTACCAACAAACTGCAGGTGGATAATTGAAGCAATGGCAAGTAACTTGAGACGATTAACACCAAGAGAATGATGACATATAAGGTGCTAGCCCTTCTTGTGTTCAATACAATTGTCAAAGGTGCTGGAGTCTCTTCATGCATTGACTAGGTTGTAGATACCTATCCAGACATCTCCATCATATCTTTGGAAAGAGATCAGCACACTTCCTCCGCATCAGGCTCACTGGAAACTAGAATTCTTTCAGACTCAAAAAGTACTGCAGACTATCAGCTCGAGAAATCACTTCGCAGTCCTTATTGTTCAATGAATTGTCTAACGGTAGACCCTCTTGCTATATGGAATCACAAAAATTATGGCCAAGTCCCAGGCTGCTCTGACTGACATTCTGCCTCATCTACACACAATTGCAAGGTCTGAATTGTTTGTATTACTTTGACAACAGATCATATACTGTACAGTGCTATATATCATTTCTCACTCTTGATCTATTTATTTTTTTCCATTTCTGTATTTATTTATAATGCAATTGTGGGGTGGCTTCCTCCCCAGGCCCTGAAGTGGGTTGGTGACCTGTGCCAGGGTGGGCTATTCTTTAAAAAAAAAAAAAAGGACACTGGCAGAATGCCTTGTGAAAACATGGCAGAAATCAATGTTTGCTAGAGCGCAGAATAAAACATCACTATTGTTTGGATGGTACTAAGTGATACGGCAGTACACAGCCATTCATGCTGTGCTTGCTGTGCAAACCCAACCTAAACTTAAAATCCTAAAATTCGCTGCATAACCAAAACGATAATAATACCTTCAAAGCCCTGCCACTTTAAACAAGTACTGTACTGTAATATTGTTGGTATTTTTATCGATTAAAATACTAAAAAACTAAAATTTCTGACGGAAATGCTAAAGAAGAAAGGTGTCTTAGAATTGTCTAAATTTCCGATTCCAAAACTTAAAATTTTTAAATTCTCTAGATGACCGAAACAAAAATTTTACCAGGTTGATTAGGTTAGATTAGATCAAAATCATTCAAAACACGTAAAAGAATCATCGGAAAAACATAGGGATGACCGAAACTATAATTCGTTAATATTGACGACTGACCAGATGACAAGTTTTTTGTTTTTATGTTTATTTTCTTACTTTATTTTCATCAGTGGGTTCTGATATGATAATCATTTCTTGTGCAAATGCATTGTTTGGTAGATAATTAGGCGCCTAAGCCGCACTACTTTGTCTTCTCGGAGGTAATGCACCAGTGATGTCTCATCCCAGGATGTAAAGAGCCAATCATATTGACGTACTTCAAAACAATCACCGCCCGAGCTTCATCTACACCGACGCTCAGTGTATGCTTAAGAACCGTTCGGTACGGGCGGCTGCCCTCACGTCGACAAAAAACGTAAAATTGCACCATATCGTAGTAAGTTCTTTCTGCTAAGTATACCGGGGGGTCCTGAAGTTAGGTAAGGTTAGGTAGGTTTGTTTGTTTGGTTAGGTTGGTGAAGTCTAACAAAACTTCTGCTGCTTGTTTTTCATATCAACTACGGTTAGGTTACGTTTAATTTAGAAATGACCATTTTTTAACACATTTGCCCCAAACTATGACAGTGTCCACTTTAAAACACAGTAAAATTGAGTCATTTTTATAATCGTTTTCTATAAAAAATCGGCCGCGGGTCAATCGTCAATAATTACCCTATAATTTTACTCCAATTCCAAATGGTACAAATGGGGTTCAAAATGCTCAGATTAAGGAGATCTAAATGTTTCAGTAGTTTATAACTTTGAGGCGCCCTATGTCCGACAGTAAAATAAATCCCTATTAATATACTGTACCGGTATTTTGCTATATGACGATGCTTATGAGCCCTGTGAAGACCTGTGAACAGTCCAATCACGTTCGAAGCCACTGACTTAATTAGAGGTTGGTGGTGCTTGGGTCCATGGTGGGCGTTGGGGGGCGTTATACCCTCTTATCTACTGACAATCATAAACATAGAATGGGGGAGAGGGCGCATTCAAAATGGTTACTGTTACTTTTACTTTTATCCTCTTCGCCAATTTATGAATTTTTTTTTTATTTATCACTTCACCACTTATCAGTCTTTCTTTGTTACTGTATTTGTCCAGTGTTATTGTTCAGGTATTATTGTTACTGGGTTTCAACACCTAAGGTCTTTAAGGAGGCAATTAAGTTAGTAATTACACTCGTCCGTTAAGAATGAAAAATTATGAGAAAATTTCATGTGTAAGAAATATGCAATTTATACAGTACACATTATATGATTGGAAAAAAAGAGGCAGCGGAAACGTTCACAGCTCTCACGGATATGTCCAGGGTTCGAGCCTCGGCCGGACACACGTGAGAAGGGTGTCATCCAGTGTGACCCTACCAAACACCACAGGCTTTCTCCTGTACCAATACTGGATAGAGCGCCCAAACGGTTAGTAAGCTGATAAGTGGCGAATATGGAAAAAATAAATAAAATAAAATGGCGACGATGAACTTAGTTCTTGGTGAATCAGGCAACGAAACTGAAGGTCTAATTTGTAAAGGGGTATAAATAGGTTTTTTGGTTATTTATCTTTTTCATTATCGTATTAATACATACGTATGTGAAAGAAAAGAGATTTTTTCTTTTAAAAGTTTCTCGTTTTCTATTTCTTTTCTATTAGTATATCTTACATAACATGTTCTTAAATTTCTTTGGTTGTTTTCTTATAAGAAGGCCGGTCCGTTCCTCTCACAATTTTCATGAGTGAGGTGCTTCCCCGTCTGGCAAGATATTTGAACATTTTAACAACACATTTTAACAAAGCTATGAAAATAACACCCAGGGTAAGACGAATATTCAATAGTTTACATTATAATATACTGTACTGTACATGAATACTACAAGATAAGTAACCTAATGTACAAATGAAACAATGGGAACAAATAAAGTTTATTACCATATCAATACAGTATTTTAAATCATTAATAAATACATAAAAGATACTGTACCTTAGTCCTTAATCTGTATTTTCTAAGAATATTGCTTTAGGGAGGTCGGTCAACGAAATGTGGTGCTGAGAAGGGCGGAACAAAAAAAATCTAATGCTAAAAGATGGCAGTTTGGCTCCCCAACTCTACATTCCTTGCCTATGGCTCTTGGAGGTCCTTCCAGACCTCATAGAACTCTGCCTATGGAGCTCAGAGGCCCTTCTGAACTTCATATTCTTACCTCAAATACCTGTGGGGCTTGGAAGCCCTCCAAAACCTCATATCTGTGCCTGTGGTAAGAGATAATGCACAATATATGTACAGAATGGTAATGCTGTACCACCAACTATCATGCTTTGTAGACCCTTATTTTATTCATTAAATTTCTGTTAATTTTTCCTTCTCTGGCCTGTCTTTTATCACTGTTTTCTTTATCACTTGAAAGCTTGTTTGGGTACAGGGTGACTGGAATAGAGAGCAACATAAACTGATCCTTACTTTTCTGCAATTTATTCTAATTGCAGTAGTAATGCGCATATCTCTAACCAACACACCAAGGGTTTGAGGCCTGCTTAGCCCATAAACATGTTAGAAGAGTGTTATCCGATGTGACCCTACCAAACATCACAGGCTTCATGGATTTCAGTTTTCTTTGTAATAACATTGGATAGGCCAACCACCCAAATGGTGAGTAAGCTGATCGGTGGTGAAATCATAAATAAATATTTGTTTTGCTAGAGTTACCCTTTGACTACAAGGCCCAAAAATATCCAACTGCTCTATCCTTATTTATCATAAGTTTATAATAAAATGAGAAGTTTAATTAACAATGACATTTAATGCATATTGTGAATGATAAAGAAGACCACATCCTTCAGATAAATTATTTTATTTAACATCAAATATACTTGTACTATTTAGTATTTACATAATTTGGTATGCCATATACAAGGTACATATGTATAATTTACACAACATTGCAAATTAGATAACAGCACTTCGTCTTTTCAAGCTGACAACAAATTCAGGTAGTGTGCAATGAAAGCCAACGGTAATGCATTGTGAGGGTGAGGCAGACCCCTGGCGGCACCACATCACCCTCACAAGATACCAGACTTTGGTCCACTTGACATCACATTAAATAGTTCATCTACTAAAATAGCAGGTCTAATCTGTACACTATAAATACAAAATAAGTTGAGTAAAATTTTTCTTTTACCATATACATACATAAAAAAAAAATGCGACCAATACATACTTTGTAGTGTTACTGATTAAATACTGAATGAGGGCATTTTGGGTTTACTGAAAAAGACACTAAAAATATCAATATAATTAACTGTTGCTAATGTAAAATCAATGAAGTAGCTTTTAACGTTTAAGAGATGTAATATATTCACAAATGGATGGAAATAAATAAGTGACCAGATGAGGAATATAAATAATAGAATAAGCGAGAAGAATCACATGAATTTTCTGGTCAGTATGAAGGTTTGCTGGAAGATAACTAATTGTTCTTATAGTAATTATTATTAAAATAGCTATAGAAAAGTCAGAAATATGGAAAAGTTACAAAAGGTCTATGAATTAAGATAGTTGTGCAAAATGTTCCATGAGACACTGAAGTTGGCATTAGTTTGGTTTTTAACTCTGGGAGTATTGTTACACAATGGGTACCTGTTACTACTTTTAGCCTTGGGTAAACACTGCAATACTTCAACACTATATAACAAATCTCTATAGAGAAATTAACAATGAGTTTTTCTTCTTCAGATAAATAGAAATACTGTATATAAAATTATAAATATACTTACCGGTATAAATAAACTTTTTATTTTTATTTTAGAAATCAAAATTAATTTTCATAGATAAAGCATCAGCTAGTGCAAATGTACTAGTGGTTTTAGGTGTACAGGACTATGATTAATTGTAATTCTGCACTATATTCTGTTACAAAGCAATTTAAATTATCGTCTATAAAGCTGAAATGAAAAATTAATATTCTTGAAAACATGTAAATTTCGTAATTTCATTATCTAAAACCAAGTTTGTTGTACGTTTGCATAATTTCATGTGCAGGCTAATTTTTATTTTTTTTAATATGCATCGAAAAGTTTTCTTCACATTTTCCTCTGTTACAGACATCCTTCTTCCATCTTCCAACCATCAAAATTATTATACTCATTCCTGCATACCCTTTCATCAGTATCCCTTCACATGTCAAATCAATGGTTTTGCATTGGTTTCATGAAACCAATTACCAGGTGATCAATGTGTAGATACAGTATTTTGGTTACCCAATCTCTGAGACATCAAAAATTAGGGCAATAATGTTTGTTCAAGACTAGCCTCAGACAAACATACTTTGGAGGATACCGAAAGCAAAATAATTACAGTTGTCAAGAGAAGGAGTTTGGCAAATTTCAAGATAAAAATGGACAAATATCTTTTGGCATTTGCCACAATGGCAAACAGTGACCAATCACAGTTAGCTAACCTTAATCTTAATATGTCAAATAGGAAACTGGCAAATGCTAGTGCAAATTAACTACAGTAGTACAGTACTGTAATCTCATGAATACTTTCTATTGTGTGATTAACAGCCTTTTTAGAAACCATATAACTACCAATCCATTATCAACTTTTTGCAACCATCACTTGTATGTGTAATCACCCATCAACAAGCTTTAGCAATATTTCACAAAAGTACACCAGTTAGCAATTTCTCAACATGCCTCTTTAACCAAATCCTCAATGGTTAATGTCCATATTTAAAGATTTAGTCTATTTGCCTCTGTCTACCCAACAGTAATTGGAAACCTGGATGTTAATCATAAATACGCTGTTGTAAAAATGTCATAATCAGCAAAGAAAATTTGAAAAAAAAAAGGTAAATGAAAAAATATATAAAATTGAAGATTCCTCAGAAAAAACTGCTAGTGCAGATCACCTCAGTGGTGATATTACAGTACATTTAGGTTAAATTATCATTAAAGCTTATACCAGTATAAAATTAAAAATAAAACTTAATATCAGCTTTTAATCTACTTTATCTGCCAAACTGCCAAGTTATTTATTTACTAAAGCTTGTCATTTTATATTGTTCACACGTTTAAGGATCATATCTGATCTTGGGAGTAAGGCACCGTTAATATTGTTACTGTCAGCCACCTTAAGGTTCTGCACCAGCTAATCACTTCTCATTTAGGAAGATGCCTTATCTTTCAGTGGAAATTACAATATTGTCAACTTTAGTTCCAATAAGTTTTGCTGACTAAAAACAATTTTCTTCTTTACATCAAACATATAAATAAATACTGACTGCTGCTCTCATAACACACTTAATGTTTTTGACCACATTTACTGAAGGTGGCTTAGGAGGACGAGATTAATGAGAGGTGACCTCTGTCCCTTCATTATCCTATTTCAAAAGAGTTAATATGATCTTTTGTTTGTTCTCCATTGAGGTGTTGACATACCAGTAAATTTTATGTTGTCAGGGTTCTCAAAATAAACAGAATGAAATTCTTCCCATTCTTGTTGCAACAGCATTAAATAAAATAATCAAGTGCAAAAAACACTAGAGGGAAAAATAAAAAATAAAATTTAATACAGGCTGTGCTAAGTCTGTTATATATATATATATATATATATATATATATATATATATATATATATATATATATATATATATATATATATATATATATATATATATATATATATATATATATATATATATATATATGTTAATTTTGAGAAATGAAGAAACATTCTCTTGGCATAAGCAAAATTTCCAAGGCATCTGGTAACATCTTATGATCAACAACGTGCATACTACATTTAGGAAGTCATTCCACAAATTCTCTTAGAGTGAATTAATGGTTATGGATCATTATAGATTAAATGAGTTTCTACATAAGAGGGTCAAAAGAATGGAAGTTGCAACAAGTTAAAAGTTACCAGTTGAACTGAATGCCATTTAATAATTGATGTGCAGTCAGTTACCCTTTTCTTGGCTAAAGTATCGTTGCTTAGAAATCATTAAGTACTTTGGATTCTTGCTATGTCTACTGGGTTTTGCTATTCTTTTCATTACTTTTCATTCATAAGGGGTGACACTACACAACTAGATATACTGTTACAATCATATGAAACTTCATAGATTTTAACTGACAAACTTCTATGGCAATTGTATCCATATTAATTATTTGCGTATCTTACAGAAATCTCAGTAACAAGTATTTAGTAACATTTCATTAGATTCTCTCTCATACTGATGATAAGGCCATTGAACAGTAAACTCTTAACTCATGAAAACACTATGATCACGATTATAAAAAAAATAAATAAAAAATAAAAATCAGCATTGTTGAGTGCTGTTCTCAGTTTGTGTGGACCAAAACAATGGAACTTATTCTTGTATTATGTAAGATCCACTGTTTCTTGACAACTTTTTTTTGATGAACTACTGCATTACCTTATGTGTCTCTTGATTTTTAGATTTGTCACAAGGATGCTTTTGGGCAGGAACTGTACACAGATACCAAGGACCTTGATAACACATGGAGAAGAGTATGTGAAGGACTTTAATGTAAATTATTTCTTGTGTTTAAAAAAAAAAAAAAAAAAAAAGGCCTTGAAAACAATTTGCACCAAACATCTACCATGTTTACCTAATGGACTAATAACACTGTTGTACCTAAATACTAATCCAAATTTCTCCAGTACTGCATTCAGTTAGGTGAGACATAAGAATGAAAATTTTCTGAAGAAGGAATATAGCCATCCACTCTCATTGAGAAATAAATGTTTGAAAGTACAGAATGACAATGTATAATGTGGTGGAATGTACAGTGAAGGTCGATCTTACAGATATGCTGAATGGCGTGAATTACTCTGCTCAAGGGCAGCCAGTACATCTTGTTTCAGCCGAACATAAAGTTTGCCTCTTTTCCATGGGTTCTGAAGCTGAAGTGGCCTAAAATCTTCCCGCAAACATCGTTCACGCATACCAATCACAGCCACCAAGCAGAAATCTTTGAGCTTATCATTTCCATACGTAGGACCACTTTTCCCCTTTAGCACAACAGCGACATTGAGTTGTTTCACTACTAAGTCTATCACTTCTCGAGCTGTTGTTCTAGGTGTTATGTGAATTTTAACAGAGGTACCAGATGCCATACCAGTCTGATATGCCGCGTACACCCGTATTATGGTGAATTCCTCATTACGAGCAGCTCCTTCAACCAGCTCCTCGCCCTCTGTACTCTTTGCTTCACTTCGCCCACTCTCTGAGCACATGAGACTTAAAGTGTCCGTTTCAGTTTCATTGGAAGATAGAGACCGCAAGCTTGCAGTCATACTAGAGAATGAGGCTTCAGAATCGTGGCTGAGACTACTCCCTGCCCTTTGCATATCAACATTAAGGTTACTGCCATATCGTTGGTGTAAATCAAAGCAACTACTTGTCGGAGATTTGCTACAAGCCATAGTTTCTTCATATTCAAGATCAACACAACTATTTTTTTTTCTCTTCCCTTGCTCTACAGATTCTAATGAAGAAATACTCTGATTTATTTTTGGTTCACTAGTACAACACTTAGATTTCAAACATCCCTCATGAGTATCATAAAACGCTGGAGCACTGGCCTTTCTGGGAGGGTAGCCATGGTCTACACAATGTTGTAAATGATTTTCACTTCTAGAAGTTGGAAGGTCTTTACTGTACATTTTTCTTTCGCCACTGTATTCCATTTTTTCATGTGTCCATGAAAGAAGTGGAACATTTTCATTTTGTTCTCCACTGTCTAATAAGCAATCATTCAGTGAGTTATAAGATTTGATACAACTATGAACACACCCACTACTATGTACTAAACATTCTGCTGTTTTCGATTTGTGAAACCTTGTCTCACATTTGACTGTAGCCCGTATGTTTTCTGAGGTATTAGACTTCAGCATTCTTGGTGTTTCTGACTTTTTTACACTAAAGCTGAGGTCATCATCTTTTCTTAACCTTTTACTATCTGCACCGAGCTGGAGGGACTCACTGGAACTATGAGTGTCTTGTACAGGAGAAGTTGCAGCAGGCATATGTGAGGTAGACTGTTGCACTGCTGGCTGAGGAGTCGTTGAGGGAAATGAACAAGACAGCAAGTTAGTTAAGGGGGCACCAGATGCAGCCTTATCACGAGCATAGCTAATAGCATCCATAACCCACCGAAGGCCTCGCCATGTAGCATCAAGCTGTTCCTGAAAGGACTGGAGCTGCCACAGACGATCCCGTGAGCAGTTTATCTCATCCTGACTGAAGGCTTCTCGATTGGCATGCTGTGCCATCAGTGTGTCCATCTCCAAAATGTATGAAAGTCGAGCATACCTACCTATTAACTCCCTTTGGTATGTCCCCATATGTATCATTTCAAATATTTGGAGGGGTAAAGTTGCAAGGTTAGGTTGGGAGAAGAGTGCATCTTCCTGTCCTGGAGCAGAACACACAGCATCCACAGGTGGCATAACAAGGAGAAGAGCCACATCTGGACTTAACTCTAACACTTCTCTACAGTAAAGTCTATGTTGGTGTTGAGCTTCTTCTTCTACTTCTAATTGATTCAACAGCTGCTGTGTTGCTTGGCAAAGCTGTGAATGCCAGACATGCTGTGCTGCTGAAGGTACACTGGGAAGCGGAGAGCATCTTTCTCCTTCATTTTCTACTGACTCTGCTCCGGCACTTAAGTGCCACTGCTCCATGCTTGCTAATTCTAAGCTTTGCACCCATTCCCATTCCTCTCTGAAAATAAAATAATTTTTTAAGTTTTCTCTAAAGGTAAAAATTAAATTAACATTATTTTAGAAATTACTTTTTTCTATGTATTGTACCTGAACAGATTAAATCAATATTGTATATGCCCGTGTATTAACCGATCTCACATGTAGTTTGACTCATGATTTTTTGGGTAAAAACGCTTGAGTTTTTCATATACAGTACCTCTTGTATAATTCAACCCTAGCTTTGAGAAATTCTAGAAATAATCCTAGACATATTTTATTGCAAGATACATACACCAATGCGTCTTGACCGTGATTACCACCACAACAGTGTTACCAACTCTGAAACTGAATTCCTACCAGTTACCAATTCCCATTTATAAATTTTGTTAGATTCAACCCTAAAAGTAGCTTTAGCTGTACACTGTAACATGAAACTAAAAAATGTAGGTATATAAACAGCAATAATAAAAGCATATAAATAGCAATGACGTAAGTATAAAAAAAAAAAATTATTCAAGTTGGTGTACTGTTGAAGTTTCAGGGATGCTCAACCATAGTAATGCAATCCCCAGTTGGGATGCTGACTCTCTGCTTCCCCTCAGTGCTCAGTGTTGTGGGAAGTGTACAGTATAATAATACTGGGATATGCTTTTATATTGCTCCTCAATTACTGTAATTTTAATTTCTAAGGATATTATTACAGTATTACTGTATATAAATAAACTTCAATAAAGGCAATAAAATTGAAATATTTTTATTACCAGTACATCTTATCCTGTGATGATTCATGTTATGATAGATATTATCAATGTTTTAAGATCAAAATATTTAATTCTGAGGAATAAGAGAAAATAATATAGTACACCAGACAGATAAGCACCTCACTCTTGAAGAGCGTTATGAAGGATGGACTGGAATTTTTGCTTGGCAAAGCTGTGAATGCCAGACATGCTGTGCTGCTGAAGGTACACTGGGAAGCGGAGAGCATCTTTCTCCTTCATTTTCTACTGACTCTGCTCCGGCACTTAAGTGCCACTGCTCCATGCTTGCTAATTCTAAGCTTTGCACCCATTCCCATTCCTCTCTGAAAATAAAATAATTTTTTAAGTTTTCTCTAAAGGTAAAAATTAAATTAACATTATTTTAGAAATTACTTTTTTCTATGTATTGTACCTGAACAGATTAAATCAATATTGTATATGCCCGTGTATTAACCGATCTCACATGTAGTTTGACTCATGATTTTTTGGGTAAAAACGCTTGAGTTTTTCATATACAGTACCTCTTGTATAATTCAACCCTAGCTTTGAGAAATTCTAGAAATAATCCTAGACATATTTTATTGCAAGATACATACACCAATGCGTCTTGACCGTGATTACCACCACAACAGTGTTACCAACTCTGAAACTGAATTCCTACCAGTTACCAATTCCCATTTATAAATTTTGTTAGATTCAACCCTAAAAGTAGCTTTAGCTGTACACTGTAACATGAAACTAAAAAATGTAGGTATATAAACAGCAATAATAAAAGCATATAAATAGCAATGACGTAAGTATAAAAAAAAAAAATTATTCAAGTTGGTGTACTGTTGAAGTTTCAGGGATGCTCAACCATAGTAACGCAATCCCCAGTTGGGATGCTGACTCTCTGCTTCCCCTCAGTGCTCAGTGTTGTGGGAAGTGTACAGTATAATAATACTGGGATATGCTTTTATATTGCTCCTCAATTACTGTAATTTTAATTTCTAAGGATATTATTACAGTATTACTGTATATAAATAAACTTCAATAAAGGCAATAAAATTGAAATATTTTTATTACCAGTACATCTTATCCTGTGATGATTCATGTTATGATAGATATTATCAATGTTTTAAGATCAAAATATTTAATTCTGAGGAATAAGAGAAAATAATATAGTACACCAGACAGATAAGCACCTCACTCTTGAAGAGCGTTATGAAGGATGGACTGGAATTTTCCGAGTACAGTGGAGTATGCTATAACGAACGTAATTGGTTCCAGAACCTCGTTCGTTATAGCATTCGTTCGTTATAGGATTAATCCGTTCCAGGCCCCCAAATACAACCACTTAACACTGAAAAAATTCTGTGGAAAATGTAAAAAATACGGTACTTTATCTTACCTTAGTGTTATTCAGCATGCAGGTACCCCTAAACACTGGCACATCACTATCACTTCCACTGGGAGTCTTGGCTTTAAGGTCCTCAAACAATTGTCTGGCCTTCTCACAAATTATAGCTTCACTAATGTTACCACCTGCCATTTCTTTCTCCTTTATCCACACTAAGAGTAAATTTTCCATCTCTTCAATCATATTACACTTTGCTTTGCTAAGTCTAGAGATTCCCTTAGCCACTTGCACAGTTTTTAACTCCTCTTTATTCTTCAAAATCGTACATATAGTCGATTTAGCCATCCCATATTCATCACTAAGTTTCGCAATGCTTCTTCCATTCTCACGTTTCTTTATAATTTCTTTCTTAGTTTCAAGGGTTATTAGCTTTCTCACTCGCTTTGGACGACTCATTGTTACAATTGTATACTTGTATAACAAAATAGTTATACAAATAACGCGAATTTCCACATCAAAAGACGAAATTTCAACAATAACAGTGGTGCACTGGCTACACAATGAGACAAAGATGGCGCCTGACGCTCTTGTTGTGGGTCGCGGTACAACAATATTCATGCGCCAGGCGAAATAGTCCGGTATTCATCCGCGTTCGTTGTAGGAGTTGCGTTCGTTATAGCATTCTCAATTTTATAGGTAAAACCGTTCGTTATAGGAATATTCGTAGTAGGATCCGTTCGTTATAGCATACCCCACTGTATTGGGAAAACTTTCTTGGAATATTCCAGAAAATGTGTCTCAGAAAATTTTGGCTCTGGGAAGGATTTTCCGAGAAAATTTCAATTCCAGCTATCGGAGAGTTCCGGGTTCGAGGGATTCTGGCTAATGGAGATATTATTAGTTTAGTTGCTTGATTCATCTTCTTCTCACAATGGCCTGAGAACTTCAGTTCATTGTCAACATACACACTCAAGTCCTTTTCACATTTGGTCTCTATTAATTATGTTTCTTCATCCCATTATGACATGTCATACACCTCCTTACTGTTGGTACGACCTAGGTGCATCCTCTTGCATTTAGCGACATTAAATTTTACAGCCATTTCTTTGATCACTCTTGAAGCTGACACACCTTTCTGAAAGTCTTCACTGTCTGTTTGGTTCTTAATTTCCCTGAATAACTTGGCATCATCCGCAAAAAACATTTGTATGCAGGAGTGTATAGCTTCTGGCATGTCATTTATGAACCTTACAAATAACAAAGGACCCAATACACTGTCCTGTGGTACCCACCTTGTCATAGGTACATATGACAATATTGTGCTATTAATTACCACACACACTGCTTGCGGTCATGAAGAAAGTCTCTGATCCACACTAGGACACTTCCCAATATCCTATACCCTTCCAGCTTAATTGTCAGCTTTTCATAGGGTACATAAATTGTCGAAGGCTTTAGCAAAGTCCAGATATACAGTATAGTATTGTAAATATTGCCAGGACTTTGGAGACTGAGATCCCACACTCCACTCGCCTCCCTTTCCCCCTCAGCATGCTAACTCTCGCACACGAAGAAATGTTTATTCCCTTTATGTTTTTTACCTCATGATAAATAGTATTTATTTTTTTATTTTTGCACATTCTGTATTTAAGATTGTGTATGGATGTAACAGAGTAACAAAAATAAAGAAGAAAATTATGTATCTCTATCCAAAATTACGAATTGAAAACTAACCATAACATAGCTCACAGCTCAGCCTGATAGGGAGAAATCTAGGGGAATGTGGCTACAGCGATGACTGACGAGTCTAACTTGGCAACAATGCCACCAGCAATATAAACAGATACAAACCAAAGGAAAATTATCTGTAAATCTTCATTTGTATCAGGTTTTGGAGATTTAAAGTGGCATATACAGTGAATGAAGTTGTGTTCTTCATGTAGCAACATAAAGAAAGAATCTAGGGGTATGGTAGGCAAGCCCATGTTAAAGGAACCTACTAGTAAGAATAGCCTACCACAAGCATGTATCGGGTAGCTATTGTTCACCGTAAATGACCCACAAAAAAGTATGAATTTTAATCCCTCATATTTATGTGTATGTACATAGTTTGACCCACTTCTTTTTTGCATAAAAAAATTATCATAAAACTCAAACTGTACTGTACTGTACTTGAGTATATATGGTAATACATTAAGGTCTTAAAACAAATGAAGTTACATACCTTGAAACATGAGGGTTATCCCTGATCTTGACATGTGGAAACATATTAGGTGTTTTTTCTGGTACTAACACCTGAAGAACATCCACAGAACTCTGCAATTTGAGGTAGCCCAAGTATAATCCACGACGTAATGGTACACGACTCACTTTATCGTACAGAATCTGGTCTTGTAATGATGACAACAAAATGTCTCCTGCTGATGTCCCACCATCACTCTGGGTTGAGCTTTGACCTGTAATATTTCAGAGGAATTATAAAAATCTATCTATACAATTTAGGAAAACATTTTCTTTAAGATATTTTACTATATATAAAAAGTGAACTTAACTGTCTGCAACAGTGATATTGAATGTCTACAATAGTGACTAGCTGACTCTATATGCAGGAAGAGACATACAGTACTTGGAAAAGTGATAAGTTTTCGTAGCTCTACTGTTATTATCTCCATAAAGCTATTTATGTCAAACATGGATAATAATACCTACGAGGCCATTAATAATAAACAATGATACAAATAACCTAAAGAGCATCATTAGCAAGAAAAATTATGATTTGATCTCAACATATTCATTAATGATTAAGATAATAATGATCTAAACAAGGCCATTCATGACAAAAGAGTGTAATGCTCTTAACTGGGTTATTAATGATAACAATTTCAACATGGTTATTAAATATAAGCCAGGATAAACACTGTATCTCATCAGTGCTTTGAATGACAAACACCAATAATAAGGATCCTGCATGAACTCACCTGAGGCTGTACTCTTCCTTTCTTTAAGTTTAGAGAGTGGGATCCACTTAACATTCATGGCAGAAACAACCTTTGTGCTTTTTACATGTCGCATCGTACAAAACACCAATGTTCCATTACTTCCAACAATGGGCTTGTGATAAAATTGACCCAAATCCTGAATGCCAAGTGTTGTCTGAAAATAAATACAGGTACAGGTATGATAAGCAGTGTAATCATTAGAGCATGCAAAAATATTGTGTGTGGGGGGGAGGGGGGGGGTGAACAAAGGGTACTAAATTACTGAAGTAGCACATAATTCTAAATTCACAAATTTTAAATGGAGTCCACAAAAGTTAACTGTCTAAATTAACCAAAACTAAAAGAACCCAACCCAACCTAAATTCCTCTATACCAATCCAACCTAACACAAATTAACTTAATCAAAGACTATTCTATCTAAACTAAACCTGACACTACTAAAACAAACTTATACCTACCTAACCTAACCTCACTCAGATACTTAAATATCTATCAATCTTTAAAAAATATGAAATGCTGATCATCATCATCATTTTATGGCCATTTTTCACACTTGTGTGGGTTAGCCGTGGATACCAGATTACAGGTTTCCAAGCTGCACAGTCTCTCTTGTCAGGATCCTAACTCTTTACTGTCATTTCTTACAATTTCTCCCACGTCATTTTTAGCCCCCCCCCCTCCACATTTAGGCTCATGTACCTCTTGATCCAACTGGTCTCATCCATTCTCTCCACATGCCCAAACCATCTCAGTCTCCCTATATGCAGGACTTTGCCAACACGGTTTTATGCCAGGATGCTCCTGCTTAACACAATTACTCAAGGTACTGGATGCTTGAACACAAATTCTGGAACAGGGTAGCAATAGTGACAATTTGTACCAAGATTTTGCCAAGGATTTCAACAGCGTACCCCCATGAAAGGCTGAGAATTAAACTGGAAGGGTAGGCAATTCGGGGAAGTATCCTAGCACGGATCGGAGACTTTCTGCATGATCGCAAGCAGTGTGTTGATCAATGTTGTTTGTTTCATAAATGACATCCCAGAAGCTATACGCTCCTCCAAACAAATGTTTGCAGACAATGCCAAGTTATTTAGGGAAACTAAGAACCAAACAGACTGTGAAGACCTGCAGAAAGAACTCTATGAGCTTCAAGAATGGTCGAAGAAATGGCAGCTAAGATTCAATGTCACAAAGTGAAAAAGGATGCACCTGGGTCGTACCAATGGTAAGGAGGCATGTCATATGTCCCAACTGGACGAAGAAACTGCATTAATAGAGACTGAATGCAAAAAGGACCTGGGTGTATATGTTGACAATGAACAGAAGTTGTCAGGTCATCGTGAGAAGAAGGTGAATCAAGCAACTAAATAATTAAGTCTCATAAGGTCATTCAGATATTTAGATGGTCCGTCCCTCATAAGGATCTTTAAGAGTGAGGTGCTTCCCCGCCTGGAGTACTGTCACCCCGTCTGGTCCCCGAGATATGCTAGGAACTGTCAGTTGATTGAAAATGTCCAAAGGCCTGCACTTTGGCACCTCAGTTTTCCAAAGAGATTAGAGCTCCTGCAACTGCCTAGCTTATACTACAGACAGGCAAGGGGGGACCTAATTGAGGTGTATAAACATTTAAAGGGCACTACTCAGTTGAGTGTCAATACTTGGAACTGGCAGATGCCTGCCCCCACAAGGGGTCACAGCTCAAGGCTGAAGAAGCTGTAAGTCCAGAAAACTGAGAAGGCAATTTTCTTTGGAGTGAGAATTGTGAACTCTTGGAACAACCTGCCAGATAGTTATGATGGCACAAAGTGTGAGCGGTTTCAAGACCAGATTTCACCAACACTGAAGTGGGTTCAGATACATTTAGGGGCCAGTGCATGCCTAGTACTTGCCAACAGTGCATAATAGAGACATGACCGACCGCCCAAGCAACTAATGAGATGAGCATGGGTGAAGAGGATAAAAGTAAAAGGAATACCCAGGTGCCCTTTTAGTTCTGAGCAGGGCCTCCGTCTTTCAGTGTCATATTACCCATTCATCTCCCCATTTTCATTTCAGCTTGCTCAAGTCTACTTTTGTCATCTCTTTATCTGCTCAAGTTTCAATGTCATACAACATCACACTTCTCACACCAGCCAAATAAATTTTTCCTTTCAGAGGGAAGGTACTCTTGCCACCAATTGAGGAAGCAGTTCCCTATACTTCCTCTCCTCCAACCACTTCCAACTCTTGCAACTGAGCAGACTTCAACATTCCCACTGGCACTGATCATGTCACCCAGGTAACAGAACTCATCAACACAGTCCAGGAACATATCACCATTGTTGAGTTTCTCCACATACAGAACACTTCAAGTCAGCAACATCTTGCAATCTGCCGTTTACTCCACTGCATCTCTTGTGCACCCACTTTCAACACTCATTACATATATTTGAGTTGCTGTGAACACTTTTCTTACAGGCAGCACATGGCCATTTTCCTCTTTTCACCATGGGTCCCTCACCCACATCACTAATCAATAATTTTGTTTTAGCCACGTTCACTCTTATCCCTTTATCTCTATTCCATCCTCTCATTTCTTAAATTTTTCCAATGCCTCCTCAATACTAACTGCTTCAGCACAAAGTCACCAGCATACAACAACTCCCAGGGCAGGCTAGTCTTAATGTGTCTGTGATGTTGCCTCCAACACCACAAGAAATAGAAGGGAGCTTAAGACACTAGACAGACTCCTGAGGGACTCCTACTTTTATATCAAATTCCTCACCGTTTACTCTCAAGAGATTTTTGAGCCCTCATATAATACCAGTTTACTACTTCACATGGTACCCTGTGAAATGCCTTCTCAAATCCACAAATATAAAATATAATTTTCTCTCTCTCTCTCTCCCAGGACATTTCTCTTGTAAATGTGTGGTCATAAATATTGCCTCTGTAGTTCCCTACCTGGCATAAACCCAAACTGCATTTCATTTATGTTTACTCTCTCCCTTATCAATTTCTCAAGCAATGTAGTTCCCTGTAGTGTTTCCACATTCATGACCACAATTTTCCTTCAGTTAACTGGAACAGTACATTCCATCATGATTGCAATAATCAACTCAAGTCACCATTGACATGCCTACATCATCTGATGCTTTATGCATTTTTGCAACTATTCTCTACCAGTGCTTATACAGGCTGACAACCCTTTATCCGAAATTCCGAAAACCGAAAAGCTCTGAAAACCGAAATTTTTTTGGTGGAGCAATTTTTTTTTTTAAACCGGGATTAGCCCACCCAGGCATCACTGACCCACATCGGGGCGAAAATGTAATAATAATACTAATTATAATAATAATACTAATTATAATAATAATTATTCATAGTAAATAAAAATTTTAATTAAAAAAATACACCAAAATAAAATAATAATGATAACAATAATAATAATAATAATAATAAAATATAATAAAATTTATAATAATAATAATAACAACAACAATACTGTATTAATAAAATAATAATAATACTGTAATAATAAAGAAATACAAGAATGAAAAAAGATAAAAAGTGAGAAACACGACCTAGAACTATGAATTATTATAATTATTATTATTATTATTATAATTATTATTATATTTTCGCCTCCCAGGCCCCAGTGGGGGTCAGTGACTTGTGCCCGGGTGGGCTATTAAAAAAAAAAAAAAACTAACCATTCTGAAAACCGAAAAATTCCGAAATCCGAAATGCCTCTGGCCCCAAGGATTTCGGATAAGGGATTGTCAACCTGTACAATCTTTTTCTCTCCTTTATCACTCTGTCTACTTCATCATTCCACCACCATGTTACTGGGGTCCTGACTATGCCCTTCGTCCAGCCACACATCTTGTCAACTGTGCTCCGCAAAACATCCTTTATTTTGGCCCAGCATCTCACTACACTGTCCCTCACATTCTCACTGCATTTTTCCAATCTTCTCAACTCAGCATGAAACTCCTCCCTTACATTCTGTTCCTGCAACTCCCATACTCTCCTGCTCAGAACATACACCTTCTTCCTTTCTCTGCACCTTTTAAACAACAGGTCACACACAACCAATCTGTGCTGTAAGGTACATTCTTACCCTGCTCATACATAATCAACCTACTCACCCTCTTTTTAGAGTGGGGCCACACCAAATGCAAACATTGTTTGTAACATGTGTTGGTGACTGAGATCTCATCCATGTTGAAAGTCACTTTCATACCAAAGTAAGAGTTTTAGGAATATTGTTATACATTTTAGACAAAAGCTACCAACAGTGTTTGCAACAGTTGAATACAGATATATCTATTCCAACACAACAGTGTTAGGAACACTGTTATAAACAATTTGAACCAACACTGTTCCCAATCATAATGTAGCCAACGTATGTTACCAAAAATGTTTGCACTGGAACCACAACAATGTAACAATATTGGTAACATTGTCGGTAACTTTGTGGAATAATGATGTTATCATTGTTCCATACTCTAACAGTCTACACCAGATGTTGTCCACGTTGTTTTTAGCCATGTTCCCAACAATGTTACGTTGGTGAGTCCCCACCCTTAAGAAGTGTGTCTTTACCCCGGCTGAAAATCGGAAAATTACGAAAATATTCAGAAAAATTCCTGAGGAAAGCTGTTGCCTATGGCTATATGCCAACATATTTTTATTGCATAATTTGTAATATTTATGTAGCTATGGATGATTGTTCTACCCCCTTCATTTCAAGAGATCTTCTGTTAACATCGGAAAAGCTGTAGAAAATGACTTATATTATTATTTTGGTGTAAAGTAATACCAATCACTTGGTAAAAATCAGTATCTGACACCTTTCTCAGCAAGCTTGCTACGGGAGATCTTCGGCGTCGTCACGAGAGTCAGTGACCCATCAAACATGCGAGAGTGGGGTACGATTGCGAGTTGCTCTCGTGCCACCTTTATCAGCCCATATCTCAGAATGAATTTTTCTAACCTTCAAATCCCTAAGTCTCGGCCATTTAAGGGTCGATTCTAATAAAACAAAAACTAAGTACCGTAGTAGAATAACATACTGATCATGGTGTAACATATAGATTTTCTTTTTATTTGGCTTGGTTTATTAATTGGTCATTATCTTTATAAATATTTGGAGGAAAAATGGTAAGTTAGGAAAAAAATTCATGCACCCAATACGAAAGCGATAATCAGAAATATCTATATGTTACGTTCAAGAAGAGTAAATCACCTATATTCCATGTGAATTTCAATGTAATTTAGCAAGAGGTTATGGGGAAGTAGGATTTTTCAAATTTATTAAAATATATGGAAAAAATCAGATAACAGGATTAGACAGAACTAATTCAGGGGAATAGTAACAATGTATCTGCAGTCCTTAATTGCTGACAAAAAAATTTATATTGATTGATCAATTATTAACGAATGTTGCATAGTCATATTCAATGCATCCCCAAACTAAAGTGCAGTGCACCCTTGATTTTCACAGATATTTTATTTGCAGTTTTGACTATTCATAGATTTTCATTGCCACAGGTATTACTGATTTCGTATGTGTTTGAATGGTGCGCATGAACGAGTTTCTGCAAGAAACCAGCAGGCATCACTACCACAGAGTGCAGCTTAGCTTCCTTCCCCTCCTCTGTCTCACTCATGTTCCCCGCCAAAATGTGTATACATCTCGCTGTGACCCATGTGTTTTGTGATCGAAAATCCAATCATGGCTCCAAAACATCCTTCTATAGGTGGTAACAAGGGCGGTAACTCACCAAAGAAGCCTAAGAGATAAAGAGAAGTGTTGACTTTAGCCAAGAAAGTCAAAATAATAAAGAAACTTCATCTGCTGTGATGTACCAGGAGGAGAGTTAGGAGGGAGGATCAAGGGGCTGGAACAACATCAGGAATGTAACCCACGCAAAAAACGAGGGACCACTGTATTCTTTCTCCTTTTACATTTTTTTTGTGCCATAGCTTTTTCTGCCATGTACAACTTCATAACCCTCTACATGTGCCCTGACATGACAGTTCAGGTCACCAGCCAGTACTACAATCTCTCTTTTACACAGCTCTGACACGACATGCAACAATTTATCCCCAAACTTATCCTTCATTTTTTCACTTCGCCCAACTTATGGGGCATATGCAGAAATAATGATTATCAGATCCCTTCCTACTACCAGCTTCAAAACCATAATTATTGTATCCATCCTTTTCAACTCGAGTAATTTCTCCACCAACTTTTCGTCGATCAAGATCCTTCCATCACTTGTTCCGGATTCACTCCCCTTCCAGGATATCTTGTAGCTATCATTCTTACCAGTGATCAACCTTGCTGAGCTACCTTTCCACCTCATTTCATACGTACAGCAGAGATTGAGCTTTCTACAGCTCAATCTCTTCACAACTTCCCTTGCTTTTTCACACATCGTACCTACGAGTGTATTCAACCCAGCTATGTCAGTTACCTTCTTTTTTACTGTACAGTATGCAGTTCTTACAGCTTTCATTTGTGTAGTGTGTGGGTAGTTTCAGTGTGGCAGGTTTATGTTTATTCCTTATATTATATGACAAGGTTGGTGTTAAGAATTTAATAACAACCAGAGTGGGACATCCCCACTGGGTACTGGCACATATGTAATCCTAATGCCAAAGCTAGAGCAGTCCAGCTTCAGGGACACCCATCCATGTGCAACATGACACTAAAGCTGGCTGTGATATTAAGTACCTGATGATGGAGCAACCTCACAAGGTGCTCTCCCTGAATATGGGTTTCTGTACTATCAAGCAGAAGTACTAGCCTGTAAAACGCTTACCCCGTACCATCTGCGCAAGCAGTCTGCAAGCATAGAAAATACTGTACAGCAGAGACCAGGGGAGGGGCACAGCTCTGGTTGACCCTATTGCCATCAGGCATGAAGAAGCATAATTTTACATCTGCATGCCCTTCCTGACGCCCACCCACAAGATGTAAATAGCTGGCTAGGCAGGGCCGTAACTCCCCGAGGTATTTTAGACTACCCACCTACTGTCTACATAGCAAATAGACTCGTTTCAATAACTTAACCAAGAGGCAAAACCAAGAAGTTTTGGGTGGGGGAACATGGCGAGACTAGCGAGCCCACCCAACTGAGACTCTGACCAATATCATGGGCATTTTGAGGCCATTTTGCAGCCATGTACACTTGATATTAGGAGATATTCTGAGGTCAGTAGTAATTACTTTTTACTACACAAAAAACCCTGAGTACAATACATCATTAAAGAAAAAGTATTGGAATTTTCTGATGAAAAGGATGAGAATGGGGGTAGGTCCGGACCTCCAGCCCCCCACCCCCCACGGATCTGCCCTTGCTGAAACAATACCACATCAGAACACCTCTTGGCATAGCCTGCCTCTATACACAGGGGGGATATCTGCATTCTGAGGTAAACCTACTGTCCTATCAGATCAGCGTGAATTGTTGTGTCAACAGCCACTCGCTTGACCAAACCAGGATATTTGAAGCAAACTCCAACCTCAGCTGTGGTGCTTCAAAACCCAGAGTGACCACAGGTACACCGGGATAAACCCTGGAGCTGGTTCATTTAACTCAAATCCCTCAGTTATAAACTCAAGTTACAAATTTCCTTTCTCAAATCTTGCCTGCCTCTAGCCTACTGTAAACACATGTTGTTTGCCCTTATTGATTTTTTTTACTGTATTTCAAATATATTTTCACTTCTTGTGGTTATGGCTAAAGAAATAATAACTAAATAAATGTACTGGCAAAGAAGATAAAAGTAAAAAAAAGTTGAGAATTTTTCAAAGTGTTTTGCTGGCCTTTAAAACCTGAGTGCAGAAATAGTGCAGCCAAGTGATATAACTGACTCATCATTCTGTTTTGATCCCAGGAAAAAAATTATGAAGACACTAGATATCACTGACTAGTGATCAATGTGAGACATTAAACACAGATATTCATAATGTATCATTATATAAAGAATAAAACTATCATCATACCTGCATGTTGGCAGCAGCTTGTAGCAGTTTTATTCTGAATGGAACATTAGATGCGGATCCCGCTCTATCCATGTCTTGTCTCAGAGATTTAACATCTTCCCAGGTTGTAGCTACCTACAATAATTAAATAAAAAGCATAAGATGGATTGATCCTGAGACCCCATTTTATTGAGTAACTTTGTATAGCCAGCACTGAATTCCTGGGCTCTAGGACCTTGACTTGTGTTACTGGGATCTGAAAACTAAATAAAGTACCTGTAAATCACAATATTAGATTATCCTTTGCTTTCATACCAGATACAATATGAATAACCCATGGCATAACAACACCCTAAATAAGGGAGAAGGCTGAAGAATATCTATTGTCGAGTATAAACACATAAGCTCTGATCCGCTTTTGTTCAACAATGGCTAAAGATGACATTATGATGACCACCATGCCAAATCCAGCTCATCTCAGCCTCACAAATGGTGATGACTAGGATGCCCAGTTGCTGAAACCCAACTTGGTTATGAAATGGGATCTCGGGATCAATTCACTTAATGTTGAGACTGAGCAGTAACGTATAATAAATACAGATGGAAAAGGGAGGCAGGAGGTATTTGCACCTCCAATGTCAGTACAGTATTTATTCCCTTAAAGTTCGCAGTTTTCAAGCATGTATCACTCAGAAACTCGCAGATTACCATAAAAAAAAAAGTCTGAGGGGCGGTAAGCCACAAGGTGACGAATACGCTTCTCCTCGCATAGTAATGTTTATAGTCTGCTGTCCTCCCAGTGTTGGTGTCTTTGCAGCATTCTGTCTTTCACCATGCCTCCCAAATGCCCTGCAAGTGGTGTTAGACAAGTTGCAAGAAGGGATGAGTTACGCTGTTTCCTGACGTCTGTTTGGTATCAACGAGTCAACAGTGAGATCTATCAAAGCAAAGCAAGATAATATTTGTAAAGCTGTGTCCCTCTGTGCACCTGCATCTGCAAAGAAGAGCAGTTATTTCAGAGATATCAACATTGTCAAGATGGGGAAGAGTTTAAGTCTGTGGTTAGAGATGCTGACACACACTCTCCAGGAGAAGGCCAAGTCTTCGTACAAATTTTATTGTGGTGAAAGTAATAATGAAAGTGACAAGAGTTTTAATGCCAGTAAAGGCTGGGTGTAAAATTTTAAAAAGAGGTATGACCTTCATGTTTATTTTATTGCCTCATCATTCACTATATGGGCGCTGTACGTACTAATAATCATCGTCATCATAGCAAAAAGATCCAGAATAAATGGCTAGTGTTCAGATTTACTTACAGCAGAGGTGGACGTGTGGTAGCATTTAAACTGAAAGAAGCCTAACAAGCCATCACCAGGTGCACTATTGACAAACTTCTCACTGATTCCACACTGACAATCACCTCCCACACAGAATACACACCCATGCTTTTTATATTTCTTATATTATAGTTTTATATTATATTTGACATCTTGCAAAGATTCCAGAAATGCAAGTTATATTCTGCTAAGTCAAATCGGTGACATTTTATAGGAAAAAAAATTTAAGCCTAAAGCCAGCATCACCCTCTAAAATCCTTATTGTCTTTTGGCTGGGAGGAGGGAGTAGGGGGAGGTGAGGTGTTGACAGCCAGGCGGGGAGATTACCAAGTGCATAGTTATCAGTGGAGGGGAGAAGGGTTCAGGGACCCAGGATTATACAATAGAGGGAGTTTTAGTTTTTCACTTAAAAAAAAGTCACTGACTTGACTTAGCAGAATATAACTTGCATTTCTGTAATCCTTGTAAAATGGTAATTAATTTGAGTATAAACATCCCATAGTTTGCACACATGAATGAGAGAGAGAGAGAGTCATGTTCAGGATGTGTGTAAGCCTACCCACCCTCCTCCCAGTGAAGAGGTCTGGGTGAAAAAAATTGCCTTATTATTCGGCTTGTCATGTAATTTTGATGTCAAATTATATATCGTATTTTTCTATAGTATTTAATATTTTATAATATCAATGATAAAACATACACCAGCCAGTCTCCATCCCTCCCTCCATGCCTGCTCCTTCCCTCCCCCCTTCCTGTCTCTCTCCCTCCTTCCCAGCACCCTGACCCCCTCCCTCCAACTCACAGTGTCTCACACAAGACTTTAAACTCTAGATGTTGTGTGTGTAATGCTGTGGTGTTGGGGTATTAATGAATAATAACTGGCCAAATGTTAAAAAAGCTTTGGAAGCATTTGAGGTGGATGTAGGGTAGATGATCAGTGGGTCTCATGTTTTTGACCTGCTGTTACCCATTTTTTATTAGATCATCTCTCGTTTGCAGTGAAGGTGGATTAGTGGATTAGTGGATCCCATGTTATTGACCTGACCTGATGTTATGTAAGGTCACTCATTGTATATAAGCCTCTTTCTGTCCCTGTAAATTCAGTTGCCACTGAAGATAGGTGTGAGCCTATTAATGGAATTAATCTCAATTTAGTGAACTAGTTCACTAAATCTAGTATGTAAAGTATGTAAACTGTACCTCTTTGCTAAAGGTTATCCCTAAAGATTCCAGTCTGAAGGTACTGGATAATACACATTTTATATTCATTCAATATTGGGGTTTGGGGGTTTCAACTCACTGGTCTTGCTGGCTGTACAGAGTTGCTCAATTTTAACAGAAGGTTATAAAAATAAATTAGAGCCATCAATGTAATGACCAGACCCCCCCCACTCTCTCTGGTCAAGAACTGCATCACAAACTTGACAACAATGAACTTTATGTATCAAGTTTTAAGACTAAAATGGGTGGACTCATCTACTGTACAGTATACAGGTATATATACAGTAGTTTTTTATTTTTTTTGCAAAATCAGTTATTTAACAAAATGAATGGCATGTATATTGGTAATTTTGCAAAATAACTTACAAACAGACAACCTAACCTAACCTTATGGTTGAATAAGGTTAGGTTAGGATGTTTTTGTTTGTTTTTTAACCTTGGACTATGTGCTGTCCTAATCATAAGGTTAGGTTAGTTTAGGTTGTCTGTTTGTAAGTTATTTGGAAAAATTACCAAAATGCATGCTGATCATTTTGCAAAATAACCAATTTCACACAAAAATGTAACATCCATCCATATACAACTCATGTACTCAATAAAACTACAGTACGGTATAGTTAATATGCAGAAAAACAATTTCTGTGGACAGAGAAAAGAGAGAGAGAGCATCAAAATTATATCGCCTTAAACCATTTAAATTGCAAGATATTAAGTTCTGCTTCTACCACAAAACATAGTTCATATTCTTTCACAACTATTACATGTGTCCTCATTCCATAGCAAAGTTTCAATAAATTATATGCTACTGTAGTACAGTACTGTAATTACAAATTAATTACATCATAATGCATACCTTTAACAGCCAATGGAAATGAGATCTTGCTTGTCCCATGTAATCATCATCTACTTCAACAACTGGAGGAAATTCTTCTGTTGTTACAAGCACTTTATCATCACAGTAAACTATGCAGGCAAGGTAGGAACCTCTGAAATAAGAAAACAAATCTTATAACTCCATAAATGTTTAAAAAAATTCATCTTTTAATCTTTCAAGCCTTTTCCTGGTTAACACAAAGTGGCTGGAAGCAAAAATAAGCACACACACATTTTCCTTTCATTTGGTGTCATTTAATCATTCTTACTATTTTAGAAAATGTGTTCAACTGTGGTAATTCTTCAAAAAGGCTCACAGCAAGCAATACATCCTTCCCCCAATATACCTGTTCACTCATACACACTGTTTTTGGACCAACCCCCTCATTGTAAGTGCATCTTTCACCCTATCTGCTCCTCAGACATTCTTCTCTCTACTGTCACCTAACTCTTAATTATGAAAACTTTATAAAATTTCACTTCCCACAATCTCAATATGTCCTTACCAATAAACAGAACTGTAAACTCTTTATTTTAATGAATTTACAGCTCATGATTTCTATAATGAAAAAAAGACAGCTGGTCTATGAAATACATAAAACAAATACAGTATTTCTTTTCAAGTGCTGTATTTGTAATCTTTATCTATAAAAATAATAAGAACTCGCATCATGCAAACTATTCACATCTCCCTATACATTCAGATGTCAGACAAACATTGTAAATTAAGAGGAGTACATATACGGAGCCCTAATCAAGTGTAGAAGTGCCAGTAGAGTAGCCCAATTTATTCAGCGCTTCTCTTACTTTACCTTACTTCGTCCTTTTCACTGCTGATAACCTGTTAGCTACTTGGGCAGTTGGTTACATCTCTGTTATGCACTTTTGACAAGTACTGGCTCCAGAACATATCTCATCCTGCAGTAGTGTTTGTCAAGTCTGATCTTATATGAATTCACACTAAGTGCTGCCACAACTCTCTAAGGCAGATTATTCTAAAACTTCACGACTCTCACTTCAAATTAGTTTGCCCTGAAAATTGTCTGAACTTGAGGCTTCTTTAACCTGAGGCTGTAATATCTAGTGGGGCAGGCATCCACAAGTTGTGTATCTGAGGTTCAGGCACTAGTCTGGTGGCCCTCTTTTGGGTGTTTTCCATCAGCGGACACTCTAGCATGTCTCTGGGATCAGAAGGGGTGACAATACTCCACATGGGGAAGCATCTTACTTTTGAGGTACCTGGACAATAATTTAACTTTCTTTTTGTTGTAGAATCGCCAAGACAATTAGTTTAAGAGTACAAGATTCGGTTTTTTGCAGTATGGTACAGCACTGTTCAAATTTTGGTGTATTAAATACTGTATGTGATTCCTCTGTTACACTGTGCAGTACATACTGTAAGTGTACTATACAGCATGCCCTGACAATTCGCGGACCTCGATTATTCACAGATGACACCCTGAATGTACCCAAGAATGTCTAAGGGTAGTTTTAAAGTTGCTGACATTTTTGCGGCTGGGACCCATTCGTTCTAGACAGTAATTTCCTTTACCTGTATTGTATATATGTGTGTGTGTGTACACACACACAACATAAATAAATAATAATGGGAAAAGCCTCCCATTTTTAATAATTGTTTCCTAATTATTTGTGAGAGGATTTTCCCATTATTATTTATATGTATATGTGTTTTATGTGTGTGTGTCTACACACACACACACATACAATACAGGTAAAAGTAATAATTGTCCTAAGGGCAAACACACAAAGGGAATATAAATTTCTTTTCACACAAGTATAAAGGTAACACCCCCGGTCAGCAAATGTTATTCGGCCATTTTGAGAACCTAACTCCTGCAAATTTTAAGGGCATGCAGTACGTATATACATGGGTCCCTGACTTACGAACGCCCACTGATAAGAATAGAGTTAAACTTGAAATTTACAGTATTTTATTTACCTGATGAAATTTTATTACTTTTCTCTTAAATTAAGTGATATTAGATGTATATAAGAACTTAGGCTATAATATAGTGAGATTTCAAACATTGTTCTGTAAGTACAGTATGCACATAGTATGGGTTCCGACGTACGTACAAATCCGACTTATGAACGTCATCAAGAACGGAACCCGTTCGTAACCCGGGGACCCCCTGTAATCCTTACATTAACCTTAAAGGTTTATGAATGTCTTAGTAACATATTATTATTACCTTATACAGTGTATTTCAGAGAGAAAAGTAAGGCAAGCTTTTCACATTCTGTAACAAGTGTCTACACCTTTATAGTATATCTCTACGTAAAAAAATATTTATATACTGTACTGTATATGGATATTGTGACCGACATATAGTTTGAAGACCATGAAAATCGAGGATATACTGTAGTACTGTAAAGATTATTTTCATATTTACAAAAGGAAGTGCATATAGAATTGTCCCTACTTATGTTCAAATGTTATACTGTACATTCACCAAATCACAAAAAAAAATACTGATATACATACTTTTTCAAATTTCTATGAAATTTTGGTGCAGGAGTGAAGAGATTTTTAATACTTTTCTTCTTTTGTGCTTTTCTTAGATTGAGTGGTGTTTCCTGGCCTGGTTCTATAGCTTTAATTTCTGCTGCATGTTGTGGTCTTGAGTTACAAACTTGGTTGAAAAGGTCATCTAGCTTGCCCACTTGCCCATCAAGCCGAGGTTTCTGGGCGTCTGAGTCCCGCCAGCCTATGAAAAATTTGTGTTAAGGTCAGGGAATATGACATGCAACAAACAGTGTTTCCAAAGCAATACTGTGTGGCCACCATCCCAGCCAAACTTTTACCTTGGCCCAAGACCTACCTCAAAAATCAAGTTACTGTACTTCCTATTACAGTACCTGATTTTCTTGTAAAGCATTCTTCTATCTTCTCTTTTTTTCAATTTTATAAAAAAAAACATACACGTAAAATTCCGAAAAGATCAGTCAAATAATGTTTAGATTATTTTGTTATTTATGAGGGGGGATCCTAAAAAATATTCATAAGATAATATACTATAAACCCAGTACTGTATGTAGTTGCAAATACTGTACTGTACTGTACTGTGTAGTATATTAATTGCCAAAGCCTATTAAAACTCATTAATATACTGTACAGTATACAGTATATGATTGTGCAGTGAGCCATTATACAGTATATATAAAAACTTTCAATTTAAAGAAAGTGGGTATTCTGGAAATTAATAATATTTTATGGGTTGAAACAACCAAATGAAAATATAATAATGACAAACTGTACTGCACTGAAATAGGCTACTGGGTGTTCTCAACTTACTAGAAGGAATGGCAGCTGTTGGGGTTGTTGTCAGTGGTGGTCCATAGTCTTTCAAATTCCCTGCACACACTCTAAAATGATGTCTTTTTCCTTGTGATAAACCATCTACAAATACTGACATGCGACGTAGGTCATAAATTTCAAGACTGCCTCCAATGGTGACCCATTCATCCATACTCCATTCAACTGTAAAAAAAAAAAAACACAAAATTTTATGAAATTCCATTATAATAACTACAACGATGGTCTGTAATGTGTGACAAAAACTCTTTGAAGTTAAACTACTTTTTCTTGAGTGCATCATAAAAATGAATATAAAATTACCTGTATTAGAGAAACAAGGAAAGGTGGAATTAAAGAAGTTTCAGGTAGTCTAGACTTTACTTATACTTTAATCCTCTTCACCACTGATCAGCTCATTAGCTACTTGGGCGATCATCCACGTCTCTGTTCGCACTTTTGGCAAGTACTGGGCATGCACTGGCTTCTTAATGTATCTGCACCTGCTCCAGTGCTGTTAAGTCTGCTCTTGAAAGAGCTCACAATCGGTGCTGTCACAACACTCTCTGGCAGGTTGTTCCACGAGTTCACAACGCTCACTCCAAAAACGTTTGCTCTCACAGTTTTCTGGACTTACGGCTTCTTCAACCCTGAGCTGCGACCCCTTTTGGGGCGAGCGTCTGCCAGTTCCAGGTAAGGACACTCGACAGGGTAGTGCCATTTGAAATGTTTATACACCTCAATTAGGTCCCTCCTTGCCCGTCTGTAGTATAAGCTAGGTAATTGCAGGCACTCTAATCTCGCAGGGTAGCTGAGGTGCCGCAGTGCAGGCACCAGTCTAGTGGCCCTCCTTTGGACATTTTCAATCAACTGACAGTCCCTAGTATATCTCGGAGACCAGACGGGGTGACAGTACTCCAGGCGGGGAAGCACCTCTCTGTTTAAGATCGTTATGAGGGGTGAACTCTAGATATCTGAACGACCTTTTTATAAGACCTAATAAATTAGTTCCTTGGTACATTCTTCTCACAATGGCCCGAGAACTTAAGTTCACTGTCAACATACTCACCTTGGTCCTTTTCACATTCAGTCTCAATTAATGCAGTTTCTTTGTCCCGTTGGTACGTCCCAGGTACATCCTCTTACACTTCGTGACATTGAATCTTAGCAGCCATTTCTTTGACCATTCTTGAAATTCACAGAAATCCTTCTGCAGCTCTTCACAGTCTGCTTGGTTCTTAATTTCCATAAATAACTTGGCATCGTCTGGAAACATTTATATGGGGGAATGTACAGCTTCTGGCATGTCATTTATGAAGCAAACAAACAACAGCAGGCCCAATACACTGCCCTGTCACGGGTACACATGACGATTTCATGCCATTGATCACCACACACTGCTTGCAATGGAGGAAAAAGTCGTCGATCCATGCTAGGACACTTTCCCGAATCCTGTACCCCTTCCAGTTTAATTTTCAGCCTTTCATGGGGTACACTGTCGAAAGCTTTGGTAAAATCTAGGTATATATTGTCGATATTACTACCCTCTTACAGAATTTGGGTCCAAACATCCAGTACCTTGAGTAATTGTGTTAAGCAGGAGCGGCCTGACATAAAACTGCGTTGGCAATCTTTACAAGGTTGTTTTGTGGTAGATATTCCATCATGGCATCTCTTATAATGCTCTCAAGTACTTTACATACTATGCTAGTAAGGTTCACTGGTCTATAATTATTCGAGGAGTGACGATCGCCCTTCTTGAAAATAGGACTCGCATAAGCCATTTTCCAATCACTGGGGACCTTTTGTTCATCCAGGCATTTACAGAACAGGATCTTCAGAGGCTCAGCAAGCTCGTTGCACAAGTGTCTTAGCACTCAGGGATGCACCATGTCAGGGCCGGGACTCTTATGAACCTTTAGCTTTGACTATTTCTTATAACCTCTTCAGTGAACACAATGTGGGTCAGCAATGTGTCGAACTGTCTGTCCTCAAACGCAGGAAATTTTTTGGCATCCTCTCGTGAACACTGAGGAAAAGAAACTGTTCAATGCCTCCGCTTTGTCCTGGTCAGAATCTGTGTAACTACCATCTTCAATCCTCAGGTCCAATACTCCTACTCGCATTTTTAATTTTGACTTTGAGTAGCAGTAAAACGCCTTTGGGTTTGACATGACCTCACTTGAAACCAACCTCTGGAACTCCTTTTCAGCCCTCTACACTCTGACTTTGCTTGGTTCCTGGATCTTGCATACATCCTCCTGTCCTGCTCATCATTTGACCTAACCCCTGCCTTGAATTTCTGGGTGTGTAGCTTATTCTTAGCATCCGCCTTTGTGTTTAATTGACCTATTCTTGTTATGATATCCTTTGTACATCTACCATCACAGCTAATGTTATTACTTCCCAAATACACAAAATTTTCCACTTGTTTAAGTTCCCTGTTGCCTACCTTAATTTTTATTTTAGGATTAATTCTACTTTGGAAACAACTATTATTTTTGTCTTTACAGCATTAACTCTTAAACCATATTCATCACCTTTTTCCACTAATCTGTTTACCAGTTTTTGTAACACCTCTTTACTATCTACAATACGAGCTGTATCATCTCCATTGCAGATATTTGATATTACTTTACCATTAACTTTTAGCCCTTCATTATCACTTACAAGTTTTCTCATTATGAATTATGAATATACAGTATACAGTATTATACAATGTCAGAGATAGAACACAGTCTTGTCTTACTCCCTGCAGCAATATATAATCAACTATTAACTTCCAAAGTTACCTTTGAATTTTGTAGTAATTGCAAAGTTTTTTGCTTCAGGTTCTCTGAATGTGACTCGAACTCGTGTACTGTCAATGACTTCCACTGTTGCTCTGCTGGGAACATCTGGTGGCTCTGAAGAGATAAGATGACAAGTCTGTAAAAAATATCTTGAACTTTATTTGTAATATAAAACAGATTAGCTCTAAGGTGAATAGATGAAAATTAGGACAAAGAACTGAACTTAAATGTGACTAGTTCAGGGAGGAAGAAGCACACAAATATCAACACTGTAACAAAATGAGGACATTTTACATCTTTTGTACATGGCAACTATCCCTACTTTGTAAAAACATTTTGCCATGAAATAACATATCAACCAGTGCAAAATAAGTTTTATGAAAAGTACATCAACTTACTCAAATATTGAAGTGTAAAAACACACAACTACAACAGAGTTACTGTTCAGTATTTACAACCTGGGAAGTTGTTGCTTTGGAAAGTGGCATCAAACTTCACCATTGCCCATCATCCAATCATTCCTAACATCTCTTCATTATCCAAACCTACCTGGCATACTTCATTCAATCACTCTATCCTAACATCCCATTGTCTTCCCTAACAGCCCTCCAGCAACCATCATGCTAGAGCCTATTATCTCTTCACAAATCACTACTATCTTATTAATACTGCACAGTACTTTGTTTTTTCAATAATACCATCAACTACTTAAAAGCAGCCAACTATTTTATACTGTATACCAAAATAATCTATCCAGTATACTTATATCATTCAATACTGATTGATTTCTGCTCTTTTAGCCCATGTACCATCTTATATTATGAATCTCAGGGGCAGCCATCTACAGTTTGGAAAACCCAATATATTATTTACTTGTTAGCTGGCCTTTAGAAATTGCTTCCTTTTTGTTAGCAGTAACATTAATGTGGACTTACTCATTTGCTCTAAACCCATCTTCATGGTGCGTAACATCTTGACACGTCTGTCCCACAGTTCCCGTTGTCGTTCCGTCTCCCTCCCATGGGGGGCACCACCAGAGAGCTTAGAGTCAAGTTCTTCTCTGCGTCTCTCTGCTGTGCTTACCAATTCATTGAGATGGTGGATGCGTTGTTCAATGGTACCTGTATAACAGAGAAGTTACATTAGATTACCAAACAGAGTAAATCACAGAACAAACAATGATGTGTGTGATTCCACATCAAACCAAAACAAGTGAAGTTCATCATCTGTATATAAGTACAAAGTTTGGTTATACAGTAATTGTACACCTAATGCAACCTTAGTTATTGTTGAGAAACCAATTGTTTGCAGGCAGATGGAAAGATTACTTTTATCCAGTAAAAAATTTCCGGCCGACGGATAGCATTACAATATCTCACTATAGTACAGTGTAAGGTTTCACAAAAGGAATTTTGTGAATTACCAGCAGATTTAAAATTAATTAAAGAAAGCCCTACAAGGATGAACGCAGCTGCTTGTGTCACAAAAAATGAAAACCAATCCTCATATTATTAGGTTCTTTTATTCTTGGTTTGGTTAAAGTGTGTTTCAGGTCCAGTTAGTTCAAGTTTGCTGCCATATACAGTATCATTAATTCATAAAATTATTACTGTATACAGCATACAAATAGCTCTCTAGCAAAAATAAATTAACAGCCAGATCAGGTTTGGAAGAAACAACCTAAAATTTAGTTGGCAGCAGGCTGTCTTATGTAGTACTGTACAGAAGCTAAATTACAAATATGAAACTAGTAAAAGTTAAATATTTGTAAATATAGCCATGACAAACAAATTATGATAAGAGTACGTACTTGTACAGTACAGTACTGTAAGTGTACTGTGGACTGTACTGATGAAACAAAATTACAGTATCATCATACATTAACTTTGCAAAAACAATAACTACTACTATACAGCACCGTACTGTATTGCAAAGCACATTTTGGCTATGAGATGGTGAGATAAATGCTTTAAAATGATCAAAAGCCATTTTAAAGGGAATTACAAATATAATTTTGTCAGTACACAGCGCGATCACTAACGTCGGGACTCGAAAATATGTTAAAAATATTTTATACGACCATGGCCGTCGTATGTCCGGGTTGTCGTAAGTTGAATATGTCGTAAGTCGAGGGGAGACTGTATTTAAAAAAAATAAAACTGATATACAGTAATGCATTACTTAATTCACAAGTGAACATTACACTGCACTTACTGGTATTATACAATAGATGGGTGTAAGTGTCTATTGGTATTAGGTAGATAATTTGGTGTACTGTATAATGACATACAGTACTACTGTATAAGGAATCTGCTTATGCTCCACTAAGCATTTAGAAGTATACAGTAAACACACAGAAGACAAATGTTCATTACAGTATGTGAAACAGCATGGCATAAAAATAATGACTAACTAATATTACCTGAACAAAATGAAAAATTATAAAAGCTGGAGTTCATCAACCTCCAGCAGAATTTATGAAACAAATTGGCAAGAAGGGGATCAATTGATTGACAAAAATATGTACAGTCTCGTTCAAGATTCTTTGAACACTGCTGGAGACAGCTGGCAACTCAAGGTCATTTGTTTACTATAGTACATAGTACTGTATAATATAATACGAAACAACAAAGCCCAACCATTAAATTAAGCAACGGGGAATTAAGTAACCAATCACCGATCACTTTTACATTCATTCATAATTTTTACAATGTACTATAGTAAACAAACGGCCTTGAGTTGCCAGCTGTCTCCAGCCGTGTTCGAAGAATCTTGAACGAGACTGTACAATAATTCTATACACAGTAGGCGTATAATCATCCGGAACTCTCAAGCAACCAAAATTTTTTTGGTGGGGACAATTTCCAGTAAGTAATGTCTAATCACGTTTAAAAAATTAAGATAATATGTTTGAAATTGACACTGGCTCACCCATGGTTCCATTTTGGGCCACTAGAGGCACTGTGTGCATCCTCCATGTTGGCCAAACACACTGGGTGCCGCCATAACAGTGCCCTAGTGAAGAAAAACTAGTTTCAAGTGTAATCTTTAGAAACTTAAGTACAGTATTTAAGAAACTTAACAAGCCTGAAAAACAGGAGTGAGCTAAGTGACTACTGTACCCATATTTACTCAAGCTCAACAAGCAACTGTACAACAGGATTACACACACACACACCACTGCAGTGCTGCATAACGAGTGAATACAGCTCCTTTAATCCTTTTATAACATACAGTATTTACTAATTCCTTTTATAACATATTTACTATGTCTTTTTATTACTGTATATATATTTACTATGTCCTTTTATTCCTTTCATTATACTGTACTGTATATTTACCATGTCCTATTATTTCTTTTAATATATATTTACTATGTCCTTTTATAATATACTTACTATGAGGATGTTCTTGAGTTTGAGATGCATATTTATAAGAGTATTGTACGTACTAACAAGCATCCGGAAAAAACATAATGCGGCACACTTAATTCCCCATGCATTCCGGATATCTGTCTTGCTGTACTGTACTTCAAGATAGACCTCCCCAGTGATTAAAAAAGAAAATCAGTACAGTACAGTATTTGTATTATTACCTAAAAGCCAGGAGCCATAGAATGAACCCAGTTTAAAATAATTAGCTTAAGTCATGCTTGCAAAGTTTTATTTAACATAATTTTGAATAGAAAAAGTTTAAAATAGACAGTCAATTATCTGAAGATAAAAATGGATTTTGAAAGGGAAAATGAACTAGAGAAGCTATATTTTGTATGAGAATTTTGAGTGAAAGGGCTTTAGAGGTTCGAAGAAATTTGTATACAGTACCTGTACATGTATGCTTTGATGATTTAAGAATTTTTTTTTGAAAAGGTAAAAAACAGGCGATAGTACAGTACAACTGTATTAGAGTTTTAAAGAATCTTTACTGGCAACAGGAGACTGCAGTGTTAGTAAATAATGAACTTACTAATTGATTCACAGTTAGACAGGGAGTAAGACAAGGCTGTGTTCTGTCTATAACATTGTACAGTATAATAGCTGTACTGTGTAATATTCAGAATTTTAATGAGAGAAGTTATAAGTGATAATGAAGGACTAAAAGTTAATGGTAAAATAATATAAAATATCTGATTTTTTCAGAGGATACTGTAGCCTACTCTCATCACAAACAGTGGAGAGGCATTACAAAAACAGATTAGTGGGAAAAGTAAATATGGGTTAAGAGTTAATGCTGTAAAGACAAAAGTAATGCTTGTTTCAAAATTCGAAATAAATCCTAAAATAAAAATTAAGGTAAGCCATGGGGAACTTAAACAGATAGAAAATTTTGTGTATTTGGGAAGTAACATTAGCTGTGATGGTAGATGTACGGAAGAAATCAACACAATAATAAGACAAGGAAAAAGAACATTAGATAATTTAAAAGAACTAATGAAAAGTGAAATTAACTTCAATTTAAAGAAAAAGGCTGCTGAAAGGCTTTATCTGGCAAAGATTGATGTAAAGGTCAGAAGCGTGGATACTTTCAGCAGACACCAGAAAGAGGTCGGAGGCCTTAGAAATGTGGTATTAAAGGCAAATGCTAAGAATAAGCTGCATTGACAAGAAAACAAATGAATAAGGACTATGATTAGCAAAAACTTCAAGAGAAATACTTGAAATGTACAGAAAATGAAAAATTAGATACTTTGGACATTATAAAGGTTTTTCTTTTATTACCTTACATTGCTTAAGAAATTGAATAAATTTTGTCTTTTTTTACACATGTGTAATGCCATCATACATTATATAAATTGTTTTGTCAATATGTAAAAGTCATGTATTGTCAATTAATAACTTTTTAAAAATATTTTTAGTTTTATTACCTTAAGTGTTATGGCATTGAAATAAAATGTGATTTTTTCCTAGCCCAAATTCTGACTTTTTTGTGAGTTATTTTTCCGTCCACCGTTTCTGCCAGTGTTTACTTTTACACTTCTCTATTATAAAATACATTTCCCTTATTTGTTTTTACAGTTAAAAACGTAGAAAAGTATATACATATATATATATATATATATATATATATATATATATATATATATATATATATATATATATATATATATATATATATATATATATCTTGATAAAATCACACGGGAAAATGGAAACAACAGACAAGTTCCTACACTTAAGAATATTTTGACTGCCCTATCGTAATGAATTTGTCCCGTTAGTTCGGTCCCTCAAGCTTCTAAATATTAATGTTGTTTTCAAGTATGACTCAACCATTACCAATATGTTAATAAGGAATAGCCCAAGTTTGAATGTAAATGGAAGTGTTTATTGTATTCCATGTAGCAAATGTAATTGTAATTATGTAGGTCAGACAGGAAAAACACTGCAGCTCAGAATCAAACAACATAAGTATAATAATATCAGAACAGCATCTGAAAGCAGTGCCTTGTTCGTTCATGTTAGGAATAATAATCACCCCATTGCTTGGGAAAAAAAGCTTAGAAGTATTTAAATCATCTTGTGTCACAGAAAGACTTCTGGTTGAAGCTAGTTTGATTAAGGAATTAAAATCAATAAACCTTAGGGATGGTCAGTTCAAAACTGATAATATGTTACATAAATTTATTTGTCAGTGGCCCAAGGTTAAAAATGCTTTGAAAACCTTTGATCTAGATGTATGATAGTTATTTTGTGGGTCCCTTATTTTTGACCTGACCTGACTAGTCACGTCACCCCCCGTCTCTTAAGCTCCTCTACGTGCGTGTTGGTGTGGGGATTAGTGGATGACATCATTATGACCTGACCTCATGTTTTTAAGGTCACCCTGTATATTTAAGCCTCTCTCTGAAGATGTCTTGAATAAAGACGAAAGCTAAGGTACTCCGTTGTTTCCATTTTCCCGTGTGATTGTATCAAGGCTTAAATATACAGGGTGACTTTAAAACATAAGAAAATAAGGAGTCTGCAATAGGCCGGTTGGCCTGTGCATGGCAGCTCCTGTCGAGGTCATAATGGTGTTATCCACTAATCCCCACACCAACACACATAAGAACATAAGAATGGAGGAAACTGCAGCGGGCCCATTGGCCCATACTGGGCAGTCCCGTTTACACCCAACCCCTATTGCTCATATGAGCATCCAACCTATGTTTGAAGCAATTCAGCGTATTCGAGTTAATGATGATATTTGGTAACTTGTTCCATTCATCCACTACTCTGTTTCCAAACCAGTGTTTACCTATTTCACGCCTAAATCTAAATTTGTCTAATTTAAAACCATTGTTACGAGTTCGCTCCTGGTTGGATAATTTGAGTACCTTTGTAATGTCCCCTTTGTTTAGCCCTGCCTTCCACTCATACACCTCTATCAGGTCGCCCCTCGCTCTACGTCTCTCAAGGGAGTGCAAATTAAGATGCTTTAACCTGTCTCTATACTCAAGGTTCCTAATGCCCGGGATTAGTCTTGTCATTCTCCTCTGAATTCTTTCCACATGTAGAGGAGCTTAAGAGAAGGGGGGGTGACGTGACTAGTCAGGTCAAAAATAAGGGACCCACTAAATAACTATCATACATCTAGATCAAAGGTTTTCAAAGCATTTTTAACCTTGGGCCACTGACAAATAAATTTATGTAACATATATATATATATATATATATATATATTGATAAACCACCCAGGAAAAGGGACACACTGGAGTACCTTAGCTTTCGTCTTTATTTAAGACATCTTTAGAGGTAACTGAATTTATAGGGACTGGGAGAGGCTTATAAACAATGGGTGACCTTACATAACATCAGATCAGGCCAAAAACATGGGAATCCACTAATCCACACACCACCTCCACCGCACACGAAGGAAGAGCTTATAAAAAATGGGCGACGTAATAAGTCAAGTATAAAACATGACCACCCGCTAGTTATCTACCCTACATTCACCTCAAACGATTTCAAAGTATTTTTAACCTTGAGCCACTGACAAATGAATTTATGTAACATTATCAGTTTTATACTGACCATCACTAAGGTTTAAAGAATTCATTTCTCTAATCAGACTTACTTTTTACTTTTATCCTCTTCACCAATGATCGGCTCGTTAGCCGCTTGGGCGATCGGTTACGTCTCTGTTACACACTGTTGGCCAGTACTGGGCATGCACCGGCTCCTGAATGTATCTGAACCTGCTCCAGTGCTATCCAGTCTGGTCTTGAAAGAGCTCACAATCGGTGCCGTCACCACACTCCCTGACAGATTGTTCCAAGAGTTCACAACTCTCACTCCCAAAAAGTTACCCCTCACAGTTTTCCGGACTAGCGGCTTCTTTAACCTTGAGCTGTGTCCCCTTGTGGGGCGAACGTCCGGCAGCTCCAGGTAAGGTCACTTTCTGTGACACATGTTGATTTAAACACTTCTAAACTGTTTTTTCTAATCCAATCAGTTTTGTACTGACCATCACTAAGGTTTATAAAATTCAATTCTCTAATCAAACTACTTACCATTGAATTTTATAAACCTTAATGATGATCAGTACAAAACTGATGTTACACAAATTTATTTGTCAGTGGCCCTAGGTTAAAAATGCTTTGAAAACATTCGAGTTAGATGTAGGATAGATGATTAGTGGGTTCCATATTTTTTAACCTGACTAGTTACGTTGCCCTTTCTTTTAAGCTCCTTTGCGTGTGTGGTGGTGTTGGTGTGCGAATTAGTGGATGTCATGTTTAATAAAGTCACCCTGTGTACTTAAGCCTCTCTCTGTCCATGTAATCCAGTTGCCTCTGAAGATGTCTTGAATAAAAACGAAAGCTAAGGTGCTCCATTGTTTCCTTTTTTCCTGTGTGATTTATCGAGAGATATTATATATATATATATATATATATATAGAGGCTGCACTGAGGAACCTGACGTCCACAGTTTGGGGAATCTTTTCTTATACATTTGACAGCGCATATGATGAATACTTAGGATCATGTAATAATGACCTACTACTCTGATTTGGGAATACAAGTAATACGGTATGGTTTACAGGGAACAGGTATCCAGAAAGGAGTGGGGGGTGAGGGCTGATGGACAGGTGTGACAAGGATAAGTTCAGCATGACCCACCTGCATTACTCTCCGTAGCTCCTGCCTGCTGGAGCATTTTAGCCAAGGCGACGTGGTTGTTCATCACGGCCACCTCCAGGACGTTTGAGCCGTCCTTGTTCACACTGTAGGGGATATAACGTATAAATAACACTAAGTATATGAATGAATGAGAAAGAGAAAGAGAGAGAGAGAGAGAGAGAGAGAGAGAGAGAGAGAGAGACTGCTAAGAGATCATTCATTATTTATTCAGGGCATTGATCTGAACTTAAGCCCACCACCAGCATTTCACCCCGTTGTGGCAATAACACAGGACTGGACTGATGAGTTACGACTTACTAACACCTATAAAATTATACAGTACAAGGCAATTAAGTGGGGAGTCAAAATATAAACTCTGAAGTCATAATGAGCACAAATGTTATGAGCGTCTCTATATCTAACTAGAATTAAGTATTTCTATTATTATAATTATTATTAATATAACTTATTGTCATTATTACCTAATTATCATCATTATCATATTATTATTATTATTATGTACAGTAATTACAATAGGTCATGTTTACTTTTCTTAATTTATGATTTGAAATTTATGTTTTTATCTACCCTTTGCTGCAAGGACCAAGACAGGAAAAAAATACGAGTGAAACTTACAATAATAAAACTAAATTCATTCATCCCGCGCATTATGGATTCTTCTGTCTTAAGTACGATAATATACCGCTATTTAACACCAATAAAGTAAACTAGTCAATTAACAACAAAATTCCCACTTTAGTGCAGCAAAAAGTGGTACTGTACTGTACTATACTGTACTGTACTGTACTTTTACACTAACACCAGTCTACATGCAGGTCACTTCACTTTAAAACCAAGCAACTAGAAGCTACCCACATATACAGTAGATGACAACTAACTGTACAGTTATTCGAATACAGATATACAGTAGATATAGTATCCACGAAATGGACAGTTCGCGAGTTAAACAAAATTACCCCGCAGTTGGATATGTAAATCACATCTCTCTCTCTCTCTCTCTCTCTCTCTCTCTCTCTCTCTCTCTCTCTCTCTCTCTCTCTCTCTCTATATATATATATATACGTCCAAATAATGGCATAGAAACTATAGTGAAACACCACCTTAGCAAGATTCGTTTTCTTGTCGATAAGTAGTAAAAAGCAAACACAAAACCAGAGTACGAATCCCCGACCTGTCAAGCTCAACTGGGGAGAGGGAATACTAAGGTGCGAATTTCTAACCCAAAACACACCAATTAACATATATTCTGAGTCATACATACAGTAACACACTTGCACCACACCTAACCGATATGAATTTAGTAATAATATTAATTTTGACTTTCATATACTACGGTTGTTATAAAATATATCACTCCCTAAACAGTTTTTCCAAACTTTTAAAATACTGTATAAAGTATAAATTATTTGAACATCAATAGTATAACAAAAAAAACACAGCTTGAAAATATTTACGTGTAAGACGATCAGAATAACTTGATCCCGAGACACACTTCCTTAAGGACGACTTACCTGTTAATGTCCAGCTGGTTGTTGTCGAGGATGTTTTTGGCTTTCTCCGACTGCCCATGTTCCACCGCTGCGAAGAGTGCTGAGGGCGAGAGACCTTCACCTCAGTGCCGGTGATGATGGTGTAATGATGGTGACGGTGATTGATTGATTGATTGATTGAGTGGGTAAAATATCTGGCGTCGCAGCCTGTGGCCACTTGACGCCATTTGAAGGAGAAATTATTTGTGATAGTTATGATGACGGTGATAGGGTAGGTAGAGGTGGCGGTGGTGATAGTGATAGATAAGCAATGGTGAATATAAGGATGGTGATGGGAATAGCATATTGCAATTTTTTTTTATAATATCTACTGTTTATTTTATGATAAGTCTACAAAATCTACCCATTACTTAATAACAAGTTTATACTATCAGTTGGCTACTAATACACTGTGTTCTTAAGAAAATTATGGTTACTAACAGGCTTTTACACACAAACAGTCATTACATATACCCACTTCTCATCCGTATACACTTGGGGAACACTCCATTATACATTCCCAGCACAAGTGTTTACAAGGCAACACACACACACACACACACACACACACACACACACACACACACACACACACACACACACACACATACCGTGAAGGTGGATGTTGATCTTCTCAAGCTTCTTACGGTCAGCCTTACTGGGGTTGAGTCCGTCCACCAGCACGTCGTCCATCGTTGACAAGGCTGAGGAGGACAACCAGTACACTTATGAGGTCACATTTATAAAGTAAACTTACAAAGCAAAATTACACTGTATAAAGTACTTGCCTCCAGATGCTCATCAATAAACTTATGGAAATCTTAAATATAAAAATTACACTTGTTAGTTGTTAAAAAGTTATGAAGTAGCTACACTTGGCAAAATCTCGCACTTATCTTACACCTGACTTACCTTAATCTCGATTACAACATCAGTGTGCTAGTCATATCTTAAGTGGGCAAGGCTGGGGAGACCTCACACTTTATACACTTATATTATTTTAAAACAACAACACTTACCTCACATCTCATAAACCCATTTGCCTGTAAAAGCCATCAAACTAATGTGTGTATGTAATCTACCTAGGCTATATGCACAGGTCTTGTACAACTCATCGTAAAGGTTTTACATCAGGAAAGGCCTCGTGTTGGAAAAAAAGGTGTGTGGTGATAGGGGGGGAGGGCGCGGTGCGATACTTATTTACACAACACTTTATTCCAGACCAAGATGAAACTAGAAAGGGGAAACAAGAGCCACTCAACACACTCCTTTGCACTTATAGCAGAAGTGTGTGCAGGGAACAGTGTCCACAGTTGATTACAGTCATCACCTTAACTGAGTGATCTTTAACCCTTTATTTCACTATGCTCACCAACAGGACGGGCAGACTTAATACATACAAGAGGCTGCAGGAAGGGAGGCACTGCAGGCGTTACATATCTATTAAGCAAACAAAACTGATTTTATGGTATGTATATATAGTATTACAGGTGACTTTTGAACATATTCGTTGTGGATAATAATAGCTCTAGTTACCGTTAATATCAACATTAGTATAGAATCAAGTTACTTTACGTTATTTCAGAATATATCATCGTTATTTACTACGTTGAGGGATGGGTTCCAGTGGTGGGTTTTAGACTTGGTGAAAAGAATTACTGAGCGAATCTTTGAGAATCCTGGCTCAGTGTAACACGATCCTCTACCACTCTTTAACTTTCTGAAGATGAGGGTGGCACTGTACTTACTGGGTGAGAGACTACAAGGTTAAATGGCAATCCTAGTACCTACTATATCTAGACTCCACTGGGGACTAAACCTATCCTATAATGTCTTAACCTAACCCTAATCACTAAGACCTAGGCTCATTAAGACTGGCTTGGTTAGGTTAGGTTTGGACTGGGCAGAACTATTAGGGCCCATTAGGCAAGTCACTGATAAGAGTGGTATAAGTGACACTTACAACACTTATCCGCTTACTTCACAAGCAGCGACCACTCACACTTTGCATGGAGACGCCCAGGCGGTGTGTCTGAATGTGTACCTCAACCAAAACAAACACGGAGTACTGAGAGCTACACTTATTAAACTTATCATAAACACTACACTTCATGTATTTAAACGATTTGTGTCTTACGTGTATATACTGTATACATACACACACACACACACACACACACACACACATTATATATATATAAAAGTTGTAAAAATTCGTACTTAGTATATTTATTTTTGGACGTTTCTTAATTCTTAACAATGAAACTTTGTATTGAGTATTCATAAAGGATCAACTCATACGTGTTTACATAAGTGACTCAAACATGTCTTACTTGCAGGAATGACACATGCAATCACAAGGCTCAAGCAAATACAGTGTTTGTGCTTAAATTAGAGACACAAAAACACATATTTTATCGATGGGACTTAAATAAAACCTACTGTATACAAGGACCTCACACACACACACGGGCGCATCTATCAGAAGTAGAGCAACAGGTGTCATCACTTAGTTGGGTAGACAATAAGAGTTAGCCACACAGGTCTTGTTGCAACACCACCATCACTGTCACCATCAGTCACCATCAGTACCATAGTTCACCGTCATTCACCCCAACAGTCATTCCCACTTACAACAATAGTCATTACCACTCACAGCATAACTGTCACCACCACTCACAGTACCACTTATACCACCACTAAACACTACCACTTATACCATACTAAACACTTACCACTTATACCACCACTAAACACTACCACTTATACCATACTAAACACTTACCACTTATACCACCAGTAAACACTACCACTTATACCACCACTAAACACTACCACTTATACCACCACTAAACACTACCACTTATACCACCACTAAACACTTACACCACCACTAAACACTTACCACTTATACCACCACTAAACACTTACCACTTATACCATACTAAACACTTACCACTTATACCACCACTAAACACTACCACTTATACCACCACTAATATTAGTACCTACATTAACACCACCACCACAAAAGTAATTTCAAAATCATATCCCAAGAAAATAGGCCGAAAAACACCATCCATATATACAGCTTACGAAAACGACCGAACCTCACTACATCATTTACATCTACACGACCCGTAATTAAATAGTCCTGAGCATATATTAAGGGATGCATTTAACATTTTTCAGTATGTATTAAAAAAAAAAACATTGGCGTCAATAGGTGGTGTGGTACAGAACTAGTGCCTTTCTAAGCAATAGGCAATATAGCTGACCAAGGAGAGTGACCTTGTATGAGTTAATGACCAGTAAAGCGATCAGGGTCATTAATCAAGGAAGTGTAGTTAGCGTGCCTGATATTGATGGTAATTCATGAGTGATTTACAGTGTGATTATTGCCAGGTTTACTATACACCTGACACCACAAACCTCACTACACACACACACACACACACACACACACACACACACAAACAATGTACTTACGACCAACCTTTAGAATCATCTTGTAATCTATCTCTTATTTCCACAAATCAATCAACATATTAATGTAATTATGATTATATTCCCCAAATTACGCGTCTTACTGTATAAGAAATTCGAGGTAGTTTTAACTTCAAGTCTGTACTGTTCTCTCTTTTCTATATCAATCCAACAATTATATTTCAAAATCACTGTGTAAATATATATGGTATTGTACAACCGAGGTTCCACAGGACATTTACCGGGTACCCATTCTAATTCAGGTAGTACCAAGGAGGACGGACGCTCCTGCCCTTAAACGCTCATCACTATAACACCGTCTACTCACCGTCAACCCAAGACAATAATACACGTTATGGCTATTTTTGAAAGATCAGAAATTCATCCAAAACTTTAAGAGAAATAATAAATTCGCGCCGGGTGGTTCATTAAGATTATCAGTGCTGTCTCGATATCAAATCTTCCTAATGAAGGGAGGTATGTACAGACAGGCACTTATCACGTCGAGGGGACTGTTGTGATGGGCCACGCTGAAATAACAGACCGATAGCTCGTCCAAATGGAAGAAAAAAATATTACCCTCTAGCTGGCAACACCAAGGTTTACAGCTCAGACGAAGAACTTACTTTACATTATCTATATCGTGGTAGAGTGGTACTGCTCTTGCCTTCGCAAGCGAGATGTCATGGGTTCGATTCCCGGGCCGGTGGAAGTTGTTTGGACATACTTCCTAGCCCCCATTAGTCCCTGTTCACCCAGCAGTAAAGTAGGTACCTGGTGTAAGTCGAAAGTTGCGAATTCGTATTCAGGGACAAGTTGTTGGAGCTTCCAATAACTTGATGACATAAACCATTGACTCTTCAGGCTTCTATGCCCTTGACTCTTCAGGCTTCTACGCCCTTAACTCATGAGACATAAAGGCAAGCATGAACTTAGCATGCTTCCCTGTTGGGCGCTGTAAAACGCTTCTGCGCTTCACCTTACACAAGGATGTAGGGGAGTGCCCAATAAAAAATAAATAAATAAAAAATAAAATTATCTATATCTGTATATCCCCCTAACTCACCCACTGTCCCATCCTCATTAACGAAACGTGAAAGGTGTTATAAATTTCACAGGTGACTAAAATAATACTCCTTATTCTAAAAAAATACATCCAACTTTTTAATATTCAAGACCGAGAGTGGACTTCTAACTTAATATACGGTATGTAAATTAATAGAATAAATAGGCAAATTATTCCCGTTTTCTGTTTACATGTCACATAAATAATGTAACCAGGCCGCCACAGCAGTTCATGTGGAGATATAAATAAAACCCACGGTATGAAAATTTATATATCAGGGCCAAATACCTTGATATGGTGACGTAACCCAACACTCTACTGACGCACTATAAAATTGATGACCAATTTCTTACGTTCTACTAACAAACAAACCATCCACTTTGTACCACTCCACTAACAAACAAACCATCCACTTTGTACCACTCCACTAACAAACAAACCATCCACTTTGTAACACTCCACTAACAAACAAACCATCCACTTTGAGACACACTCCACTAACAACCAAACCATCCACTTTGAGACACACTCCACTAACAAACAAACCATCCACTTTTAGACTCTCCACTAACAAACAAGCCATCCACTTTGTAACACTCTACTAACAAACAAACCATCCACTTTGTACCACTCCACTAACAACCAAACCATCCACTTTGAGACACACTCCACTAACAAACAAACCATCCACTTTTAGACTCTCCACTAACAAACAAACCATCCACTTTGTAACACTCTACTAACAAACAAACCATCCACTTTGAGACACACTCCACTAACAACCAAACCATCCACTTTGACTCTCCCCTAACAAACAAACCATCCACTTTTAGACTCTCCACTAACAAACAAGCCATCCACTTTGTACCACTCCACTAACAAACAAACCATCCACTAACAAACAAACCATCCACTTTGACTCCCCTAACAAACAAACCATCCACTTTGAGACTCCACTAACAAACAAGCCATCCACTTTGTACCACTCCACTAACAAACAAACCATCCACTTTGAGACTCTCTTCACTAACAAACAAACCATCCACTTTGAGACACACTCCACTAACAAACAAACCATCCACTTTTAGACTCTCCACTAACAAACAAACCATCCACCTTGAGACTCTCCACTAACAAACAAGCCATCCACTTTGTAACACTCAACTAACAAACAAATCATCCACTTTGAGACACACTCCACTAACAAACAAACCATCCACTTTGAGACTCTCCACTAACAAACAAGCCATCCACTTTGTACCACTCCACTAACAAACAAACCATCCACTTTTAGACTCTCTCCACTAACAAACGAACCATCCACTTTGAGACTCTCCACTAACAAACAAACCATTCACCTTGAGACTCTCTCCACTTAAAAACGAACCATCCACTTTGAGACTCTCCACTAACAAACAAACCATCCACCTTGAGACTCTCTCCACTAACAAACAAACCATCCACTTTGAGATTCTCTCCACTAACAAACAAACCATCCACTTTGAGACACACTCCACTAACAAACAAACCATCCACTTTGAGATTCTCTCCACTAAGAAACAATCCATCCAAGACACTCCACTAACAAACGAACCATCCACTTTGAGACTCTCCACTAACAAACAAACCATCCACCTTGAGACTCTCTCCACTAACAAACAAACCATCCACCTTGAGACTCTCTCCACTAACAAACAAACCATCCACTTTGAGACACACTCCACTAACAAACAAACCATCCACTTTTAGACTCTCTCCACTAACAAACGAACCATCCACTTTGAGACTCTCCACTAACAAACAAACCATCCACCTTGAGACTCTCTCCACTAACAAACAAACCATCCACCTTGAGACTCTCTCCACTAACAAACAAACCATCCACTTTGAGACTCTCCACTAACACATTTGAGCACTCCACTAAGAAACAAACCATCCACTTTGAGACTCTCTCCACTAACAAACGAACCATCCACTTTGAGACTCTCCACCTTGAGAGACTCATCCACTTTCACACTCCAACAAACAAACCATCCACTTTTGAGACTCCTCCACTAACAAACAAACCATCCACTTTGAGACCTAACAAACAAACCATCCACTTTGAGACTCTCCACTAACAAACAAACCATCACTTTGAGACTCTCCACTAACAAACAAACCATCCACTTTGAGACACTCCACTAACAAACAAACCATCCACTTTGAGACTCTCCACTAACAAACAAACCATCCACTTTTAGACTCTCTCCACTAACAAACAAACCATCCACCTTGAGACTCTCTCCACTAACAAACAAACCATCCACTTTGAGACACACTCCACTAACAAACAAACCATCCACTTTGAGACACTCCACTAACAAACCATCCACTTTGAGACTCTCCACTAAGAAACAATCCATCCACCTTGAGACTCTCTCCACTAACAAACAAACCATCCACTTTGAGACACTCCACTAACAAACCATCCACTTTGAGACACTCCACTAAGAAACAATCCATCCACCTTGAGACTCTCTCCACTAACAAACAAACCATCCACTTTGAGACACTCCACTAACAAACAAACCATCCACTTTGAGACACTCCACTAAGAAACAATCCATCCAGTCTGTGAGGAATAAAGACACGCAGCAGTGTTTGGGGGTTTCCGAGACTTTTGTTGGAACTGAAAGCCTCAACATGTAACCGAATTGCTGTGTACCTTTGTGTGGGTTCCCGTGTTTCAGTATATGAGAATTGTTCACTAATCAGCTGAGAAATAATCAACTGTTCACTAATCAGCTGAGAAATAATCAACTATTCATTAATCAGCTGAGAAATAATCAACTGTTCAATAATCAGCTGAGAAATAATCAACTGTTCAATAATCAGCTGAGAAATAATCAACTGTTCAATAATCAGCTGATAAATAATCAACTGTTCAATAATCAGCTGAGAAATAATCAACTGTTCAATAATCAGCTGAGAAATAATCAACTGTTCAATAATCAGCTGAGAAATAATCAACTGTTCAATAATCAGCTGAGAAATAATCAACTGTTCAATAATCAGCTGAGAAATAATCAACTGTTCAATAATCAGCTGAGAAATAATCAACTGTTCAATAATCAGCTGAGAAATAATCAACTGTTCAATAATCAGCTGAGAAATAATCAACTGTTCAATAATCAGCTGAGAAATAATCAACTGTTCAATAATCAGCTGAGAAATAATCAACTGTTCAATAATCAGCTGAGAAATAATCAACTGTTCAATAATCAACTGTTCAATAATCAGCTGAGAAATAATCAACTGTTCAATAATCAGCTGTCTCTACGTTAAAGAGCTATAAGTGTCTGCTGAAACATGTTAATACTTGCTTTGGGTCAAACTGGCAAATTTTAAGATATCAGGTACTGAATACTGTTATTGTGGTATGGTCATGCATCATGCATACACATATAGACAACCGCATACACACACACACACACACACATATATATATATATATCCTGTCCTGTAAGTATACATACTGTACAAGTGTACATGCATACACACATTTTTACTAATCCAAATACATTTACTGTACAGTAGACATACCCACATTACATGAACACATACACACACAGTCCCTATGGATGTCGGGAGTAACAACTTGGGTAACGTGATGTACACAGCTAACTCTAGCTGTGCCCTCTGACAAGTGGCATATCTCTACATATAAACAAATCTCAACAACCTGACTAAGAGTGGCAGGAGAGGGGTTGCAAGCCAAATGGACCCCAGTTCTAATAGAACCCAAACTAAACTGACCATCAGGAGTGGGGCCTATTAGGATATGGATCCATGCGGACTGAGCCTCAATGCTAATGGCTGAGTAAAGCTAGGTTATAATTGAGCCACTTACGAATGAGAGTCATGTGATCAGTTAACTTTAACACATACCATCATGTGATGTGAGGGCGCGGGAGGGCGTGGCGTCCCCGGGGAGCTGAGTGTAGGAGGTGCGTGGAGGCGTCCCCACTGGCAAAGAATTGGAGGATATGTTTTCATTAGCGTAGGTGTTCCGGCGGGACATAAGGCGGTTGGGTACCTCCAGGAGTTCCTTCTCCCAGTCTTCCATCTCCCATGATCTCCGTGACACCTCCGTCGACCGCGTCTGGCGATTCTTGGGGCCGCGACGCCGACGGAGGGTAGTGAAGCTGAGCGCCCGAGACCGAGACGCCATGTCTTCTTTACTGGACGACGAAAAGGCCACTGACTTGAGGGACGACCTACGTGAGGAGTCGTCACATGGTTGTTGCAACAGCCCGGAGGAGGTTAGCGAGGTCGAGGAAGAAACGCTCACAGTAGGTGGAGATTCCAGTGACGTAGGACTATTGCCACAGCCCTGGCTAGACTCCACGGACAAGGAGTCTTGGTCAGGTACAGTGATGGGGGCGGTAAGGTTAGGAAACGCAGGTGCCACAGTATCCTCCACGATGGGGGGACTACCTGTCTCAATAAATCTGGTCATGCGCACCGGCGACGTCGGCGAAGCCACCAAGTCACAGTGTATGGAGGCGCGGATGGAGCGTCGAAGGGAGTTGAAAGGTTGCGCCAGATTGAGAAAGGGTTTCTTGCGCCTCCTGACGGGAGGCGTACCTGCGACCTGCAGCTGCATGATGGTGGACACAGCTTACTGCACTCTAAAAGCCACTATATTTCACATAGTACCGCTAATACAAGGCGCTGAGGTAAGGATCCGAAGGTTACTGGTGAGCAGCAGGAATGGAAGCAGCAGCGACGAGATGGAGTAAGACACTGAGCGTGGCTAGTGGCGAGGCTCGGTAGTGTGTGTGTGTGTGTGTCCGTCCGTCCGGTATTGGTGCCAGCAGATAACACCGGCTTCCTGTACAGGACCGGCCTCCCCACAACTTGCTTACCTCTCCTTCATCACACCTCTAACACCCTCATTCCCTCCTCCGTTGGTGGTGATGGCGTGTATGGTCGACCATCAGAGTACGTAGCTACAGTTCTGCCCACACCTGTCTTCATACGTAACCCATATACATTTCTATAAATTCACTGTTTCGTGCACCTGTTTCTTGCGTCTTTGTTTATTAAATACACAGTTAATGGAACATCTACGAAAACTTGAAATGAAATTACATAATGACATTTACTCACAACTACTGTATCTTATGACTAGATAAGTGTCACAGCCAGAACCTTGCAACATGTAGCGGTAGCGCCAAAGATTATTATTAATGTCTTGCCTGATACGTGTACCTTGTGTGTGACGTAATATTATTATGATTCTCTCTCTCTCTCTCTCTCTCTCTCTCTCTCTCTCAAAAGACTAACCATAACAAATACAGTTTCTCATTTCCAAAAAATTACCGCATGTACAGTGAACATACATACATAGTAGGCAGCTACCAAACAGGGAGGTACTACCGCTTGGGAAGATATTGGAAGTATAATGTGTTGTCTAATGGTAGATCCTGCTGCCATATGGCATCACGAAAATTGTGACCAAGACCCAGGAAGCTGATCTGACTTTATGCTTCATTTACACACAATTACAGGGTCTCAATTGTTTCTTACTTTGATAACACAACATGCATATATTGTTTCTCACTACTGATTTTTTTTTCATTTTTGTATTTCTTTATGGTTCTTTATTATTATTGTTATTACTATTTTATTATTTAAATTTTTTGTAATTTTATTATAAATTTTATTTAGTATGAATTATTTTATTTTTAATTTTGTATTTTTATTACAAATTTTATTTACTATGAATTATTATTATTATTATTATTATTATTATTATTATTATTATTATTATTATTATTATTATTATTACATTTTCGCCCCCCAGGGCCCGATGTGGGTCAGTGACATGTGCCCGGGTGGGCAAATCCCCGTAAAATAGTAATGTGTAGCTACTGAATGTATGTACTTTGAAATTATACACGAGGTGTACAGGCTAATGAACTGTACTTACATGCCGTATAAAACAAGTGTCCATATGACTGTGCGCATTACCACAACACTAGTAATTAAAACCCAGCTGCACGTTCATACGGCTGTGTAGTAGTGTACACAGCCGTATGAACAAGACTACCGTATACGGAAAATAATTTTCATGATCACCGACATGAAGCACCTGCAAGTACGTGCCAGTATCTCGTAGTACTTGCTACTTGTAAACACATGCTATTACCTGCATGTACAGTCTCGTTCAAGATTCTTCGAACACTCCTGGAGACAGCTGGCAAGTCAAGGCCGTTTGTTTACTATAGTACGTAGTAAAAATAATGAATGAATGTAAAAGTTTATCGGTGATTGGTTACTTAGTTCCCCATTGCATAATTAATGGTTGGGCTTCGTTGTTTCGTATTATATTATACTACGTACTATAGTAAACAAATGGCCTTGAGTTGCCAGCTGTCTCCAGGAGTGTTCGAAGAATCTTGAACGAGACTGTACGTGCCAGTACCTGCCTGTGAGTACCTGTAAATACGTGCCAGTACCTGTAAGTACTTGATATTACCTGTAGGTACCTGTCAGTACCTGTAAGTAGCTGCCAGTACCTGCTAGTAAGCACCAGTAAGTACAGAGGAAACACACACACATTCATACATACAACCTTCCCCACTACCAAGCAGCTGTGTGGGCAGGTGTGGTCAGGTGTGTGGGCAGGTGTGTGGGCAGGTGCCGCTCAACACATGTGTGGAGGAGGGAGGGAAGGAGGGGGAGATGGAGGTAAGACGAGGGGCAGAGGGAGGGGAGGTACCTAAAAATGTCACCCCTGATTCAGCGGTGGTGAATCAGGTCAAGCAACAGTCAACATTAAGGTGGTGGGTCATCCGGAATATAGTCAGATCAACTGGAGACACACGGGGAAGGTATGCAGGTCAATGCTATGCCACTCCAAGTCAACAACAACGAAGCAGAGCACTAGAGCTGGACAAAAAAATTTACGAAAATTTAAGTCGTTAGAGGTGAGACTGCGGTCAAGAAATCAAAGTTTGGGCAAAAAATATAATTCCGGTCAAGAGTTAGAAACTTGGGGCATAAAGGTTAAGACAGGTCGACAAGACGTCAATTTAGATAAAAAAAAATAAAGTCGAACCCAACGTCAATAATATGAAAAATCTAGATCATGTGGGTGAGACGAGCCCGACTAAGAAAATGCAGGGCATGAGGAGGAGAAATAATAATTTTTTAATTTGCCCAGCGGGGTGGTGGGAGCTAGTTTATTGGGCAGAGGAGGAGGTCGACAAGGTAGGGCAGCAGAGGTGAAACAGAGGTCACAGGGGGCTGACCTGTCACCGTCACCTGCCCATTCAGCTGCTGAGACGAGGCAATGATGACACACTATATCGGGATAGACAATGTTGAAAAATATGCTGAACAGAGATGCCATCGTGGACAGAAAGAGCTGAGACAAGCAATGTTAAGATATGAGGCACAGCACCTGAGCATGTAGAGGGAACACATGTGGGGCTGGGATATGTGGGGCTGGGATATGTGGGGCTAGGAAATGTGAAGTTATGACATGCAAGACTAAGAATATGTGAGCCTAATGACATGCAGTACCAAGATATAAAGGCACTGAGACACACAGGTCTTGATTACACGCCCAACCATGTGGCGCTGAGACAAGACAAGACTGACAATAAGAAGCTGATAGGCGTGACGCTGACGCAAGTATACGGTACAGAATGTCAAAACGTTGGGGCGCTGAGACATGCAAGAAACTACGGTCCAACATGATGTGCCCAATTACACATGACCCTGGCGCTAAGAGAGAGTTATACAAGCCACAACTACAAAACGAAGCCCTGGGATATGCAGCATTATACTCTGAAGACAGATAACGCTAGAATACGTCGAGTGAAACCAGCTTTAACTGGGAAATTGTATACACGCAGCTGTGACTTTACACTGACACACACAGGGGGTGGGGGTGGGGGGAAGGGGAGGAAGGGTGAGGAGGAGTCATGTAATGGAGGGGAGAGGAGATTTAGGATGTGGTGAGGAGGAGGGGGGAAGGGGGTTACTACACAGACAACAGTAAGACCTCTCAAGCGCGTCAACAAAGGTCGTGACGCGAGTAAGCACAGCCACCTTGATCGCATCCCTAAAATAATGGCACGTTACCACAGTGCTTTGTTATCACCCCCCGCCCTGGTGACTCACGGTATTTTACTGGTTCTCCGTCACCACTGTCCTAGCTACCCATGTCTATTGTCCTAACTACCCTCCTCTATTGTCTTAGCTACTCGCCTCTATTGTCCTAACTAGCCGTCTTGACTGTCCTAGCAACTCACCTTGTGTTGTCCTCGCTATCCGCTTCAACTATCCGCCCCCACTCATCCATTTAACCACCTCCATTGCTCTTAACTATCCTATCCACACCAAACGCGTCACAAGGTCCTATAATTTCAAGGGGTTGTCTTATCAATCAATCAAATAAATAAATAAATACATAAATAAATAAATAAATAAAATAAATAATAAAAAAAAATGCTATTATGTGTAGAGTTTAAGGCATTTCGTCTCTAGCCTCACGCCACCACCACTACTACAGCTGCTCCGTGTATAAGATAGTGTGACAGTTATCGACCTCCGGAACTCTTTTTATTTTTATTCCTTTGTTCTAGTTGTGACCACGACGAACTGCTCTGTGTGTGTGTTAATTCAGTTTTTAGTCGTAAGTCATCACCTCCGTTTGCTGTGCTAGTTTATAATACTACTACTACTACTACCACCATTATTGCTATTAAAACAACTTGTTCAACACTTGTAGAAACAATCTTTCTTTATGCAGTTAAATGTAATTATCCTGACAACAACTTCGATGGAATAGTCACTCTGTATCTAATTTAGCTCTCAATCCTCACACCAACAGGTTCACGGCCACTATCTGTGTATATACTGCCAAGATAACCCGAAAGCAAGGACTCACACTCGTTATATGTAAAAGCCGTCGGCTGAATGATAAGAAAGACGATTACTCAACCACGTTAACTAAATGTCAGCTGTGATACTCGTGGTAGTCAATATGCTGGAGCTCCTTTGTTACACCGAATTTTAGGGGTCAACGTAAATAGAGCGCTATCACGTGTGTAGGACTTGGTGTGTTGTGTTATGTTGAGTGTGTTGTGCTGTGCTGAGGGTGTTGTGCTGTGTTGAGTGTATTGTGTTGAGCGTGTTGTTGCGTGTTGTGGTATGAGTGTTGTATTACGTATATTGCATTGCGTAAATTGCTGTGTTGAATGTTGTGCTGTGTTGCAATGACTGATTACTAAATTACTACAACAATTACTACTACTACTACTACAACCTTCACCATTATTATCACTACTGGTCTATCCTCCCGGGCGGGCTGGGTGTTGTGACAATGACTCACTCACTCACTCCTTCCCGACAATAGTAATCATCACCATACGCCGCTCTTTGTTTCCCACCGATCACCTTGAAGTGTACCGTAGTGTCTTGGTCTACTAAACCCACACTAATGGCGTATTTATTCTTTTATGGTTTTATATTTCTGAGGGATGGTTCGAGACTCAAATATTACTCAACATGTGACATAGTTCTCTCGTCTGCTTTATCAGTAATGACGATTTTTTTTTTAACTTGCAACATTCCCTCCCCCCCCTCACACACACACTTACTGAACTACTGTAAGTATAAATGATAGTTCCTTTATATGTCACATGTTCAAAGATTGTTTAAAATGAGGGATCTTCGTGTATTTCTTTTTAATGTTGACCAATCTTGAAACGAATCTTTATGGCACACACACACACACACACACACACACACACACACACACACACACACACACACACACACACACACACACACACACACACACACACACACACACACACACACACACACACACACACACACACACACACACACACACACACACACACACACACACACACACACACACACACACACACACACACACACACACACACACACACACACACACACACACACACACACACACACACACACACACACACACACACACACACACACACACACACACACACACACACACACACACACACACACACACACACACACACACACACACACACACACACACACACACACACACACACACACACACACACACACACACACACACACACACACACACACACACACACACACACACACCGACATACAATACACCAGGGTTTATTTTTTGTTTATCTGAATTACGTGTGTGTGTTGTCACGTCATCCTAAGGTCTACTTCTCTCTAATTCTTTTAAGTTAATATGAATCAAAAGTGTCTACAGGTATAATAATGAGACCTCTCAACCCTTGTACATTAGCTAAGAACTGTTGTCCGTCTATCATTCATTTTCTCTCCATTAACCGAATAATTTCTATCAACAAAAAGTCACTTTCTCTAACATCTATCCATCCATCAAACTATCT